AGATGAGATGGAGAAGTGGATCTTCAAGACATTACTTAGCACCTCTCAAGCAGCCGCAGTAGTTTCATCAGGTGCCTCAAAGGCCATTTCACTTCATACACAGTCACACTATGACAAGGAACCTTACCATACATCTATTCTCACAGGCTTAGGATGGGTCAATGAGCTACTTACAGGACACCTGGATCATATATGCTGTGAACTCGGTGTGTCATCACATATTTTATGTACTCTTATCTTTACTTCATGATTCCAGGTGCTGTGATTCAAAGTTTGTGACACTTGAGGAGCAGCTTGCTATTTTTCTGTATGCTATTGTAACAGGGCTATCTACTCATCACCTTGGCAAATGGCTTCAGCACTCCAATGAAATGATATCAAAGTATGCTAATTCCAGTCTTGAGTCTTTGAAATGCTGAATTCTTCAAGGTATTTCAAACACATACTCAATGCATTCATGTCCCCCCCATCTATCAATCATATGTTCAGCTACCTCGTGCAGATGATCCGGTCCCTCTCAAGATACTCCAAAACTCCAAATACTATCCCTACTTCACTGACACCATTGGTGCCATCGATGGGACTCACATCCCTTGTCACCCTGACAGCAAAGAGCACAACACTGCACACAATCACAAGGGCACATCAACTCAGAACTGCCTTGCCACTTGTACATTCAACATGTTGTTTCTCTATGTCTTGAGCAGTTGGGAGGGATCAGCGGCTGATGCTCATGTGTACTACCATGCTCAGATCAAGGACTTCAATATTCCCACCAGAAAATACTATCTTGCTGATGCAGGATTTGGAGCCTGTGACAAGTTACTTGTACCATATTGCAATGTGTGCTATCACCTAGCTGAATGGGGCAGGGGCCATCTCAAGTAAGTTTCATTTCAATTGCCTCATTTTTGTACTGACATCAAATTGTAGGCCTTGTAATCATAGGGAACTATTCAATCTATGTCATGCCATGCTCTGGAACATTATTGAGCGCATTTTCAGTATGCTCAAGAACTGCTTCCAAATTCTTTCCCTCCCCCCTTTCTATCCCATGAGCGTCCAAGCTCATATCCCCCCTGCAGTGTGCCTAGTGCACAATGTCATCCAGGTCCATGACCCGGATGACATGATGGATTATCACTGAGTCAAAAACAATGACAATGATAGATATGCAGGGCCTGAGCATCACACCAGCACACTCACTGAGGGTCCTCCCTCTGATGAGGCTTGTACTCATGCCCACGACCATTGCAATGCTATCATGCACCAAATGTGGGCAGACTACAACAGGGTTCAACAGGAGAGAGGTGAGTCTGTTGTTGTAGATGACCTGGAGTAGTACTATTCATTTACCTTTGAATGTAATGATCACATGAACATTATATATTGCAAACAAGTTGAATTTGATTCTATGAAAGCAGCGCAAAAACAAAGATTGCAAGGAGCAGACAAACTAAGTACTATACTTCATTAAAAAAAGTTTGTGGACATTGTCCCTCTTGATTGCAAGATAGGAATCAGCAATAGAAACATCAGCACAAAAGTGCTCAATGATTGCGACCACCTCATGGTCCTCTAGACCCTCCTTCTCCTACACCTGAAGGATAGCTTTCTGCTTGTGCAGAGGGATAGGATCCACAGAGTGCAAGATACTGTGCACTGTGCGCTCTTCCAAGGCGGTTGTGGCATGATCAAAGGACATGGTGAGACCCTTGGAGAGACCCTGTATCTCAGAGCCCACTTGCTGGATGGCCTCAGGCATGCTGATGTGCGCAGATTTGATGGACCAACCTGATGTTGATGGACTGATGATGGACTTGGAGGAATTGGGGGGGCAAATGAGTGCTCACAAGTTGTCGTCATTGTTGCAGTCATCTTTGTGCTTCCCCTTCCACTTGCCCACTGAAATTAGCATGGTGGAAGATGCCCCCAGTGTTGAGGGAACAAAGGCAGGTTGGCTAGCAGGATCAAAGAAGGAGGGGGCCAGCATCATCAAGGTGTTGCTGTCCTTGTCAGAGGTTTCACCAGCACCACTCACGAGACTCTCCAGTGCTTGGGACTGCTCCTGCACATCAACTTCTTGGAAGCTGAATGTGTGGCTAGTTGCACTTGCACCCACCTCTGAGTTGGGGCCATGTTGAAGCAGGGGGTGATATGCATGACTGCCATGCACCTTTGATGGCAGGATGGCATTCATCTTCTCATATAGTAACCACCCCTTGTTTTTGAAGCTCTTCACAAGGGGGATTTCCTGGATGATGAAAAAGTTAGTGGGACTAGTAAAAACAGTAGATAGAACTTACTCTAACGAGATCTGCCCAAACAGACTCAGACTCAGGCATGATGTTGGCACCAAGCTCATGGCTCCATGAAATTCTGGAAAAGTTCATGACCCAGTTGACAACTGAATAGGTGGCACACATCTTGAATTGTTTTAGTAAGATAGGAGGACAGAGGGAGTGCCAAAAAAAATACCCTAGATCATTTCTGTTGACATGCCTCAGCTGTTTTCACTGCACCAATTATGGTGGTGTGCACTACATCAGCAGCAGCCTGCATCCAAAATGTCTTGTCAAAATTGAGTCCATCACCCCCTTTTGCTTTATGGGTGGTGACATAGTTGAGGAGACATACAGTGGCTCAAAAAACTGTCCGCATGTTTTGACATTTTTCACTATCTATGATATTGTGTGAGAACTCACAAATGGCTCAAAGACATGCTTATACCACATTGTAGTATGGCTTCAGGGCTTTCATTTGAGCCCTACACCGTGGGAATCGGTGGAGATATGGTGGAGATACAAGGCTTATAAAATCATGACTCATGCGGACAGTTTTTTGAGCACATATTAAAACTATATAAATCATCATTTATGACACCATAACAATCATGCCACCATTAAATAAATTATAAAGTGGTGTCATTATGTCATTTTAAAACCATATCTAACTATACAAACCAAAAATTTCCATATGTCATGGTTATATTCACCATGAAAGCCACCCCCCCTGCTCAAAGGGATAATATCCTCTCTCTTTCCTATTCTGGCCTCTCTGCTTGTCAAATTTCCTCTAGAACTGGAGTATCCAAGTCCACTGTGGCCAAGTTCATCAAAGAAAGTCACACAGACAAGGAAAACTTCTGTGAAGGGCGTCCATCCAAGCTCACCTCTACTGATAGGAGGGCTATTATTCAACATATCACTACAGGAAAGGCTGATAATGCTGTCCAGGTCACCTATTACATCAATTCCACCATCACATTCCCTGTCTCTTCACACACTGTGAGAAACATTCTCAAGACAGCTCATCTCAGGTCAGTAACAAGGAAGAAAAGGCTCTCCTCTCTATCACACATATGCAGAGAGGACTAGCACCCTTCTTTTTTCACATATATACCTTGCCATCTGACCCAATCATATTTATTGTGGTCTTATATGATCATATAACATGCTTCCAGTCCATGTAATCCAATTCTGATGGGCTAAGGCAAAGGTTAGTCATCTCTGTTTATGTGTGATAGAGAGGAGAGCCTTTTCTTCCTTGTTACTGACCTGAGATGAGCTGTCTTGAGAATGTTTCTCACAGTGTGTGAAGAGACAGGGAATGTGATGGTGGAATTGATGTAATAGGTGACCTGGACAGCATTATCAGCCTTTCCTGTAGTGATATGTTGAATAATAGCCCTCCTATCAGTAGAGGTGAGCTTGGATGGACGCCCTTCACAGAAGTTTTCCTTGTCTGTGTGACTTTCTTTGATGAACTTGGCCACAGTGGACTTGGATACTCCAGTTCTAGAGGAAATTTGACAAGCAGAGAGGCCAGAATAGGAAAGAGAGAGGATATTATCCCTTTGAGCAGGGGGGGTGGCTTTCATGGTGAATATAACCATGACATATGGAAATTTTTGGTTTGTATAGTTAGATATGGTTTTAAAATGACATAATGACACCACTTTATAATTTATTTAATGGTGGCATGATTGTTATGGTGTCATAAATGATGATTTATATAGTTTTAATATGTGCTCAAAAAACTGTCCGCATGAGTCATGATTTTATAAGCCTTGTATCTCCACCATATCTCCACCGATTCCCACGGTGTAGGGCTCAAATGAAAGCCCTGAAGCCATACTACAATGTGGTATAAGCATGTCTTTGAGCCATTTGTGAGTTCTCACACAATATCATAGATAGTGAAAAATGTCAAAACATGCGGACAGTTTTTTGAGCCACTGTAACTCATCAGCGCTTGACCAGTTACATCTTTTACCTTCCTGGCCCACTGATTCACCCTGCTTCTTCTCATCTGTTGCTTTTTTTTCACCATGGATGTATATGAAGGCAGGGAGAGGACACCACTGAATTTTGAGTGGGTATTAACCCTGGACCTTGAAGATCTAGTCTGAGTTCAAGTTGCTGGCATGTTGACTGTTTATTATCTCTTGATTATTGATTGTCACACTGATGTCACACAGAGCTTAGATGACAAAGCAAATCTAGAAGCAAATTTCTCAAGTTAAGTTGGCCTAAATTTCGTGGCTGAACAAACTCTTAGCTCTATTTCCTCCGTTCGTGCCTCGCTACGTAAATAGTGACAAATTGTGCGGCGCTGTGCCATAATTGGTAACCGGCGGTAGCTGTGCTCGACTGCACAGCATGACACATCCGAAGCATGTTCAAAGTGAATACAGGCTGTAGCTATTCCTAACGAATTCAACAGACATCGCGGTATAGACTTGGTCAAAATAACGTGGTCGCAATCTCATGTTACACAGGCAAAAAATTCAAAGCAGAAAGCTATCGTGCTGCATACTACCGACCACACCACAATCACAATTCCTCTGCCACTGTATATTAGTATTTGAGAGTACCAGGTGTTGTCGATAGAACGGACCTCCAAAGTTAGTCGAACGCGTCAGTGTCTTCAAAGACACATCAGGGAATCGCGGGAGAATGCGACAGGGAAATCTCTCTGGACGACTAAATAACAAGAAGTCAGCAGACTACTCTCTGGGACAGATGAGATTCTTCAAACACTGTGAAACCAGTGGTGAACTTCGGAGCGATTGGAATCTCCATGCCGTGTTCATCAAGAGCCTTGTGGACCGAGAAAAACGCGAGGAAATTCGCCATAGCGATCCAGAGTGACGCGTCCACGAGATGCCGTCCCACACTGTCAAGTTTCTTTCAACGGAGGGCGAAGGAGTGCGAATAGATGCTCACCAAATTCGGCGACCCCAGCCGAAGCCTAAACGCATAGTATCGCTGTTCAGAGTCCCGTCGTCTTGGAAAAATCTTTCCGGTTTGAATTCGTCAGGACTGGGATATTTCGTTGCATCGTGCGTCATTGCCCTGAAAGGTTCGTTATTTAGATACATTAAGGATAAGGATAGTGTGGGCTTTCCATGCATTTGGAAATACAACAACACCTAGCAAAGATCGTCAGCGGCCGTCGTTAAATCAGTATGATGCAAACCTTCAGGAATAAAATAGCCATTGTAGATGTCACTGGTTGTTGTTGCGTGTGGAATGCCTGCAAAAATTATCAGAGGATATTCAGAAATGATTTTGCGTTGTGGACAAACCGAATGGAACCACTGGGTACCACCTGAGTGTTTCACGTAAAATAGCTTCTAGGTAAGGCAACGCCGGTCTATCGTCGAAATTGGGGAGTCTATCCTTGCCAACGACTCGATCGATCTCCGCCTGCGCTTTTGCTTGCACCTCTGGGTTGAGCACCATAGCAAGAAGAAACACAAGTAATGTGTTAGTGGTCTGAGTCAAGGGCAAACTGATTATGATTGGCAAACGAAGACCAGGAGAAACTCGCCGTATCGGTCGCCGCTGAAGACAAAAATGGGTATTGAGAGGAAAGAATTTTTCAGCTTGCATACCTGTGAATGCAACGGAAGCAGCCTCCTTAATTGCAGTTATAGTGACGTCGTCCTCTTCACTGGTCCTATTCAAAGCATCAGCCACCAAGCACGGTCCCATGTCATTGGCAGACTGTCAGCATTTCGTTAGTTGGATGTACCTCCACTAGTGGGGTGCTTCACCATCCTCTCTTTGACATATTGAAAGGGTATCTCCTTCACGTCATGGCCTGCCTGGATACACTTGAGTGATGCTCGCTTAAACGTGGCACCGGGAAACCAGCTAGGTAGCTGCAAAACTAGAAGGATTATTGAGTTACTTACATGCAATCACTGCATGTGCAAACATACGGAAAGGGAATGTTTCCATTAGAGTCATAGCAGCTGGTGCGAAACCTTCGACTATGAGTTTCCCATACCTTGTAATGGCGTTAGCAACATGCTTGTCCTTAGCTGTCGTTTCACAGTCATATATTATAGATAGCATGTATGTCAAAGGAAACCTTAATAAAAAATCAGCTTCAACGCGAGACCAGATAAATTGTCGCGACCGACATCAGAGAATGGTTTGGATAATTTTCAGGGTCCCGTAGAAGACCGAACATCATTTTGTGGGCGGAACGGAGTAGCGTAGCGTGGTAAGCGGGTACAGCAGTTTGATGAAATGCCTGATGAAAGATTCGTCGGTGAAGGCGCCACCTGCCTTTTATCAGACATGTCAACATAACATAGAATAACCTATCATGTACCTGTTTCCATATGGCATGAACCCCGTGTTAAAATCTGAAGCGAAGCTGACAAAATTTTGGTGATTGATGCGGACCAACACTCCAAGATGTAACTCACGCTTCATAAACAATTGACTGGGGTCTATCTGAATATATGCTGGAACGCCGTTCAAAAAGGTCTTTCGCGACCTCCTCAGAATTAACGACGATGATGGGCTTGCCAAGGAGACGAGCATAAATAATGTCACCTAAGGAACAAAGTGAGTTGTCATGGACAGATCCCTGTCACAACGTGCCAACCATATGTGGATCTCCAGGCATTGAAGGTCAACCAGGGCCGAGCGGAATCAAGACTGAGAACATTTCCCAGTACTGGAAGGGGGATAGGACCAGGCGGTAGCGGGGGGCGCGAAAGATTGAGTCTATATTTTCGACAGTAGCTTAACACAGCTACTACCAAGGCTGATATTGCCAAGTAAAGTCCACGTTCATCGTTGAGCATCGTTAGATAATACTTACCCAATGCCGGGTACTGGAATGGGGAAGGTGCACTAAAGTCTAGGTCGACCTGAAGTATATATCGCACTGGGCTCAACTGAGCCAAACAAATGATGGATCTGCCCATTAGAGATTTCGTGAGTCTCCCCAGGGTGCCTTATGCTGATTGCGGTGGTTTTCCGAGGTTATACATGACTATATAACGAAAACCTTTTCTAAATATAATCATATATCGGCATATATGACGATATCTGCAGCTCACCAGTCCTCTGATGTGATACATGATGCTAATATCCGTTCTCATTTTGAAGAACGCCGTGAAAGGAAGCGGAGGTTGCCATAATGGTGCTAGTGAGGAAATAAGAGACAAAACTCTGAATGCAGAGAAACACGGTATGACGCAGAGCATTCGAACTCACAGACCAGCAACAAAAATACGCGTCCGCCGTCCACATAGTTTGCCTGTCCTGGGGCACAGGGGTATGGCGGTGAGGATGACTAAGCGCTTGTGGGACACGATGGCATAGTATACGTATTGCCCCACGCCCTGAACTACATGCCATCATCGACGTTAACGTGTGGACACACAGTGAGCGTGCCCTGTCCAGGGTCATTGCACAACCTGTAAGGCACATGCTGTAAACGCCTCGGGTGAGTAGAAACTTGACTTCGGTTGCTGCCGAAAAAGGCTGCGTGTCCCATTTGCGAAGCTTACACGAAAAAGAAAACCCGCTGGGGTACCTGAAATACCTTCTCCGTCTGTAACAACAGGCGTAGAAGAAATTATATTCTCTGCAGGAATCACAGAGTAATAGTGACCCCTGTAAAAAACGTCAAATGTACCCTGGGGCTGGAAAAGTCAACTGTAGCCAGCAGAAGGCTGAGCGATATCCATTTCCGAAGGCCGGAATCGAGAACCATCGAATCTCGTATGGACAAATGCGAGCCAATCACAGCCAAGCTCAACTTCCACCAAAAAAAGTTGACGGTGTCATAGATCCAAACGGTCATGGCACCATAGTAAGTGCGTCTGCATGTCAGATTGAAGGGTCATGACACAAGCATCCAAATATTGTGGTATCAGACCCGGTTGAAAAGGAGTTTGTGCTTGTTGAATTCAAAGGCTCTTGCCAAATCTATCTTCTGACTTACTAGCTTACTTTATGTAATTTAGTACATTCCCACGTACAATGAGCTCTTCCTCAAGCTCCAATGGAACCAGGACAAAAATACTCTTTCTGGGAATGAGAAGGCGAATCTCTACGTTTTCTCCTTTTACCCGTTCTAACTTATCACAGGAGTGGAAAGACCTCCATACTCCAAGTCCTCTTCGATGATCTCCCAGTCAAACAGACTTTTTACCTCGAGCCTACCATGCGTGTTGCAAAACATCTCATTGAGTGTGCACTCGTCCATGACTTCTTCTCGTGCTTAGCACTGAACACCGTCTCTCAGCACTGTCATCCCGTTGGAGATATGGGACTGTCCAGGAAACGTTACCGTCGACACACTAGGCGCATCTCTCGTCGATTTCTCAACTATAGTCTTCGTAATAGACATTCGAGTACGTGCGCTGTATTTATCTGCTGACTGCTGTCCTCATTCATATGCGCAGGATCTCTACCAACATCCTGTCTCAAAGCTCGTAGAGTTCATAGTCGCTGCATGCCAAATCAACCCCGACATAAATTTTGAAGTATTTGTGCACAAAGCGGAAAGGCTTCAAGAGGACGACAAGATCGGTACGCCAGTCCCGCATCCATTCTTTACTCGTAACTGAAACAGCACACAGAAAACTTCCGCCAGATACACGAACGTGTCATGGACCGCCTCATAGACGAATCTCCCGAATTTGAGCAATTCCCTCTCAATTTCCATCTCACCTCCATATATGACCATTCTCTCCGAGAGGCGTTCTCTCGTATGCTTCATAAACTGATCGATTCCCTGCCATATCTCGAAGAACTATTAAATGTCTTTTGCTCTGTATGTGCCTTCATTGTCACTTGTCTTCACGGGCACCTCTCATCGCTCGCAGAATACAGCATCTCCAAAGGCTTTCTTATTCGACACATCCAGTAAAATCCACGTCGCAACAGATACCTCACCAGTAGACAAAGCCACGCACAATCTCTGCTGCGATTATCTATCCATGCTCAACTCTTTTGGACCTCTCTACAGGTACGTACGTATCACAAATTTCCCTCCCACCCTTGAACCATCCTACCAGGTCTAACTCTAACGATCCGCGGACGAGTCGGTTTTCCCCAACACCAGCACCAACACCCCCACCCACAGCCACGACATCAACTCCTACCTCCGGCATCACTCCCGCCGGAACACCGCCACTCACCTCATCGTCATCCCCCGTTCCACCCTCAAAGCCCCACTTCTACCCCTCAGCAGCGACGTCGCTCTCACCTTCACGCCCAGGGACTACGCTCACGTACCACCTCGTCACCCCGCACCTCGCATTGCTCGCACTCCTTCCGACGACGGTGTATGATATGCGCAGGGGTTTAGTGGAGTGGAATGTTGTATGGTTCAGGGAGGGGGTTAGGGAGATATGGGAATCGGGGCTGCGCGGGGGTTTGGAGTCGTAGTTTTTGTTGACCAGTGATCTACTCTTGTGCGATCGACGGTGTCTGAGTTTCGATCGAGCAGACTGAGACGCGAATGATTGTTTGACCTTCTTCAAGGGGCAGGTCAGAGCCTTCTGGGTAGACGAGGCATCAGATGCCTTCTTTATGAGCTTGGTTTCATGGAGACAACTTGGTGGAGTCTCGAGTTTTTGCCTTGATTTTATGGTAGTGACTCGAGCTTCTCTGTAGCGAAGTGTAAGCTCGATAAATTGCTAGAATGATTTCACTCTTTTATCTTTACGCTTACTTACTGCGTACACGTACAATAGCACGCTTATCGGTTACATCATCGATAACACGGATAGGTATATAAGTCCTTGCATCCGCGTCGTTCCACTCCTATCAGACTGAGCCGTTCGTTTGTCTTCGCAGTCCTTCCGTCCGTCTCTACTCATATCAAGACATGATAGAAATCGTATACTATTCAGTTGTGATCCTCCAGCTCTCAGAGAAAGGCGACGCGGAGAATCAATTAATAGCACGGTGTTCAGTACTTGACTGTCAAGGTTGCAAGTCATACCCGCCCAAATACTGCTAACCCGCGGTAAGGCCTGATCAGAGGGGTCATGGTATGTTCAAGACGACTATCCTACACCGTACACGTACCCTCCAAACCTGTCAGCATATGCGGTGTTACCCGTACCCGTGCAAGGACCGTGCGAAGGAACCACCAGAAACAACCGTGTTTAGGCGTTTTCCACCAAAAAAAAACACAAAGTGGATACAGGTAGATTGAGAGGGCTAGGGCTCGCCCCTGAGAAACAATGTGGTCAGCAACGCCTATTGATTGAATCAGATCGATCAGATGGTGTTAATATGTTCCGTGGCTGTACTTATCAGAACCCTCAACAGGATCGAGGGTTCGATTTCGATGTCCGCTGCATGTCCTACTCCGCAGCCATAAATGCGCAGTGTGCATAGTGAAGAGCTTGGGGAACGCACCGGGACTGTGGAGATGACGTTACCAGCGTAGATAGGACGAGTGAAAGTGATGCTGCCTGATGCTGCGTCATATTCGAGAGGCCCTAATGCCCTATTGAACTTGAGGCAAAATAGATTGGGCAGAGCTGCCAGAGACGATGTACGTGAAGGCGAGTTCTGAGATAAAAGGTTTTCCCTGCAGCTACAGCCTACCCAAGCAACGTGCCGTGGAAACGTGTAATGCGGCATGCTCCATCAACTTAATCTAGAATCGAGGCAATGATGTGATGTTCCTAGGCAAACTTTAGTAGACGACTCATGAACCTTGTGAGTCGTTCCATTCAATGTTTAATTGAACTTCCACATTCTTTGGGTATGGCTGGCATTCTTCATGAGTGACGTTTATCTCCTCGAGGCTGCAAACGAGGCCAGTGACTTGACTGAGACCATCCGTTAAGGCAAGGTAGATGGCCGCGGTCATGCCGCTGTGACTCTCGCTGATCAAATAGGGTTATTAAAATTTACAACTCCGCCAAATCTTGGGGTTGTCTCAACCAACTCCTAGTCACTGCAGCGTCTGTCAAAAGACTTGTTTGAACAACTGACGTGCATATTGCAACAATCTATTCACTTGCGAATAATCGTATGGGCATCTCAGGTTAGAAAGGCCAGGTCAAGTTGCACCAGAGACAGATCTCCCAAGACATTGGCTTCAAAGGACGTGTATCAACTGGAAATCAACTAATTGAACACATCCTGTGAAGCCTCGTGTCAGAAGAGCTCTATTAGTGCTCCTGAATTAGTTCGTGGCATCAGTTGCATCTGTAGGTCCCCCAGGCACCTCATGATCCTCTCACTTAAAAGGCGGCACAGCTAGAAACTGTGGTGCTACTACTAGTAACCCAACATGTCTCGACGCCCAAGTTGTAGATTTTATAACTCGCCAGGCGGCTGTCGCCGTGGCACATCTTGTACTTTTGAACACATTCCAAATGCACAGCATCGAGGAGGAGATGGAAGACCGTCATCACCGGGCGCGTCTTCTGATGGATCTCCTTCACGACGCAATGCTCAAGGCCCTCAACGCCAAATGCCACCGTCAAGCCCACCTCCTCGAGGAGTGTGCCGATTCTTTTGGGAGACAGGACGATGTTTTCGAGAGTTCGGCTGCCGTGGTGCACATACCCTCCCGCAGGGTCAGGACGGCAGGCGATCTCCGCAGCCTTTCGTGATCCCCACACAGGCTGTGCAAGCATTCATCGCCCCATTCCTTACAGAGAAAGGTCTATCGAAACTCGTAGGAGGTGGTACCGATGGTTATTTCCCTCAGGATGCTACAACATCTTTGACTCCGTCAGAGACCCAAAGTCGTTTGAGGAGATTCTTCCGAGAAGACTTTCGATTCAAGACTGCACCTGAGGTCTACGGCTTTCTCGTCTCACTGTCAAGCGCCAATATTCAAAATGGCTCATGGGTGCGTTTTAGACATGTCACGCAACTCGTCTTGATTAACTGCTAGATCCAGACTCAAGAAGAAGGACAGGTATGGTGTTACTACCCGATCCAATCGTTGTGTTGACGGTGATAAATCTAGTTACTACTCGAAACCTTGACTTCGGTACGTTCATTCAGGGTCTTGTGATGTATACTCAACCGAAATTCGCAGAACACTGGTCGACTTCGGGTCGCCGAGATAGTGACTTGGCCCCAAGTTTCCTCAAAAACAACGATGGGTCGCGAAATTCTTTCATTTCAGAGAGGGCTTATCCCCCTGCTTAGAGTACGTCAACATATTAAACTCCCGCGCTAGTATTGATGTTGTTGCAGTATATGTCTTCTGATTTCGTTGTTCAGAGCACTTTAAGGACTCAAGCAAAGTATGTACCTTCGATTCGTCGTGACATAACGCACTGAGCTGCCGCTAGTCAACTGTACATGACGGTTTTACAGAACCTTCCAAGTTTTGCAGATGCTGTCGAGAAGTCCATGGACAGTATCATTGCTTCCCGTTCCTTTAGTGACCCGGGTGCTTTTGGAAATGATCCTGTTGACGCACAGGCGTTCGCATCCATCGCTGGTGTTCTGCACGAATAAGGAACTGTCACTACCTTCATTATTATTGCTGCAATCCGCATTAGGTTTCTTGTTCGCTTCAAGAACGCTGTTGCGACATATCCTCGGCTGGCACCCTTGGTCATGAACTTGCAGAAATGGTTTGTAGAGTGGAAGACTGGTGTTCAAGCTAATCCGCCTTCATTCGATAATTTTCTTGGAGGCCTGCAGCCTACTGTACGAGACCTGCTCGTTCAAACTCTCAACGAGAAGATTCACAAGTTGGTTTCCATTGTTGAACGGGAACAAGGAAAAGAAAAACGTCCTGATCGTCAAAAACAGTCGGCCCCCTCCAATGAGGGCATCCTTGCTGCTCTCCATAGCGGATATCAAGGTCCAGGTGCCGTACGTGAAGGTGGACCTCGTCACGATAATGACTTTGAGGACATCTATGACATTCGCATTGCTCCCACTCATGAAGAACTCATGAGCCGTATTCCCCCGTTTCTGCCTGTCAACTTCTTCGGTGCTCCTCATCCAGCACCTATGGAGAGCATGCAACGCTTGCTCGACATCCAGTTCAGGCTTTTGCGAGAAGAGTTAACGTATGTTGTTGTCTGGATAATCTTGGTTAGTCGCTGACTGAACTTTGTGCAGCGCCCCTTTGCGTCAAGCTATTCAGCTCGTCCATGATGACTTCAAAACACAGCCGCGCAAGAAGACAAAGCTCGCAGAGCTTCTAAAGAACAGGGGAGGAAAGTACCGTGGCCAAGCGGACACACAGGACAGTCTTATGTTTAACGTCTACACTGGCGTTGATTTTGAGTCGCTCATACCTGACTGGAGAGGTATCTCTGCAAGCATCGTCATCGACACGCCCCCGGGTCGTGCGCGCTCCAACAACTCCCATATGCGAACTTCATTCTGGGAGGGTGGCAAGCGCCTTTCCCAGGGCGGCTTGATCGCCCTTGTGTGGCAATCTGGCAATGATATCTCTGTGCACCTTGGGGTGATCGCCAGCTCCCTCAGAGATCTCACTGAGCATGCGAAGCGCGATCCAGATCGCGTGAAGCTTCGCATCGTCTTCTTCGACACGAAGTTAGAGTTGCGTATTTTGCAGGAGCTCAGGAACCCTCAGATGTCCGGACAACACATCAAGTTATTAGTCGAATCCTCCGTCATGTTTGAAGCCATCCGACCATTCCTCGAAGCTCTGAAACGCGAACCCGAGCTAATCCCGTTCCCGCGCTATCTAGTTCACCGGCCACCAGGATTTCTAAATACTTGCAAAGTGGATCCTCCACGTTACTCAACGATGCCTGGCTTCGCGTTCAATCTTTCATGTCTCTTCCCCGACAAGACAGACGTGGAGGACTTGACGCTCTCAGTGACAGATCATCAATCTATCGAAAATGCGCGTGCTGAGCTGCGGCGGAGTAGCCGCCTTGACCCCAGCCAGGCGGATGCAGTTGTTGATGCACTGACGAGAGAGGTGTCCTTAATTCAAGGGTGAGTGTGTTGCACCCAATGAGTGTGAATGACGACCTGACAGTATGTTCAGTCCTCCAGGGACAGGGAAGGTAACAACTCTCACACAACCTGTTAGATCGCTCTAACTCGCACATCTAGAGTTATACCGGTGTCGAGTTGCTCCGTGTGCTGCGAGCCAATGATGTCGGCCCCATCTTGATGATCGCATTCACGAATCACGCACTGGATCATATGCTTAGCTCTGTGCTGGATGCAGACATCACCAAAAAGGTTGTCCGTTTGGGCTCTCGCTCAGCGGATGAGAGAATTTCACAATATTCGATCGAGACGCTGGAAAAGGTGAACGAGGAGTCTCGCCTCAACAGAACGTTTTCCAGCAAACGCAGGGAACTCAAGGAGATCCAAGAAAGTATTAGGAACTTGATGTTCAAGGTCCTGAAGGACGACTTGGAATCGAACTCCACCGAAGTCATTAAGTATATCTCAGTCTTGCATCCGGAGCACTTCGAATACCTAGCTTCTCCGCCAATGTGGATTCAGAACATCAAGTCCCTTTTCGGCAGCGACGACGACGACGGTGCAGGTGAATGGCAGCAACAAGGCCGACGAGGCAAGACTTTTGTCAAGGACATGTCATTCTATGCATTTTGGAGGGACGGATCTGACTTGGAATTCATCGGAGCTTTGAATGATGGCTCATACGCACCTTGGAAAACCACACCTCCGCCTAACGAAACGACAAGCAACAAGTATAATCTTTTAGAACAGGATTCTTTACCAGATTCAGATGATGAATACATGACGAGCGAGGAGCATGATGATGAGTTGCTCCCTGAAGACCTACCAGTCGAGGACGTTTGGATGAAAGTTAAGATCGAGCCGCCATCTCCCGGAACTGCTAGTTCGAAGGAAGTCCCTGTTGCTCCCACCAAAGCTCCTGTTGCCCCCATTCCGTCTCCCGAGCCTGAACCCCGTGACGACGCTGGCCTGGGGCAGGCAGACTTCAGGGACCCTGAAGGATTCCTTGAAGTCATCGGATGCTCGCAATGGCCTGTCGTTCCTACTTCCGATCGCCCCTTGAATGAACTGCTCGATGATGTCGATGACGTTTGGACCATGAGCAGGGCAGAACGGCACATTTTGCATAATTTCTGGGTTGAAAATACGCGCATAGCGTTGGCTGAGACACAGAAAGGCGAGTTTGAGCGCCTTCGTGAACTTCACGAGGGTATACTGCGAGAATGTAACGAAGGCAAAGAAGAGGTGCGTGGCTGTTTCACTTTGGTTATCAGTTAGTTCGAATGGTTGTCTAGGTCCGTCGAAATTTACTGCGCAATATTGATATCATTGGTTGTACCACGACCGGTATGTGTGTTTTCGGTATTCAGCCAAGCATCTCCACTTACAACGTGACCCTGACTAGGTGCCGCCAAGTTGGCCACGCTCCTAGAGGTCAGCGAATGAGATTGACGTTGTGTTCGTTTGATCTGAGCTCTTACAGGGTTTGAATCCTCGAGTTTTGCTCGTTGAGGAAGCTGGACAGGTTCTAGAGGCTCACGTGCTCGGAAGTTTGGTGTCCTCGATTGAGCACCTTATTATGATTGGTGACCCCTTACAACTCCGGCCGACACTCAATAATTTCTGTGAGCACTTCACGTGTGAAAATATTATATGTTCTCTAACATCCGACTAGCGTTGTCCATGGACAGCCAGAGAGGGCGAGATCTCTACAAGTTTGACATGTCCCTGATGGAACGTCTTTCGAGCTCCGGGCTGGCTATGTCCCGGATTGATGTACAACGCCGAATGCGGCCTGCAATTTCGAGTTTGATTAGGTGCGTCTCTTCTTACATATCAGGCGCGTACTGACTCCCTATCAGGAACACGCTCTACCCCGGTCTTGAAGATCATGAACTCGTCCACCACTATCCCTCTGTCCGCGGCATTGCGAAGAATCTGTTCTTCTTCAATCACAACCATAGGGAAAATGAGGGTGCAGAAGACTCCGCCAGCAAGTACAATTTATTCGAGGCAAGGGTCTTTATCGCCTTGATGATTTAGCCGTTCGCTGATCCATAACAGGTAGCAATGATTCGCGAACTAGTGTTGTATCTGTTGAGGTCCGAGCACACAAAGCTCTTCGTAGTTTGAGGATTGACCTGTTTTATTCAGGCAAGGCTGCTATTCTGAAGAGGGTGACATCGTGGTTCTTTGTGCCTACCTTGGTCAGCTTGCCAAGCTACGAGATGCCCTCGCTAACGAGGTGGCGATTGTGATTGATGAGCGCGACCAAGCTGCTCTTGCTGACCAAGAGGGAGATGATGAAAATGATTTGAGTTGTGGGATCACGATTGAACATGTAAAAGTCACGAGAAGGGTATGTATTGTTATTACGAGGCAGTCTCTTTGTGCGCTCAATCAGCTCTAGGTTCGATTGCGTACGGTTGACAACTATCAAGGCGAAGAGGGTAGAGTAAGTGTCTGCATCAGTCTCATTTCATTTTCTGAATGTTTTCTCATAGATCGTGATCTTGTCATTGGTTCGAAATTCCGGCGAACTAGACGATGAAATGGCTATGCTTGGGTTCACGCACGGATCCAGACCTAGCATCGGTTTCCTAAAGGTGAGTAACAGGGATACAACTTCGAGGTGCGCTCTAAATTCTGGTTTCATGTACAGTCTGAGAACCGCACGAATGGTAAGCTGTTTAGTGGTATAATGGTGTGGCACGCTGATCATTGTGCTTTAGTGGCCTTGTCTCGTGCACGCGAAGGTCTTTTCATTTTTGGGAACGCCACCAACCTGTCCTCCAGGAGTCGAATGTGGCGGCGGATCATCGAGGAACTGGAAAGGGACGAAGCCCTTGGTCCAGCACTTCCTATCATTTGTCATCGACACCCGGAGACCCTCAAGTATGTTTGCAAACCAGGTCAACTACCTCAAATCGCACCTGATGGTATGTATGATCGCTCCTTGGACTCGAGCAATGTATTGAATCATGTTTTCAGGAGGATGCATGCGACCCTGCGACTTCCGTTTGAACTGTGGTCACATGTGTCCATTCAAGGTAACGCTCTCCCGTTCAGTGTGACATTTGATATTAACATTCCTTTTAGTGTCACAGCGATGACCAGAAACATGCTTCCGTAACGTGCATGCAGTCATGTACGAGGCTTTGCACAAGGGGCCATCCATGTACCAAGCAATGCGCTTCCCCATGTGGCGATTGTTTCTTCCCAGAAGCCAATGTCCAACTTCCGTGTGGACACCTGAAGGCCTCTGTTCCATGGTGTGTCTTGACCATCTCTAGCCGAAAACTTGATACAAATGCTTTATTTCTAGCCACGGGATGAGCGCGTTGGAAAATGTCTACTGTGATTTCGTGGTTGACAAGGAATTGCCTTCTTGCGAGCATACTGCTCGCATGGCGTGTTCGACTAATCCAGCTACTTATCTCTGCAAGGCTCCATGTAACGAGATTATGAGTTGCTGTGGAAGATCATGCAACGCAAAGTGCTACGAATGCCAGCAGAAAAATACACCTTCCGCAGGAGAACATACACCGAGGGCACGGCATGCTGCTCACCCCTGCGAGAAACCACTTTTCTGCGAGCATTTGTGTCAGGAAGCTTGTTCTGATGATCACAAGCACACCGTCGCCTGCAGGAAGCCATGTAGACAAGCCTGCTCTCATGCCCGGTGTCAATTGGTGTGTTCGGTGCCTTGTGCACCGTGTCAAGAGTCATGCACATGGTAAATGAAACCTCTCGAAATTGGGATCCATATTTTCGCTGATCAACATCTTCAGGAGCTGCCCGCACCATTCCTGTCCTGTACCATGTGGCTCTGTCAGTGTTTCGCCTAGCTTCAGCTGTTTCGTGTTTTTCTGATGCTCCATTTTTAGGTTTGTGCAAGGTTGCCCTGTGATGTACCTTGCAACACCATTCTGCGTTGTGGACACAAGTGTCCTTCTGGTGAGTGGTTAATCACTTCCTCGAAACCTCGTGCTCACATCGTGGAAAGTCTGCGGGGAAGATTGCGACATCCAAATTTGCCCGCAGTGCGCCTCCGATGACAAGAAACGCCATGTCGTTGATTTTATCATGCAGCGCACACTATCCGAAGTTGCACCGGAGTTGCAAACTCTGGACGAGATGTTGATTACCATTCCCTCGTGCAAGCACACGTTCACCGTGGAAACTTTGGATGGTCACTGCAGTATGAATGATTTTTACTTCCAGAACGAGTCTGGACAGTGGCTTCGTATGCTTTCCCCTATCGGATTCAGAAAACCCCCTACGTGTCCAACATGTCGTTCGCCAATCACAGCTCCCAGATATGGTCGCATCTTCAAGCGAGCTGATTTAGATATCTTGGAGCACAATGTTGCCGCCCGTATGTCTCGAGCGCTTGACCAGGTCCAAACCGCCATTCTACGTATTTCTGAAGATGAGATGAAGGCTGCGGTCATCCGTGACGCAGCTACCATCAAAATCCGCCCCTCAAAGACCAAAAAGCCCACTTCACAGGCAAAGGCTCGTTCTGAGGAGTTGACGTCAAAGAAGGAAGTCCCCACCTCAGAACGCGCCCTCAACTCTGCCAACACTTCCTTGCATGCTATCGATTCAGCAGTGGCCGTAGCTTGGGGTAAGATTACCCACAGACTACTCAATGTCTACAAGGAGGCAACTGCAGTTGCCGAAACACGCTCTGCCCACCTACATGCTTGGGAGTCTGCATTTTCATTCCTGTATCACCGCGAAATGGCCGCTCTCGTCAACAATCCAGCTCATATGCCTGTTCGGCCGCAGGAAAATGCAATGAGGCTCGCGAGACTGCAAGTCGGCCAGCCGCGTCCGCTAGCTGATAGACGGTTCATCGTGGAAGCCTTCTGGTGCACGTTGCATATTCGTTTGACTCTGATTACTCTGGGTCGCACGTGGCTAGAAGAGGTGGGCAAGCGCGAAGTCGACTATCCGATGTACCATTTTCAGCAATGGGCGAACTACGTCAAGTTCATGCTACAGAGTTGTTCTCTCGATGTGACCAAGGCTCTCGAGCTCGCAAGGAGCTCAGAATCCCACCGACAGGTCACCAAGACTTCTCTTCTCAGCATGCGTGTCGAGCTGGAGAACTTCCGGTTTAGCTTATACATGTCTAACAAACTTGGGAACATCAAGAATCAAAGATCAGAAATAGCAGAGGCTGCAAGACAGCGCGGCCGCGGGGCGCAGCAGTTGATGAGGGATGTAGTCGCAGAGCATTTCGCAAACAAGGTCACACCGTCCCGAGAAGAAGAGGCTTCCTGGGTGGCAGAGAACTTTTCTAGTGCTGCGCAAACGATCGTGGATGAGTGGGAGGCCATTAAGGAGGCCGTCCGTAGATCCACGTTTTATCAGGAAGTCTCGTTAAAGGAGCAGATGGAAATAGTGCGAGCTTTCAACTTCGGTAAGGTCATTATTCTCGAAGCTGCAGATCCTTTTTCACAGTATTACAGGCAGCACTGGACACTTCTACAACTGTGCAAACGGTCACACATTTGTTATTACCGAGGTGACGCCATTTGAGTATTTGGTTTGTTGCGATGCTAATTCATGTCCGCAGTGCGGAGGAGCCATGGAACGCAGTGTTTGTCCGGAGTGTGGCTCTCCCATAGGGGGACAGAGCCACCGCCTCGACACTTCAAATACCAGAGCAACTCAGTACGACGAGCTTGCTCAGCGAGCAAACCCCGGTATAACAGGAACCCCTTGGGCCAATCCTTATTAGAGAGCGCTTATGACTTTGACCGTCACAGATGCATATGTACCAAATGGTATTCTAAGTGTAATATTGACTGGCTAAATAGCTTTTTAAATGCTTCTGCACTGTAACACTTACTCAGAGAATTGACGACCTGGCCAGATTATCTTCTGCATTCGTATTTCGACGCATGAAAAGTTCACAACTGAAGTTTAGAAGTATCATATGGCATAAGTTTGAATCATGTCCGTTTGACAAGCGTGTCGAGGGGCTCGTGTACTATGAATGACGGTGTTGAACGCCAAATTAGATGATTGACTAAAATGTTTCAAGGTCGTCACTTCGCCGTCCCTAATAAAGGCAGTCTCGTTCTGTACTCTAGAAAATCCCGGCGAGAAATATCAACTTTCAGGAAAATATTTTGAACGGCGTACTATTGTCAGACATGAGGTGTGTAACGAAAAGTTTACAAGAGTTGAACAGTCTACAGAAGTGGAACAAGTACAGGAGTGGAGCGTTGCATGAAAGGAAACGACGGACTGCTTAGCATTGACAATATAACATCGTAATGTCAGAACTGTTGGGTGACATGATAGAAGTCTTGTATTAAGTAGAGTCCCGTCGAATAAAGGACAAAAAATCGTGCTTGAAATTTTCCCAGTAGCTGGCAAGCTCAGCGTCGAACCTTCATAAACGAACCAAGATCAAACTTCATGAAGCTTAAGCGACAATAGTGTCAACATACCACGGCCAGCTCTCTTTCTCCAGCAAATTGTTTTCCAACAGTATGCGACTCAAAAAGCCCTGTTCGATAGCAAACAACCAAAGCTTGAAGTTCAGCTTGTAGTTGGTAGTCGTGTAGTTGTACCGGAAAACCGACGATTTGATTGTCTTGTAGACGGTACCCATTCCGTATTGTACTCGCTCCAAAGCCCAGCCGTTGTAGATAACAGGGTCGCACTGGAAAACGGAGGAAGAGGGGTTCATTTGTGAACGCAAAGCGACCCCACGCGTATCCAGAGGCAGTTTCCAAGTATAACGGTCTCCGACGGTGCGGTCTGTGAAAGGATAGAAGGGGGAATTTTGTGGAGAAGTACCGGCCGGTAGTGTGGAAATCCATGCGAAGCCGCGTTCGCCGTACTTGATCTCGACAGTAAGGTCATGCAACGGTCTTGCCCTCCAAACTGAAAGAGTCTCTCTCTTTTCAAAAGTCCCCACTGGATACAAAGAATAAGCTGCGTCGAAGGCTATGAAGTTCATAACGCAGGCTGTATGCACATGTGCAAATCCATCGTAATCAGAAATCAGCAGAATAATCCTATAATATTTCGGGACTCACTGGAATGAAAATTTATGATGGCATCGAATGGGCTCGTCTCGCACACTATAAGTTGGATCTTCAAAAGACCATCCCGGCCACGTCTCTCGATTGAAAGTACAGATTCGACTCCTCTGATTTGGTAGTATAGTAAGAGCTCGTCATCATCAAGTGACTCGTCGCGGATTTGAGTACCATCCCATTCATCAGACACGATTTCACGGTAATCCTTAGGTTGAGTCGAATCTGGCCTAAACTTATATCCTTCTTTATCAACAAGATAGTCCAACACTTCTCTCACGTGCCCTGGATGCACGTAAAGGTCCATGTCAGAATCGGGATAAAACGTCCGATCCAGAAATTGAAGTGCGTTCGAGCCCGCAATAAGCGTCCCGGTACGCGCCTGTAAGCTGCGAAAATTGAGAGGTTCGGAAAGAAAGCGAGAAAGATGCCGGTGTATATTGTAGGCACGATGTGAGAAGTCCTTGGATGCAGCGTACGCAGTACGACAACTGCGACCAATGCGCACAAGCGTGCGGGGCGAGACACAAGAGAAGATGGTGTCGTAGATTGGAGCGCGACCAAATAATTCGCCTACGGCACATTCGTAAGCAAGTCGAGGTTGTCGTTGACTGGTATGTTTGGTTGGGATTCGCAACATGTCACCGTAGAATCAACTGAGGACTACAGTCAATATCTGAAGCACTCATTAAATAGAAGACAACGCACCCTCGAGTAATATTTGACAAGTGGGCTGTAGTGGGTAGACGAAGACAGACAAATCTGCGGACTTTTGAAAGGACGACTTACTTTGTAGTCAGCCGCAGCCTCGTGCTACGACAGCTCTGATACGTACACCGTATACGCATCATGTTCATTTACGAAGTCTCAGTGCCAATGAGCTGTACATCAAGCCTAGTTGAACGCGCTACGGTGGTTGTTTACATGTAGTTGGGTGTAGTTACGTATATACTATCAGTTCATGTGAATTCGGTGTTCCGACTTGCCGCGAGCGCTACTAGCAGCTTAAAGTACTGATCAATAGCAACACAAGCAAAGCACAAGGATCAAAACCACATTTATCTCCCATATTTCCACCAAACATTCCCGAAGTCAAACAATCGAGGATCCATGTCTCTGCAGGGTTTGATTTCTGGATCTGAATGTGCCGTACCACTAAACCCGCTGTCGCAAGTTCTGAAACACACAGAAGGAGACAGAAGCTTGCAGCAGGTCTGTCAACAGTGCTAAAACCCGTAATTCATTTGACAACAATTGCGAACAGGATCGTGTAGCTGGTTCTTCATCATCTCGAGTCAGCTTTTACTACATTTTCAAGTTGCTGTCATATATATTCATTTCATCCATCAGCTCCAGCACCTTCCAGGATCAGCTCCAGCCCAAGCCGCCGAACAAGATGTCACGATGGCACGTCAGTTCTTCGAAGGACAGCAAAGATTAGGTGGCCCTGCACTTGTTGCACCTCCGTATCTTCATCCTGAGGAACTTGCCCGCATGGCAGAAATAAACAGACTTCCAGAATTCAGTGAAGCATGGGCCAGAGAAAGATATCAGCCTCCAATACAAAATAATGTGACCCAAAGCTCGTGGGCAAATGAATTTGGCGGCGCTCAGCAACGACCCATTAGCGGTTCCGTCATGCAACATCCTGTTGCACAGATGCAGATGCCTGAAAGTGAGTTGCCCTGCGTAAACTTCTGAATTTTGAGTCAACGTTAGGTATACAGTTCAGAGACAGCAATTCATCGGTTCACATGGGATGTATGGAACACCCATGGGCTTGTACGGGAATATGGGACAGCCATTCTTCCAAGGATTCAATACTACTCCCCCGAGTGCAGATGCGAGCAAAGGGAAGGGTAAAGCCCGTGAAGCTGACTATGAAGCTGCGTTTGCCCAATACGCTTCCCCGTTGCAAAATCAACAAGGATCCACCTCCCGGATTGTTGAATTGGACGATAATGCGGCTACTTTGGAGCAGGCCATGGAGAGCGTCAAACTTGGAGATTCTGAACTGAAGACTAACGAGAATTTCAAGGAGTTCGTCATTTTATTATTATTACGCGCCTACTTAGATATCTTTAGCGCCTGGAATCACTTGCAAGACTCGGATATACCACCTCCCGCAGAAGATATCGGCAAATGGGAAGCACAATTCAACCAGCTCATGGGTCGTGATCGTGAGGAGCTCGACCAAGATTACTCTACAGCCATGCAGGAAGCTTGGAATGGCGGATTTGGAAACTTAAATGAGAGTGCCCTCGAATCCAGGTATAACGATGATGGGATACCCATCCTGAGCGAATATGTGTTTGGTGAGTCCGATTCGACACATCACACCCTCGTTTGTTCAACTATACAGAGTCAAACAACAAATATCTTGACCCATCTTCGTCTGGTCGGTCGCCGCTGAGCGAGGCAAAGGCTTTTTTGGAGCAGGGTGGTTCGTTATCTGAAGCTGCCCTTCTACTCGAGGCTGCTATTCAGAAAGGAGAGCTCGGTGAGGGCGGATATGAAGCATGGATACTCCTTGGCGAAACCAGAAACATGGACGAACGTGAAGACCTCGGCTTGCGTGCACTGACCGAAGGTGTTCGCTTATCAGAAGCTGCCAACGCCAACGGAGTAGGCATGCTGGTGCGTATTACATCTGGAAACTTCTTTCAGCCCCCTCTCATGACAGATTGTTGCAGTCCTTGGCGATCTCATATACCAATGAGTCTTACGACCGGGCCGCTTATAATATGCTGTTGCGATGGTTAGGAGCTCGTTTCCCTGATTTTCCTATATCAGATGAGACCCGAAGGGCTGTCTCGTTACACTCACCATGGGACTCTCATGAGAAACTTACAGAGACCTTCCTTACCCTGGCACGACAGCAGTATAATCAGGGGATTGTTGATCCTGATACTCAGATTGCCCTTGGTGTACTATTTTATGCAACAACAGACTACGAACGTGCGAAGGATTGTTTCGAGAGTGCCTTATCACAGCGCCCTGGGGTATGGAAGTTCCGGCCGCTGTCATCTCATTGTCGCTGATAATAATGACCAGGATTACCTACTCTGGAATCGATTAGGGTCTTCTCTTTCTAACGGGAACAAACCTGAGGAAGCCCTTGGGGCGTACAGGGAAGCTTTGAATTTGCGCCCTACTTACACTCGTGTTATTTATAACGTTGGGGTAGCGTGTATGTTTTCTAGTTAATCCCTACACGTTCTCAAGCTAATCTCACGCATAGGTCTTAACATAGGAGCACACAAAGAGGCAGCCGAACACTTTCTGAGTGCACTTAGCATGCAGGAAAGCACGGGCGGTGGTCAAACTAGTGATCAGTTATGGTTGACCCTGAGGCGTGCCTTTATCGCAATGGTGACTATGTTCAGTTCCATCATGTCTAGATGCAGCATGCTGAGCCTCTTCGTTTCAGGATCGCAATGACCTTGCGGAGTTGGCTAAACCTGAGAGCCGATCAAATTTAGATCTCTTTCGACAGGAAGGATTTGATTTCTAGTAATTTGGCCAATGCGGTATAGACAAATTGATGCAGTACGCCACATATAGACTGTAATCGGAGTTTTGTTTGGTCCTTGTATCTGCGATGGCACATGGTGCTGTGTTCATCGGCTCAATGTTCAAACGTTCAAATCTCGCTGCTAGTGTCCCCCTGGCAGATATCAACATGGAGGTTCGCTCTTGTACGACCACTATTTGAGTGTCGATCCACAAGGACTGCGTATATTTCTCTTTTTAATTTTACTCCAAGCTCATCCACAGGCGTGTCTCGTGCCTTGAACACATCGAGATTACGATGGGTCCACACGTTGGTCAAGTGAGTAGCCTATACAGTGGCTCCGGCTGGTGCACTTTTATCTTATCAGGTTGAGAGAAATTGATCTTGTTGAGTTGCCTCACTTGCCATTGACGACCCTAGATGGTGGCATGCATGTGCCGTAAGTTTTTATCTTGGAGCGGAAGCTGAACTTTTTAAGTTATCTTCCTTGCTGTGGGGTTATGTTGACATTGACATGGGATTGCGGGGACAATGCACGCTTTCATCTATCCATTTTGGTCACGGCGCTAATGGCTCAATAGCAATATAAAATGGCCCCTCTCTGGCTAGCTTTTCTCCAGCAATCCACTCTACTATCAACTGCCTCACAAACCAGGTGAGCTATCTGACTCGGATCTGACCATGATTGGCTGACACCGTCTTGCAGCTTAACCGCACTCACCACCATCATCATGTCCAACAGCAACACTGAGCAATGCAACTGCGGCGTCGCTAAGTGAGTTTTGTCTCGCGACATTTCATTGACCGAATTCTGACTGTCTGTCAACAGCTGCAACTGCCTCGCTGGAAGCTGCACCTGCAAGAACTAAACACCACGCGCAAGTGCACCTGCCTTGCCGTGTATATATAAACATAAAGATATCCGAAACCGTTTGACGTGACTTGTACCGTTGTATTGAAATGCCAGAATCGTTATAGTCTCTTTATAAAGCTGACAGTAAAGCTTGACTGCAACATCGATCCAGCCTGCCGATAGCGCTCGTTGAAGAAATCGAAAAACGCACAAATGCTCTTGAGTCTCTACATAGGCTTTACATTTCTAACCATAAGTTACTAACGTTACCGTCACGTGAACAGCTTGAACGGATTTAGTCTCTACCACCCTTAGAATCATGCTTCTATGTTTGCCACCTGCGAAAATTTCTGTCTCTGGCTGCGAGCCTCCTTCAGCAGCATCGTGATGAGTGTTTAAAGTGTCGCTCGAATTTCGCTGCAGGTGGCCGACTGTTCCATCCAGTTTCTGTTGTTTCTACTAAATACCAACAGACTCGTTCTTTCGAGGCGCGTACTAACTTCAAGGACTTGGCCTTCGTACTACCGTCCACCCTGCGCACCAATGGACCACTATATATAAGTAAGTCACTAGTACAGGATGGCGAGGGCTGGCCTAATATAAGTATCACGGAAGTCGGGACTGTCGAGTGACGACTGACGTACATCAAAATCATTCTCTCTCAAGGAGATAGTCAGAAGTACTGGTCATGAGTCTACTTATTATTATCGTGCATGGAAAGATCTCTAATTATCAACTTCGGGCCGTCGTGGGCGTAGTTGATTGCTCGACTCAGGTCATTCCTGGGTCATAGGACCTCGATGGTCGAAGCGAAGCTGATTCGGCCCGACTATAACGATGCATGGCTTCAATATAAGAGACGTGGTGATATACGGCTCTAGCAACATCCACTGCCCACCTTCATCCAACGTCAGTCATGTCTGGAGTAGAGATGTAAGTCGACCATGTACTGGGATATAGGTAGTAGTATGATGAATCTCACTTGCAACGGCATCTAGTCATTCCGTCCCGCGTCCTACTGGGGTGCCCGCCCCGGTAAAACTTAACAAGATCTCCTGTCAATTGACACAAGACAAAGTATTGATTACTTGTTCCTCTTGTTTCCATTTGCTGACTTTCGTTGCGCTTGAAGGCTCGGGGAGGAGCCCAGGCTATGTGTAAGTTCTTGCCCTGAATGTCACTTATCGTGCGATTAACTAAAGGCGTAACATAGTATATGCCGTTGGTATGACAGAGGAAGACATGAATAAGCCTCAAGTACCTTCATGACAACTTGTGGTTTTCACATTGCCTTAACTATTCACTAGATTGGTATTTCCCCCATCTGGTGGGAAGGTAATAATATCAGTCCTGTGTGCAGATGTTGGTGCTGAAGTACGTTTTTCAGGTAACCCATGTAATTCTCATCTCGTGTGTTTTGCTCCCCGTTTGCGAGTGTCCGGTAAATTAATACCTGTGTAGCTCGATTTGTCCAAGAAAGTTAAGGAGGGCTGCACGGAGGAAGGTTTAGTTGGCTTAACCTTTAACACCATTGGTGTTAGGTGTGTCTGGTCATTTTCCCAATGAATATGTACTAAAGCTAGGCAGTGATGCTATAACAATGGGAACAGATGGTAAGGTGTCTTTGATAAATTCCCTTGAACATATCTGATTGCATCTGCTCAGGAATGCGGTACTCGTGTGTATCATGGAAGTCACTGGCATGATATCCTGTTGATATAGCATACCAGACTTCCAAGTCGTGATCTCATTGCGGACTCCATTGAAGCTGTAAATGACCTCCCTGAGGCTTTAATTCAACGCTGACTCGGTTTTTTTATTAGGTCACACTTGTGAGAGGCTCCATCTTTTGGTAGCCTCTGGATGCTCAAGTTACTTGATTTGTGCAAGGCGCAACATTACGATGGTAATATCTCAATACCAGGTTGCGACAAGAACATGCCTGGTGTCTTGATGGCCGCCGCTAGACACAATAGGCCGACCATTATCGTGTACGGTGGTACAATTCAGGTTGGGACGCGCCATGTCGACTGCCCTTCCATGGGGTACGAGAAAGGCGGGACTGTCAACATCTCAGATGCCTTCGAGTCTTATGGTGGGTGGTTATCCGGCTCCAAATACCTCCAAGCCTTGAACTGGAGTCAGGTGCCTATGCGGTTGGCCTCATCAACGACGAGGAGCGATTTGATGTCGTCAGACATTCATGTCCTGGCGCTGGTGCCTGTGGTGGTATGTATACGTACGTGTTTCGTCGCTTTTAAGCAGAAACCTCCTCATATGACCTAGGGCCAACACCATGAGTTCTGCTCTTGAAGTCCTGGGTATGTCTCTTCCCTACTCCTCGAGCACACCGGCAATGTACCCTGGTGAGTTAGAAAACGCTTATGTTGCATGTAACGTTGTGAATTTGCGTATCAGAGAAGGCACAGGAATGCTTCAAAGTCGCCAAGTATATGAAACGTCTTCTGGAGCTTGATTTGAAGCCCAGAGATATCCTCACCCGTCAATCTTTCCTGAATGCAATCACTATCGTCAACGTCCTCGGTGGCTCAACGAACGCTGTTCTTCACTTGCTGGCCATAGCCCGTGCCGCCGATGTTCCCTTAACCATCGACGACTTCCAGATGATTTCAGATAAGACTCCATACCTTGCTGATTTGAAGTACTTTCAAATTCATAATTCGATTGCGTTCTCTCACAGTATTGTCAGGCCATCTGGAAAGTATTATATGGAAGACGTTCACAAAATCGGTGGCATACCCGCAATCATCAAATATCTTCTTAAGAACACCAATCTCATCGATGGTAGCCAGATGACTGTTACCGGAAAGACCCTCGCTGAAAACCTCGTGGATGTTCCTGAGCTCGACTTCGATAGCCAAGACATCATCAAGAAGCTTGATAACCCCATTAAGCCCTCTGGTCATTTGACTATTCTCAAAGGTAGCTTGGCTCCTGGAACCGCTGTCGCCAAGCTTACAGGGAAGGAGGGTTTGCGTTTTGAGGTGATTCACAGTTATTCGTTGATTCCATGACGTCATAGCTAACGGACACTGGTCGTTCAGGGTGTCGCTAAATGCTTTGATAGGTATGGCGTAACGCGAAACCTTGTGCTTAGCTTGCCTTATATAATTCATCTTTAAGTGTGCACGACTTTTATCCTGCGCTTGAGCGCGGAGACATCAAGCACGGGATGGTCTTGATATTCAGATACCAAGGACCGAAGGGCGGGCCAGGAATGCCAGAGGTTGGATGTTATTTTTGATATTATTTCTTCCATGCTCATATTTGACTGCAGATGCTGGGTACACTTGCATTTTGAACAAGCTCTACAGTCCCCCTAACCCCTTTACACACAGGTCCCACCGCCGCTCTTATGGGTGCTGGGCTAGGAAACTCAACTGCGCTGATCACGGATGGTCGTTTCTCTGGGGCATCCAGAGGTTTCATCATTGGTGCATTTTTTACCCAAACTTCGCTTGAAGACCAAGGCTTATTTCCGACCCACTAGGTCACGTTGTCCCTGAGGCGACCCTCGGTGGTCCAATTGCTCTTGTGGAGGACGGCGATCTCATTGTCATTGATGCAAAGAGTAGGGCCATTGACTGGCAAGTCGGCGAAGAAGAGAAAGCACGCCGAAGAAAAGCATGGGAAGTCTCGGGCAAGAGTGCCCTCAGGGAGCGGAGAGGTATCTTGTTCCGATACGCCCGTGATGTTGCTGTAAGAGGTTTAGTTTGATTATTCGACATCGCTTGCTAACCGTGCTTTGTAGCCTGCTAGCGAAGGAGCCTACTGCGATTGAGATGTCTCTTGCCACGGTGTATGAGAGGGTATCGAAACGATTGAGTAACATGGTCAATAAACATTATGCGTTAAGTCAACATGTCATCGGTAAATACAGAAGTAAAATATTTAACATGTTTTCGGGCCTCTTTGTTGGTACAATCAGGTATCTGGACTTTGAAAATACAATGTCGTCATCACCCCAATATCTCCGCAATACTGAACACACGTACAGTCCAAGTATACATGTCATAATCCTAACGGCTGAACAGATTGTCATATCCTCTACAAGTGCATTGCATCCTGGTCGGGTATTTGCTGAAAGCAGCCTCATGAGAATTTGGTCCATGAATAAATGCGCTGCAGCCTAGACATGACAATGTCCCAAATCACCTGCACCGCTGCGGACAAGATAAAAAAACTGTCTCGTCTCACGACATATTTACTTGCTGCGCGCGTCGACAATGCACCTCTATTTGAAAAGTGTAAGTGAGGGAGCAGTGATGGAGTGTTCCGAGCAAGGATTTCTCATGGGACGGAAGGATAGGATCCGACACTGATCCTGGTCTAATCATACCCATCTTCACAGCGGGCAGTGGGTGCCGGTGACCGCTCGTCCTTATTTTAGAGCATCAATGCACCATCCTCGTGTCTATGTGAGTACCCTGCCAGCATGATAATGCGGGATTTCGTCTTCTTTGTGGTCCTATCACATCACAGGTGACCACTCATCCACGAGGTTGGCCAGTATCTGGGAGTGGCCGTATGCAGCCGGCTGGGGCCCGCGCGGTTGGTATAGCGCCACGAGACTGAAGACACAGGAAAACACATACAACAGTACGCATGAGTTCTGTATCTGTACCATGTACGAGTGTGAGGACGCTGTGACGCCTGTGCTTAGATAGTAAATGCGAACCTGGTTTGGAAACATAAATATTACTATTGGAGTCGACGGTTGGAATTGACCACGAAACAACACCCGGGTATTCTGTCTGTCATTAATGATAATGAAGTCATGATTATTGTTCAGGAATTCAGATCTAATGTCACTGGCAGGTCAAGTGACTTACATAAATATATACAGGCTATCGCAATGAAAGATGCAAAAAGGAGAATATTTGCGAAGCCCGACTTCGCGGGTTCGTCGCCAGTGTAATCCCTCTTTGTCCGGTACCGCTTCCCCAATCACCTGCATCTCGAATGACATTTGCGATGTGCTCCGAACAGTGCAGACAACAGCCAAGTGGATATGACCCATAATCCACCACTGAACACCCCTCCGACATTAGAATCTCACCGGAGTAGCTTTTACTCGACTTCGTATCGTAGATGTACAGAACGAGGACACCCCATCCGGCGCATGCTACGACAAGGCCCCAAAGGGAGATGACGACTTTGCGGATGCTAGGGTGTGCATGCAACGGAGAAGGCTGAATCTCTGATCGATTCGTTGGACCTGCATACACATCCAAGTCGGACACGCCACGCATGCACCGGAAAGTAACGGAGTTCAATTGTGAATACCAGTTGGAAGTAGTCGCCATACGGGAGGCCGAGAATGGAGGGGGTAACACATCATATACGCGAAATAAGTATATGATAATCTGTATGAGATGGGCCTCAGGAATGCGTGGGTCCGTAGGCCCCCTATATGTCCCCCTCGACAACCTCATCATCTTGATCCGTGGACAGGAATTAGTTGCAGAACGAAGCCTCTGCTTGCTATTCAAACCAGTAGTTCACCATATTCTAGCGTAGATTGTGTCCTTGATGTCCACACTGCCTGCATCTAATGTAGTTCAGTCAGGATTTGCGATGGAGTAGCAACACGACAAATTTCTTCACCATTTTATAATTCTGATATTTGCAGACTAGATATATCATGATGTGCCGCGTATATGGTCCAAGACCTGATATCGACTGCCATAACATTATTGCTGGATGGATGTGCGTGCGCAGTGCTCGTTGGGTTCTTGCAAGATGGCTGGATCTGGGGGTATAATGTATCGTTCCGTCTCATTGATCTCTTTGGGAGGATTCCGATCTTTCGATTTCCGGCGTTTAAGTAAATACCAAATGAGGCCAGCGATCCATGCGATGCCCAGCACACCTCCACATACGCTGCCAGCAATTATTGGTGTCAAAGCTTTGTGTCTAAGTATGATGTGAGCTGAACATTTGAATGCAAGTCGAAGGGCCAAAGGACACGTACCCATTAAGGGAAGCAGCTTCAGAGGAGTTCTCTGCGCGAGCTGCTCGAATTTTCGTTGCAATGCCATGTCCCTCCCAGTGCATGTCTCTTCCGCCTTCTGTTCGGCGGTAGGATAGATCAAGTGGCCTTCAAGATCTGTCTTCGTACTCTCTACTAATGTCCGATTCTTCAAGGTCGAAGGATAGGAAGTGAGGAATGTATGTGGTTGACTCACGAGCAAGTCTTGCCGCAGTGAGCCGCAGAGAGCTCCGGAAACTGCCGTGGAGTGGTAATGTTTAAATTAAAATTTAGCACCCCACATAGTTTCTAGACCATGAGTCTACCCAAAGTCTGTCTGATTCAAGCCCGCGCCGCATGATGTTACTATCATCTCACCCACAGTCAACATTCATCCCGCGTGCCTGCCATCAGGATCTTTACCTTCATCTCTTCCGATCCATGCAAGTCTCTCACACTTACCTGACTGTCTCCATGTTTGTCTAGTATTTCCTACCCGCCCGCCAATACTATCATGATATTGTCTGTAGCTCCCAGTCTACGGCTACCACTCCTTCCTCCAGGCGAATATAAACACGACGACAAGCTGACAAGGACGACGGGATTGGCGTGATGGCGGGATGCGTACGGTAGCTGACGTAGACGGCAGGGTGGTGTAAGACAACAGACAGACCTTTGATCACCTAGACCTTTCACTTGTTTGAGTATCAACGAGTATCCAGTATGCCTCTCACCGCAGTGCAGCAGTATCCCATTGGTTTTTTTTTTTGGTCAGTCACTGCCCTTTTGTGGCGCTCCGCCAATGTCCCTAGGAGGTTGCTTGCAAGACCTGCATTATTAATGGACGCTCGCAATATCGACATCGATCCTCAAACCGAGTCGTTTCAACATGCCTCCCTATAGCGTTTGGATGAGGCTCGTCTGAGCCAGAGATTACGGATGCTGGAGTTGTCGCTCCCATCGGTTTCTCCGTGCTCCCTTGCATTAACCGATTTGGTGCAAGTAGACCAACAGGACGGAGGCGTGAAGCAAGGTCAATAGACGCCTCCGATCCTTAAATCTTAGGTGAATGTGTTGAGTATTGGAAGCATATTTCGGGTAGGCGTAAGGCGCGTTTGGCAGGATGGTCTTGAGTTGGTGCTTTTGTACAGTGATGCCGCATGCTGATCGATTCGTTCGTGTCCTGTCGTTGTTCTTCGTCGCGCTTGACTATATGATACATAGTTCTTGCAGACCACAGCGATGTCACAGGCTTGGATGCGGATTTAGCAATATGACCGTGGGTCAAGGCCATCGATCGCCCCTAAACACCCTTCGAGGCCTGCCAAGAACTGTTCCGTTCACCTGATTGCGACAGGCGAAAATGCGAAAACTTCCTGCCTTGGACCACATGTTCATAACCTCAACATAGTTACAGTCTATAATTTTGGTATGCATCCTTATGTACCCTATAGGTTCAATGCTGATTTTCCACTCGACAGGAGTCAAGTGAGTTGAAGATGGAGGAAGGGCCTCAAAGGCTTACACTGTGACTGGGCTCAAATATTGCCATCAATAGCTGCGTGCTATTTGGCGTATGCATTTACGCCATATTTATCCGGAAAAAAGGGCACATTGGTTCGTGTCATTACTCGTTCAATTATTCGCCGGCACTTACCCTTGGATCAGGATCATTCCTCTTTCAAGCATCTACCACTTTTCAATAGCGACAGTGCACAGCATCCTTTCCCTTCTATATGCTCTGCCACCAAATCCTGCTGTAATATCCGTCCCCGACGGAAGTACGTTGTACTTTGCCAGGGTTACGGCCTTGTCGATGACGATGACAGGATTGTATCTTTTCAATGTGGGTATCATATTTCTGTCGTGAATTGCACTTTATTGTACTTTCTTTCAGGTTCTTGTTCTGCATTTATTACTCGTGAGTAGTAGCTACCTGCGTTTGGAGGTGTTTAACCTGACACTCCTGACAACAGATCTGGAGGCTTTATTTGGTTTGGGATCATAACTTGATCCTTGCTATTGTTATGGTAAGATATCTTTCCATTACTTATCGCGACTTTTACGAGCGTCGAGATTGCTAGCTAATTCTGGAAACTGAACACCTCTGTGCGCCTGTTTACTTGAGTTGACCGGCAGTTAAAGTACTAACATTACTTCCCCGCGTAGCGACTGCCATCGCGGCCTGAGCTATGGTCATGTGGTTCGGTGTCGTTCTTACACTAGATTCCGAGACTTTGTTGAAAGCTTGTTTCACGTTCAACTTCGTTCTCACTGTTTGTCTCATATCTGGGATCGCCTACCGTCTTTGGCGCACGGGAAAAGATACGTTTGGTTTGACTGGTCATAATGCCTACAAGCCTGCTATATACACCATCATTCAGTGCGGTGGGACCTGTGCCTGCAGCATCGTGGTAGTGTGCGCTCTATACCTTTCTGGGAGCCGCGCTGGCTTCGCTCAACCAGTCCAGGTCAATATCGCCGAGGAGATCCGTACCTGCCATGACGACACCATGGATTCACGACCTACTACCCGGAGGAATCAGAGTTTGCCGACATATAGTGACACTGAGAAGGGACATTAGCTAGGAGTATTTCATACGTTTTTCCTTCTAATGAGGGAGGAAGGGCGGACATGCCAATAAGCATGGATTTTGCAGTGCTTAGTGTTTGAACCGTGAGCTTGAGGAATGAATTAAATATGAGGACTTCAGGAAAAACTGACAACGTTGGGCACACGCAACAACTGTAACATTTGGTTGTAATAGAGAAGGAACGCCTGTCTTCATTCGTTTAAGGGCTGCCCAAGGGAGGCTGGCCCAGCACAAACGGTATGATCAATAACGACTCCGAGTTCTATTGACACATCCCGAAGACAATATCGTAAGAGATACGGAAATGATGAGCGGTCAGATATTCAAGGATTTAAGATATTCACCTATAAATTACAGACTGGCATTAAGTTGGCATACTGAAGGAACCGTTCTTTGGGATCAAAGACCGAGCTCGGTATATTCTTGAACATTAGGGCTAGGGATGCAGACGACGTGCGTAACCACTGGAGTTATGTGTTAAAGGTCGCATATATAGAACGAAAGATGAAGAGGAGGCTACGAAGAATTAAAGTGCGATGGGGTTACTTGATTTGCAAAAGTCTGGCCCTTCACTCGGGGAATCGATTTTGTGCCTGAAGAAGAAAATCAATAAGTGGTGGATCTGGACCATTTGACAAAATGCTTATTTACTTGGATTTGATGTGCTGCTTGACACCTTCCAACATGAAAGTCCGATTTAAGCCATTGCAACGTCGACAGCGATATCCCAACTCGGTAGAAGGTTTAGACTTCTGAGTTGTGCCCGACTTTGAGGGCTTCCCGATCTGATGGGTAACGAAGAACTTCGTTGCTGGAGGCGGTTTCTCGATGGCGCCTTGGTCATAGCTAAAGTCAATTCCTTCAGTCGGAGTGGTGATTCTATGCCTACTACGTGTGAAAAGAAGGTGAAATGAAACAGAAAAGGTGATAGCTTACGATTTCATATGATTAATCACGGCAACCTTTGTAGTTGGGTCTCCGTAGTATGAATCGCATTTGTTACAACGCCACACTTTCTGAGTAGCTCCGGGATATTCGGGCACACGCCAACTTCGGATGACTTGAAGTTGTGCGTCACTCAAGAACTCCCAACGAGGCTCTTTGTGCGATGGACCTTGTTGGTCGACGTAATGAAACACCTAGAAGACAGTAAGCACAGCGTCAAAGTCACAAACACGGGACGAACGCCCTGACGCCAGTTCATTGCCATCCGGTACGATCCTCCATTCTCTGGCTTGGGTGGACAGTTGGAGCAGAAGAAGCGACACTGGAGACTATCCATTGTGGTTGCAGTCGTAGTTTTGGCGTTGAGACCGATTAAGCCTAACAAAGAACGTGCAGCGGCAACCCCACGCTGGGAGATCGAAAATGTACAAGATGATATCGACGCCGATCTTGCGTAATTTCGGGCCACGTCTTGATTGTGAGAAGACCATCTGTGATGCAGCACCTTGTCCCACGTAATCAGTGGGAAGGAGCCCAGGCGAGTGCATTGGAAAACGGAGGTCGCCAGCTGCAGTAACATATCATCAGGGGCATCGATTCCTTGGCTTTGTAGCGTCGTAGTATCTTGCAGTACATCAGTGGAGAGGGCCAGTAGTCGTGTCAGTTCGAGCTTCCTTTTATGCACACATTCAGCACAAAACTCGGGAAATCTTTCCGCGAAAGCAGAACAAGGTTGAATATCGCTTTCTTCATCCCCAGTGGGTGGGCTTTCGATAAATTCTGCAACATCACAGAGCTTCATGAAATCTTGGGGAGGAGGTGTGATGACCTGTGGCAACGGCTGCACGTATTTCTGATACATAGCCAACAGGCGAGACTCCCGGACATACGATACTTTTCTTTGCTTCTCGAGGCGCCATTCTTCCTGCAATTCAGCAAGCTTACGCTCGACTTTTGGAAACAAACGCTCCCAGCCTGGAAATCGACGATATGAAGACAAATATTTTCAAATGTAATAGATCACTGACGTGCATCGGTAAGCTCTTTGTCCAGTACGCCATAGTGATGACGCTTGAACATGCGCTCCACATCTTCAGCATTGTGGCCGAGATCGGCCAGTCTAGCTTCAAACCTAGGATAGAAGATCAAGACATAATTAGATGACGAGTCGATGGGATTTACTTACAGCTTTGTATTTTGGATACGAAGCTCACGGGCACGTGACAATTGACGTTTACCGTCCTCGTTAGCCCAAGCGCTACAGACCGCTATATGCTTCGAGGTTGTTAGATTTAGTAAAATCACTTGTAGGAATCTTACGTCGATATCGGAATTAACATATTTCTTGCGTGATTGCTTGAAGTCTTCTAATGCTTGCTCAGCACCTGGTTTGAGGTACACCTCCAACTCTTTTGCCATTTTCAGGACGTCATCTAACCAAAAAAACTCGCAGTCAGTGACATGAATACGATCATCTACACCGACTGCATAGGAACATCAGATACAGATAAATCATAGTAAGACAGCACCCACTGTCACTGGATGGGATCAAATCCATCATGATCGGATCGTATTTAGAAAATTCAGATTCAGAGACGCAGCGACCAAGACAGACTAGGCTTGCCAAATTGTTAGCTAGATAAAGGCATGATGACAAAGTAGTACTCACTTTTCATCGAGGCAGAGGGAACATACTCTGCGCCTGATACCAAAGTCTATTTGCCACATTCCCTTCTCGCCACATTCCTGAGCTTGTGGTCATGAAAAGTACAAAAGATGTAGACGGAAACCAGACATACTTGACAGTGAAAACCACCAAATAATAGGTTAGCCCATTCCATCTCAGACATGCCAGGTAGGCAGTCAGGAACACCACCACGGTTGACGCGAGCAGCTTTCCAAACTGAGACTGCATTATTAGATGATAGAACCTTATGGAAAGCCTTGTTGGTGCGGAACAGATGTAAAAGATCTACTGGTTCCAAAAGGCCAAAGATCTGATTGAAAGTGGAGGTCATAATAAATAAGATGGATGTGCAACGCTCATTAACTGACCTCGAGAAGAATATGGGTTGGCACAGTAACAATAAGACAAGGAGTTTTCTTTCTTCTGCTAGAACCTTTTGCTACTGGTGCCGCTCCCGTATCGGTTACTTTGTCTGCCCTAGCACGCTTTGTCGCGGGTCTATCTGGAACTTGAAAGCAAAAGTTGGTGAACAGTAATTGCTATGTCTCTCCGCCATAGTCACCTGCACCGTCTTCACTGGGCGCCTCACCCAGGCTGCTGTGCTCGCTAAATTGGCTACTACTATCTTCCACTGAGTCTGTGTCCAGGTTCGTAAATTCGGAGTCGTCGGAATCCCAGCACATGCGAATATCGTCGGGAGGGTTCCAACAGTAGGATGTACTAGAGACGCCCATGACGATTTGAACGTAGTATGGAGCGGCGTAAAGCGAACCTGAAGAAGTCGCGCTTTATGATGTGTTGGCGGCTTGACTCAGATTTAAAGGGTTCGGTCATTGATGCCGAAGGTGACGAGAGGTCGCTAGATCAGATGGGGAAACAAAATGTATTCATGTAGCGTATTGGCCCGGGAGTGGCGGAGACTGATCATATTGCGAGTGCTCAAAGCTCGGTGGTGCATCTTTAAGTGCTCAAGGTTGAGCGTATCAGTCACGGAACGCGGTGGACGGTCAAGTGGTTCTGATATCTATATAGCAAGTACTGCCAGAGTTGGGCGTTATATAACAGTGTCACGGACTTTAAAAGAAACACCAGCGGCATATCAAACAGCAAATTCATACTTAGCGATAGAACTTTTTGCACCCGGGAAATGGCTCAATTCACTACAACAACCGTTACTTATCCGCTAGCAAAATATTCGCGATCATATCCTACGAGCTCATCATCCTCTCAGAACCCTGCTACAGATGCAGAATGGCAACATTTCGTCCACCCCGTTATTAACCTCTACTTGGACGTGAAGAAATCTTCCGCAGGAAATCTTGTTTCTGTCCGCCTTCGAATTGTATGGAATTTTGACAGCAGCATTAATAACAAGGACGACGATCAAAGAGAGATCACACTTGTAGGCTCTTTAATTACTGAGGGACAACGAATCCCACTAAATAGCATAACCCTCCAGGAGGATCTTGATTTGCTCTCCTTCTCGTCGATCTCAAACTCGAGGACGAATCCTGGGCAACCCGACCATGGTCTTCCTCTCAAAGCTGTCTATCGAGATACTGTTGTTGGAATTCGCTATCTGCACCCGAGAACAGTAGACTCGACCTGTCAACCAGTACATACGTGCCATTCGCTCCAAACATTTTACCAAGTTTTGTTTTAGGTATATCGGCGCTTTCAGATCACATTTACCACTACAGCGAGCGCAGCTCAGTTTATCGATGCCGTCCGACCTGTTTGTCCTTGTAGATTGAATCCACAGCCGCAGCCTCTGGTCACTCGTATCCCTACTGTAGCTACGACAGGCCTTCTTGACGACATTTCCCGTCGAGGTACTATGCTCCCAACTGTTTCACAAGCTCGGCCGTCAATTGGCGGAACTCCCCTCAGGCCAGCGCCGACTACACTTCTTTCAGAAAATCCATCATCCGAATCCGATTTACCGGCATTCGCACCATCGACGCCGGTTAGGTTCACACCTGTGGTTCTGAGCAGCAGTTCTACGAAAACGACATCCGTGGCTGCATCCTCTCACGATAGTACCTTCGTTACGCCTCCAGAAACACCTCGAATGACTATCCCAAAGTCCAGCCAATGCCAAGCGCCGTCTGGCTCCATCAACTCTACCTTACCTGATTCTTCCCAGCCATCCTCATCTATTCGTAGTAGTTCAAACACGATGCCCCCGCCTCCACTGCCTTCGAGCGTCACACGATCTCTTCAATCGGAAAGTCGACCATTAGAAGGTCGTAATTCAACTCGGGCCCAGCTTGTTGCATCACTGCATGACACTCCGGCCCTTCACAAGCTATCCCATGCAGAGTTAGAATCCATCGTAGCACAAGTCATCAGAGAGGAAGGGTTTGCCCAACTAGTAAGTGTTCTCGAAGTCATCAAATGAGAGAAACCATAACCTCAGATGGCGCTGCTAATTGGATCCTCCAGCTTGCTTCCTTAGACACTATGTGGAGAGTGAAGGGTTTTCTTGGTCAATGACGCCTGATAGTCTTGAACATATTCATTTCTTGCCATCCTTCGAGTAGAAACCTTACGAAATATTGCCTTGTACATGTATAAAGATTGCAGATGTTACTATCAAGTACCTGTCTCATCCATTGCTTCCATCGATGTGCCAGCAACTTGCAAGTCATGGACGCTTTCCACACCGACACCTCTAAGTACCGCTCCGATCTTCTCTTGCTCTAATACCTGGCGTTCGGACTCGCTTTTCACCATCAGCATGCCAGCAAAACCAAGTGAGTTGATGCTCAACGTCGCCCCCGACTCTCCTAGGGTATAGGTTTCCCAGCGTCGCGGGATCAAGTGCATGTGTTCCAAGGTTAGAATCACATTATATGAAGGGGTACCAGGTGGGTAGTCCGGAACATGTCGTACGGTCGAAATCACAAGATCCAAGAGGGATAGGAATGGAAGGAACAAAACTTGTTCGAGCTGCTCCGGTGACGCGCCATTCGACAGAGTCGGAAGCCGATATACATGGTTGGCGTATGGCACGGATGACAGCGAAAAGGGTTTACCTGAGGATTACTTAGAGTGAGATATCTAGTAGAGCAGGAGCAGTATGGAGTAAGTACCTGAGACTTCAAGGTTTGCGGCTTTGGCTAATCTTTCAATTGGAGGTCCATCATCTTCAACTTCGATGAACTGGATATGTTTGTGACTTTGACTGGCTCCACTGTTTGGTCCGCCTTTGATGAATACTCAGGATAAGCCTGCCATCAGATCGTCATGTCACGAGAGATCCTCACAGTTGTAGAAAGCGAAATAATTTTTGCGTGCTTTCCGGGCTGCAAGGAGCAGCAGATAAGTTTGGACCAAATCATGAGGCATCAGCGGTGAAGTTTGCGGCATAAACTCTGTTGATCGTATGCATCAGCGCATGATCATGGTGTTTAGGTAGCTGGTAGGGAACCTTTGGTCACAAGAAGGAAATGATGGGGGACGACCGAGTACTTGTTTAGCTGGATGCACTTGAGCTGATGCTCGGAGGGAGAAAATTGAACATACCAGTACACCATATTCCGCCCCGGATGATTCGTCGCGTAAATCACCAACGTGAAGGTTTGGGACATATGGAGGTGCAAAGGGATCAGACTTCTTGGAAGTCTCGTCTATCTGATTAGATGGTGCGATTCCTGCTTCCCAAGCAGGTATCGATTTCTTTTGAAGCGCTGTACATAGGCGAATCTCCCACTGTGGATTGATCACCCGTATGAATTATCATTATATTGATGAAAGCAGACGGAAACACACCTCTATTCCGATCTCCTCATGCTTGCTCACTTCCGACGGGAAGAAAAACAGATCCCCTGAAGATTGCGCAGCTTCAAACTGACTGGGTAGTGCAGATATGATATCAGAGGCCTGAGTCATGACTGAACTGCACGTCAATATTTGGTCACCGGCGTGTGAGCACAAATCGGCCAGCCGTGGCTATACCGGCTATACCGTGACTGTACAAAGTAATCGTCACGGCGCTGGCGCCAGCTGCCCGACTCGCTTATTCCTGGTTTTTAATGATGTCCATAGAAATCTGATGTAGGTTCGAAACCTGCTCGACAATCCTTTTCCTTTCACCACGCCTTGGACATTCACTCATGGATGGATCCTTCAAGGTCTATCTCGAGTAGTCATAGCCAACTGGTACCATGACAGATTAGAAACTCTGCATTCTTGGGTGGTGCAGATTCAAAACCTGCCGACAAACTTTGATTTCCCTCTTATCGCACCTTAACATTCACTCATGGACAGTTCTTCGGAGGTTCATCTCAGCTCGGGAAGTGTCCTTGTCTTGTAGTCACCACGACCTAATGCATTGTTTAATGATAGATGTTAATGCGATACATGTATCTTGTCACTACGATGTATAATGCATTACCTACCCACGAAGTCGTCTTTAATCACACCTTGACATTCACTCACGGGCAGTTCCTGGAGGGTCATTTCACCTTCTGCCTGACGAAAGTGGTTACCGCAACGGAATCGAAATCTGTTTCTCCTGGGCTGCACAGGTTCGAAACCTGTCGACAAACGATTTTTCCTTCTTATCACATCTTGACATTCATTCATGGACAGTTCGTCGGAGATTCATCTCAACTTCCTCTTGGCGAAAGTGGCTGGTAACCACAACAGAATCGAAATCTGTTTCTCCTGAGCTGTACAGGTTCGAAACCTGCCGACAATCCACTTTTTCTATAAGAACACGCTTTGAGGATTCACTCGTGGGTGAGTCCCTCGGAGGTGCATCTTAACTGGTCCTAGCCAAGTGGTTACCGCAACAGAGTTGAAATCTGTTCCTCTTCAAGTTGGACCGGCCAGGTTCGAAACCTACCGACGACAAAGTTGTTTTTACTCCAAAGCACGAGTTTCAGGAACGTGGAGAGGATATATGGATCTTTGTCTTCTTGCACAACAACGCCTATATCCTAAGTGCTTCATGGACGGCATGATGCAGAGCAGTACTGTGGCACAGGGGGTCTTGTCGGACAAAAACGGAAAGGTGGTTAGAACACCCTGACATTGACATTGACTCAATCTTTACCAATCGTCCCAACCAAGTGGCAACCACAGTAGAATCGAAATCTGTTTCTCTTGGACCGCGCAGGGTCGAAACCTGCCGATCACTTTTTTTTTTCGGAACACGCCTTGACATCCACTTACGGATGGTTTCGTCGGAGGTTCATCTTAACTGGTCACGAGTCTAGTCTGAGCCAAGTGGTTACCACAATAGAATCGAAATCTGACTGTGCAGGTTCGAAACCTGCCGACGACAAGTTTTTTTTTATCAGAACACTGTACACCTTAACATTTACTCATGGATCGGAGGTTCATCTTAACTTCGTCCTAACCAAAGCGATTACCACAACAGAAAATCTGTCTCTTGGACTGTGCCAGTGTCCTGCCGACGAAAAGGTATTTTTTCCATCGGAACATGCCTTGAAAATTCACTCACAGATGGTTTCCTTGGAGGTCCATCTTAACTGGCCTTGGCCAGATGGGCGCGGCCGGCCAGGTGGTTACCGCAACAAAATCAAAATCTGTTGAACCTGCCAACAACCAGTTTTTTTCCCTTATCAGAACACGCCTTGACATTCACCCATGGATGGTATATTTATTTGGTCACCGGCGTGTGAGTACATATCGAGCACCAAAAACAGGGGCGCCTACACAGGCTAATATACGGCTCGCCAAAATAAAATAATTCGAGGAAGAAATACTGGCCGCTCGCCCGCCAGAGAAGAGGAATCACATCGGGAGAACCGTGACTTGAACAGCTGGGCGCTGATTGATAGTAGCTACAACCCGAAAACACGTGTGTCTAGACCCAACTCATGCATATAGTGAGACTGAATTGATGCAACGATCTGCAAAGAACTAAATTCAAGCCGTCGTGCATCATGCATGTCCTCATATCATCCGGTCGAATGACACCAAAAGCTGGCGCGCGGCGACAGGCTGCGTCGTGCTCTCTGGTCGTCAATATCAATGTCAAGACTAGTAGTACTGGCCTCAGTTTCGAGGGTGTCGAGTAGGCTTGAGGATTCATGTTCTAGTAGGACTTGATATTAGAGTACTAGTGTTTTGGAGTGCCGTGAGGCGGCTCCCCATGTACAGTCACATTCATCGACAGGAAAATAAAATGGACGAAATAAATGTAATTGAGTGGGGCAATTAAATACCTTTCGTCTTCCATCCCCTAACAACATGGACTATTATAAGCCTTACGGATAGCTGACTTTGCCTCAGGTATTGACTTCCCCATTGAATGATTTCCTTGGTAAAAACAAAATCATGGTCAGTGGATGTGGCGACTTTGATAATATTAAGGATTAAAGATGGCTTTGCCTCGTTCTCTAACTCATCCGTTCCGAATATTGTTCATATGATCAATAGATAGGCTGAGTAAATTACAAAGTAGTAGAAATCGTGTTGGTGGTTGCTTATAAGTGTATTGCGAGCATTTATTTCAGTAAAATGAAGAGCTAGAAAGCATAGTAGAACCAACAGCATTAAGGTCCTAATATGAGGCAGTGTAAGTTGTTGATATGTCTGGAGAATAGAAAAGAAACATGCCTTTGCAAGCTCTTGCCCTTGGGACAAAACAATGAGGCAAGACCCCAGACCCTTCAAACACCAATGCTATTCAAGCCAAGAGGGGAGATAATGATTCCAGAAAGCCTGAAATATATGATGGAGGTTGTCATCCCACAGATTTGAAACATGCGAAAGATGGACAGCCCAGTTTTGACATGCATATTTCAGAGCATCAGAGGTGGATTGACTGAGTTCCTGTGCTTTGTTTGCGAAGGTGGTAAAGGCATTCACAGCATGGATGATTTCCTTGTCTAGTGGAAAAACTTGACCCTCTGGTGATGCAGAGGTGCCATGTTCCTGGTGCCTTAACACCAGGAATGCTGGAAATATCAAAAAATCTGGCAACTCCTTGAACTGTTGTATCACTTGGAAAGCTGGCAGTGAAACTAATTCTCAGGCAATCTTAAATTTGCTGATTGCTTCTAATGCGCTTGAGAATTCTTCCATTGTTACCCAGGTGGACACCACAGAAGTAGATTGCCATGCTTTGCCATGGGGAGTCTGCAGCCAGTCTTGCCCATGCAGGGTCTGTAGCCAGTCCCTCCTGCATGGAGTTGACAGCCAGTCTAGCCCTCCCTGGGTTTGCAGCCAGTCGTGCATGTGGGTAGTCTACAGCCAAACTCTCCTGCCCTGGCCCTGCAGCCAGTCTTGTCCATGTGTGGTCTACAGCCAGGCTCTCCCACCCTCAGTCTGCAGCCAGTGTTGCCTGCCTTGTGTCTGCAGCCAGTCTCTCCCATCCTGTGTCTGCACCCAGTCTTGCATGTCAGGGGTCTGCAGCCAGACACTCCCACCTTGAGTTCACAGCCAGTCTCTCCTGCCCTGGAACCACAGCCAATTTCTCTTACCCTGGGTCTGCAGCCAAACTTACCCATCCTGGTGCCTCAGCCAGTGGTACCCACCCTGGGTTGCCAGCCAGTCTCTTCTGCCCTCACTCTGCAGCCAGACTCTCCCTCTCTCACTCTGCAGCCAGACTCTCCTTCTCTCACTCTGCAGCCGAACTCTCCTACTAGGGGTCCTCAGCTGGGCTCTCCCACTTTGGGTCTGTAGCACATCTCTTCCATTCTGCAGCCAGTGTTTGCTCACAGTTAGTCTGACCTGTTCTTCTACCCATCATGGTATAACCCGAGTCTGCACATTGTGTTTTATTTTGGTAGAGATCTCCAACAGGTCTTGCCCGTCCAAGGTCTGCAACCATTCATGCCCTCCATTGGTCTGCAGCCATCCTTGTCCTCTCTGAGTTTGTAGCCAGTCTTGGGCTCCCTGGGTCTGCAGCCAACCTTTCCCACCCAAGGTCTGCAGCCAGTTGTGCCCTCTGTGGGTCTGCAACCAGTCATGTTCTTTGTGGGTTTATAGCCAGAATCTCTGCTGTGTGGTCTGTAGCCAGTCTCAGTGCATGATCAGCAGCCAGTCTGGCTCACGTGTCGTCACTAGCAAGTCTTGTTAGCACATGAGCTGCTGCTCTCTCCTGATCTGCGGCCAGTATTGCTCTCTGTGAGCCAGCATCCAGTTGCTACTGCCCTAGGTCTGCAGCCAGTCTTGCCCTTCATGAGTTCGCAGCCAGCCTCTCATACCCTGGATCCATAGCTGGTCTTGCCCACCCTGGGTCTGCAGCCAGTCTTGCTCTCCATGGGACTGCAGCCAACCTCTCACACCTTGGATCTGCAGCCAGTCTTGCCCACCCTGGGTCTGCAGCCAGTTTCTCCCACCCTGGGTCTGCAGCCAGTCTTTCCCTCTGTGGGTATGCAGCTAGCCTCTCCTGCGCTGTGTCTCCAGCCACCCTCTCACACCCTGGATCTGCAGCCAGTCTCCCCCCTCCCTTGGTTTGCAGCCAGTCTTGCCCTGCCAGGGTCTGAAGCCAGGCTCCTACACCTGAGGTCTGGAGCCAGTCTTGACCTCCCTGTGTCGAGAGCCAGTATTTCCCACTTGAGGTCTGCAGCCAGTCTCTTCCACCCTGGGTCTACAGCCAGTTTCTTCCACCTTGGGTCTGCAACCAGTTGAGCACTCCCTGGGTCTGTAGCTAGTCATCCTCCTTGCTTGTTTGCAACCAGGTGCATCCATCCAGGGTCTCTAGCCAGTATTGTAAATCTGAGCTGTGGCCACCCCAAAGCCATCTCATGCTGATCAGAATTGACAGTGGCTCTGGTGGCCAAATGAGGAAGGCTAATGAGTCTCTTAATTTATGGGGGTCCTGGGGTTGCATAGCTTGGCTCTGCTTCTGCAATTCTGAGAGCACACCTAGAAAGGTCATGCTTTCTGGAATCTCCTTCATCATCAAGCAGAAAGAAGCACTAGCAAGTAGGGAGTGGGCTGTTGATATACTGTGTACATGAGGGAGGCTGCAGTTTGAGGGGTCAGAAACATAGTCATGAAGGGATGAGTGATGGATATTTATGGGAAGACTATTATTGGTAGGAATATCCAAAACCAACCATAGCTGTACTAGCATTGTCTCAACATCCCTGCCCAGACCAGGGCTGAGTAGTTTTGAGATTTGTGACATTGGCAGAGGGACTGCAAGGGCAGCAATGATGGACAAGTGCATGTAAGCCCACTTGGGGTCGGTGCACATGGAGAGGATACAATAGTATAACTTGTACACCTCCGTTCCTGGTAGCAGCTTGAGCATCAGCTGCAGCCAACTGTGGGGATCATTGTCTCCATTGTTGATAATAAACTTCATCATTGTAGACGCCACAATGAAATGTCTGCCTGCACGGCTTGCCAGCTTCACAAGATCATCCATCAATGGCTGCAGGAAATCCTGATGATGAATTGCCAGCTCTCCAAATGAATGCTGCAAGAAAACAAAGATGTCATTATCAACATCAGCGCTGTCTAGTGAGATGATGGTAGCAATCCCTTCCCCAGAAGTTCTCACAGGTATCTTGTGCACCAACAGGCGCACCTTGCCCTTCTGAAAGATTTTGCTGATGTATGATTCCAAGCAACTCACGAGCAGAATGTGGGCCACATGCAGATCAGGTTCATGAAGAGCCCATGCAAGGGAAAGGACAAGATTGGTAAGCTTGGGTTCCGATGTGCATTCATCAAGTGCATCAATAACAAATGACAAAGGCAGACACCTGCACAATCTGAGTTGAAGTTTCTGGAGAGGTTGAAGAAAGAGAACCTCCATCTGGTCACAAGGAGGTGTGTCAGGGTCTAGCAGAGCAGGATTCTCACGGATAGCTCTGTTTACATCATTGCGGATGTTGGGGAAATTGTTGGCAAGCTGGTAGACGAGCATCACAAAAAAGTACCCAGCCATGCAACATTTCGTGTTCTTGCATGAGATTCCTCCTAGCTGCATTCTGACATCCATCTGCTCTGTGACTTTAAGACCTCTCATCCTTTCAGCTACTGTGAATGCAACAGCAGACTTTCCGATGCCTGCTGTGCCATGCAGCCAAATGAGCTGATTATTTTCTTGGTTGTCTAGTAATTTGTGGATGTAGTAGAGGAGATCCACCCAGGTCCCTTCCAAACACTTGGGGTGGGGCTGATGTTCAAGGGAGTTATATTGAGCACCCTTGACAATGACCTCAGATAACCTTGCCAAAGTTCCTTCAAACAATGGAAGAACTATTAATGAAGGTTAGAGAGCCTGATAAGTACAAGAGCAAGAGCGATACTGACAATGATCCTCGCTCATTCATGTGAAGGCTGTGGTATGCGTGATAAAATGGACTGACTGAGATATTAATGTGGAATGCAGTTGAAACTGAAGGATGAGTGGGCGCTCATCTGGCTGCAGGAAGACACAAGGCTACCATGACTGTGCATGCTGGCATCATTGCTAGCCCAATCACATTGGCCACTGAACAACCAGGTGTACATCACTGAAAACCAATGTTCCCTATCAACCATTATATACACATTATCATGTAGATAATAACCACATTTGGCTAAAATGTGGCACCACAGACTATCTAGACTTTTATGGCTTTAAAATGCCATCCTCTATTATGCATAACCATCAGATGGACTTATATTCAGTAGTAGCTGCACAATTGTGATTGTTAATACATTGAATCTCATTAATGGATGTGCAAGATATGTTTATACTATGCAGCGCATAGACTTTAGAGCATTGTGACTGTTCATGCAGCATATCTATGAGAGTGCATTTGATGGCTAATATATATGAAAAATAGACAGAAGCACTAGATACATAAAGTCATTTATGTGTATTTAACACTATCCCACATGATCAAGGAAAGTCATGGAGGTTGGTGTACAGTGTCAATCACACGAATTTAGTTATAATGCTACAGAACCTGGTTGACAGCCACATCTAATAGATGTATGTAGGACAATTGTGAAACAGTGTGACCCAATTTCTGGTCATGCTACATATATATGAGCACACAATTGATAACCAATCATATATCATCTTGTGACAAAAGTGAAAGGTAGTTACCAGTTGCACCTGGTTTTCCCATATCAACCTTTGTGCTTGCATTGCTGTGTGAATGAGTTATGCTTTGACATTTATCATACTCCAACTTAATAAACTTGTAAGACTATGATGCATGATTGCTGTGGATGATTCAATGTTATCTTGGTGGCAAAGTAGGTCCAGTAGACCCACACCGATATGAATGAAATTTTTTTGAAAGAGTGTTTGCTGTATGACATTTCAAGCACACAGGGTATTGTTTCAAAGATGTTAAAGAAATACAGTATCCTGCTACCTGTAACATAGGTAGGTAAGTGCCTCATAAGTTTAATATAGGTATTATCTCTCAGTAGGAACAAATCATGGACATGTAGCAAATAAATGACCATTGGATACTGCATTGCCGAGTCTCCCAGGTGGTGCAAAATCCATTAAAATTTGAAATCATGGTACATTTATTATTTAGGAACTACACAACAAAAGTCACTATAGCTAGTTGTGTTACATATCAATATACTCAACTGATCTGTAAATAATGAGTGGAAGATCTGAGCTAATGTCTACCTGAACAATGAGCAACAGACAGCTGCTTGGTTCTTTGGGGATGATAGATGGATGCATATTTGCGTCCAAAAACCTTACTAAAGTTACACTATATTGAGAACAGTGGCCGATGGCTATAGTACACAATGACTCACTGGTTCCACCAAAGCAATAAATCTTCAACTTCCTTAACTGTGTTTGACGTCACAGCAAGCTCGAAGAAGTCAATGATATGGTCATAAAATTCTTGATGATTGAACTCGTCATCTATAATACACCATGATCCTGTGCTAGACAAGGCAAACCTAAGCTGAATGACCTGCATCAGTGAATGCATTGATAGGAGTGATTTGTTGTACTTACCTGCATGGCTGCATATGCAATTGACTGTGGTTGAACAGATTTCATGTTCAACAGCCCAGCAACATTGCAATGAGTGCGGTGCTTGCCATTAGTCCTTTGCTGCCTCAGATGACCCTGTGCAGAAAGCTCCACCACGTTGATCTGCTCTTCATCATCCAGCTCTGTGGAGGTAGGAGATGTGAAGATATACTTGAAGGTCTAAAGGTAGCTTCAGTAAATTGTCATTCATGCTCATAAAACATACCTTTAAAAGTAATTTCCCTTTAAAGAGACCATCTATAGGGTTTAGTGGGTCATATCATTCATCCTTGTATAAAAAGGCAGGCCAGGAGTGAGCTGTAACTCAATAATCAGGGTGATAATCCCTGATTCCTTGTTAGATACTACCACATTGATCAGCAAAGATGCCACAATGTACACAAAACTTACACCGGGTCATTCCAGTCATAATCTACAGGGCATATAAGCCATCCTGTTGCATTATTGTTGAACCCACAACCCATTTTATTCTGCATGTGAATGACAGGGTTTGGTGGTGGGGTATCTTGCATCAACCACAAAGCAATGGTGACTTTAAGTCATGTCGTATCATCAGCCCTTGCTCTGTCAGCACCCTTATTTAACTAGAAACAGTGTGTCAATTACAGTGGCTCAAAAAACTGTCTGCATGTTTTGACATTTTTCACTATCTATGATATTGTGTGAGAACTCACAAATGCCTCAAGGACATGCTTATACCACATTGTAGTATGGCTTCAGGGCTTTCATTTGAGCCATACACCGTGGGAATCGGTGGAGATATGGTGGAGACATAAGGCTTATAAAATGATGACTCATGTGGACAGTTTTTTGAGTGTATATTAAAACTATATAAATCATGCCACTATTATATAAATTATGAAGTGATGTCATTATGTTATTTTATGACTATATCTAACTATATAAACCAGAATATCTCATGTATCATAGTCATAATCACCATGAAAGCCATCTCCTCTGCTCAAAGAGATAATATCCTCTCTCTGTCTTATGCTGGCCTCTCTGCTTGCCAAATTTCCTCTAGAACTGGAGTATGCAAGTCCACTGTGGCCAAGTTTATCACAGAAAGCCACCCAGACAAGGAAAACTCTTGTGGAGGATGTCCATCCAAGCTTACCTCTACTGACAAAAGGGCTATTATCCAACATATCACTACAGGAAAGGCTGATAATGCTGTCCAAACCACCCATTATATCAATTCCACCATCACTACTCCTGTCTCTTCACAAACTGTGAGGAATGTTCTCAAGGCAGCTCATCTCAAGGCAGTAACAAAGAAGAAAAAGCCTCTTCTCTCCATCAAACATAGGCAGAGAAGACTAGCCTTTGCCTTAGCTCATCAACACTGGACTGTGGAGGACTGGAAGCATGTTATATGGTCAGATGAGACCAAAATCAATAGGATTGGGTCAGATGGGAAGGTATATGTATGGAAAAAGAAGGGAGATGGCCTAACAGACAGAGAGGTTAATGGGACTGTCAAGTTTGGAGGAGGTTCTTTAATGGTATGGGGTTGTATGGGATGGAATGGTGTGGGAATACTTGCTGAGGTTGAGGGGAAGATGAATGCTGAGCAGTATGTGGACATTTTAAATGACCACTTGCTGCCTAGCTTGGCAGAATCAGGGATTGATGAAGAAGATATCATTTTCCAACAGGATAATGATCCCAAGCACACATCCAGAAGAGCTAAGGAATGGTTTGAAGAACATAACATCAATGTTCTTGACTGGCCAGCACAGTCTCCTGATGTCAATGTCATTGAACATCTCTGGGGAACACTCAAGAAAAAGCTTCAAGCCTATGAAAACCCCCCTAAAGGAGTATGGGAGCTTTGGGAGAGAGTAGCAGTGGAATGGGGGAAGATCACAGCTGAGGATTGCCAGAAATTAATTGAGAGTATGCTTAGAAGGATAGAGGCAGTAATTAAAGCCAAGGGAGGTCATACAAAATACTAGAATACCTGGTTATTATTGTAAAATACTTGAGTCAAAAAACTGTCTGCATGAGTCACCATTTTGTGAGCCTTGTATCTCCACCATATCTCCACTGATTCCCATGGTGTAGGGCTCAAATGAAAGCCCTGAAGCCATACTACAATGTGGTATAAGCATGTCCTTGAGGCATTTGTGAGTTCTCACACAATATCATAGATAGTGAAAAATGTCAAAACATGCAGACAGTTTTTTGAGCCACTGTAGTATCATCACCAAGGTGTGCATATGTCCCACCTTGCTGTATACACCAGATAGTTCGCTATCCTCAATCACTGAGTGTATGAGCTTATGGACAGACAGACACCAAGCAGCTAATTTCTTGTATGATCTGTACCTCCTGTCGTCCCTAGTGTGACATATCAGCATGAGCAACTGTAAATGCTGAAGGACTCACTTGGGGTCATTCACACTAGCATTGTCATCTAATTCAATACCTAGTGTCATGTGTCTATCAAACTCTGTGATGAGATCTTCTACATGTTCAGTAAGGCAGATGAGTCTGTAGATTACCTGACCCTCAAGATGAAGGCATACACTATCAAATCAATGATTCAAAGGGCAACCACACACTAGATAAAAACTCATATCTTTTCTCCTCCACTGGAAGTTTGCAGAGCTCTGCATTTTGCATCTCCAAAAGAGCCAGCTGCCTTTTCAAGGCAGCTACTTCAGAAGGTGAGCCATCACCTTGGGTGCTCATCTGTGACATTAGGTAGAAGCATTGGGAGGTGTTAGAGGTAGATGCAAGTAGTGAATGTGAGAGCTGTGGAAGTGTGAGAGAAGGCACACTGACTGAAGTATGGGGAATCAGCAGCAGTTTGATCCAGTGTATTATGAATGATACAGAAAATATTGTGTCTGCTGACATCTGGGGGTTTCATGTTTGGAACAACCTAACAGTCATTAGAGGATTGTGGTCATTAATAAGAATGAAGGGTCAGCGAAATTAAAGAATGTGCTTACAAGGTTCTGGTCTGCTGAGCAATACCAATGTAACATCAATCACTATCCTGCAGAACTTCTGATCAAAACAGTCAACAATAATCCCTGAATCCCTGAAAAACAATTAACAACCAATGGACATCCAAGAAGGGCTTAGTTGGGTGAAAAAATATGCTTAGCCTCCCAAGGCATCTCCTTTGCCATCATCAAAAGCAAACTCAATTGGTCTAGATGTGTAAGTGTGCATGCAGAGATGCGATAGGTGAGGTGTGAGATGAGGTGCAAGGTCATACTGCGAAGGGAAAGAAGAGGCATGGGGAGGTTGTACTGCGAAGGGAAGAATATTAATGGGTGAAATTTGATGATCAGAGGTATTGGGGAAGGACTGACATCAGAAGCCGAATGTCAGTGAAGAACACTGCAAAGAAATTTGACTCACCAGTTTTGGTGGATTAGGGTTAGGGTTAGCAAAATGAACCTGCAAGGCAGTGCTCATGAGGGCGCCTAAGGGAGAAAAAAATAAGGCTACAATAAAATAAAGAATTAGTAGTACTATGGGGTCTTTGAGCCTGGAGACCCTCACCCACAGCTGGCAAAATAAAATAAGATAATGATTGAGTTTTCCCAGGGATTTGTGCTCAGGGACAAAGCCACACAAGGTAACAGCAGATGTTCATGGATCAGCACCTGAGCAACTGAAAGTGTCTGCATGATGTGGAGCTGTGCATAGTGCATGTATCAGTGGCTCATATGAGGAATCCCAGTGGTACTAACTGAGGAACAAAAACACAAAGGTTTAAACCTGCGAATGCAATCACATGACTGTTCAAAGCCCACCGGGAAATTCCCATTAAGTATTCAAGATACTACACAGACTAACTAGATTATCAAGTGCAGACTCAGCTATGAAGTGAGAATGGGAGAAGCAAACAGGAGCATTCTCAATTGTCATTGCATTGACACCCTGCTGCAGTTCCTGAGTTCAAGGATTTTTTTTCTTGATGATGTGTGGGGATGGAGCAATTGTAAGCGACTGAGGGTGTTTTGCACTGCCAAAGCCCACTATCACAGAAATCCAGTTTGACATTACACTTTATTTTTCAATGACTCTCCAAAATATCAGTATTCATCAGTAAATCTCAAATTTCTCCAAAGATAACACACTACAAAGGGCCAAGCGTCATGTGAAAATGTTGGTGGGTGTAACTGGTACCCAAATGTGGTCACAACTCTCTGACATCTGATGTGTGCCTTGCATGTCACCCAACACCCAAGCGTGCATGAACACAGGTGCCTGCAACCAAGCTGGATGCATCAGTGCCATGTGCCTCATTCAAAGACCCTGGGGGAAAGCAGCAATGTGTGGGTGCAGCTGGACCTTCGCATGTGCAATATAAAAATTTCCAGCCTCCCTTGAAGTGGGCACACACTTCCTTGCCTGCAGCCCCTGCACAACCATTGTCTCTTTTCTCCAGATGTGTTTGGTCCTGGGCCAACAGGTCATGTGCAGGTTACCTCAAGATAGGTATGACAGCGATCTCTGAAAGTCCTGTATATTGCCCTGGCAAGACACTATCATCCAAGTTAGTTTCAGCATACACATAACACAGACTCCTACCTTAGCCTTGTGCATTGATTCCAGGCATTGTCCAGTACAGCAGTTTTGAACACCTTTGCTGCTTGAATGACAATAGTCAGATCTTCAGCATAATTCTGGACATTAGTCGAGTGATTCAACTTAGAATGTTCCAGCCAAGCCAGGTGCTTGTGGCATAGAATAAAGGGTTGATAGTATCCTTGATCAAGGCATACAGCTCCAGTGCCGATCTGAGAGGCTGATTTTTGACAACATATAATCAACCGTTAATGCACATGTTAGATACAAAATTTGAAATATGCACAAGTAGTACTACAACAATCTATTGGGCGTGGTGCCCAATATTACTGTACTAGAAGGTGATCAGTGTGTGAAGGCAATGATACTAGTAAGAGTTAATGCATACCATTCAAAATTCCTTCAAAGGGCCGGCACTGAGATGACAATGTTTGAAGGGGCTGCTCGGCATGGCGGCAGGTGGTGACAGGATGGTAAGTTCTCATAAAACAGCACTGAAAATGTCTTGTTTCTTGCTTTTTACTCAATAGTGACAAAATGCCATATGCACTTCAATGAGTGTGCCCTTCAGTTTTGACTCATACTGAGATGGTAGGATGAGGGTGTGATCCAAGTCATATGCTGGCAGGGGGCAGATGATATTAGTTGAAATGAGGCCCTGCAAATGGCCTTTGCATTGGTCGGCCACTGGCCAGGTGGTAATGTTGAAGTTGGGGCTTAGGCTATCTGCAGTTGGGTAAAAACAATTATTATAGTGACAGACATAAGAATCATTCATGGCTTACCAGTCAAGTAGTTTTCATCACCATAAACTTCGCCAGCAAAATCTTGCTGATCCTCTTTATTGGCCTGGTTCATCATGGCAATACCCAGAAATTAGTCATGGTGATGCGCACAGACAAGTATATGATGAACACTTACTTTGAAAAGACTGTGTGTCAGTTTGATGGATCTTTGGCTGAGTGAATCATGAATAATGCTGAGTTTATCATACCCTCCTGGCCTCGGGATTAATCCCTCAAAATGAGCAAGATTGTTGAGAACATCTGGGAAGTCTTCTGATGAGAATCGGAATGCATCGTTATGGCCAGCAGTGAGCTGACAGCTCAATTTCATGTCTGCAAAGCAACCATGAAATACATTTGAGGGATTAAAATTTCCATCTGGGGTGAAATTAAAGTCATTGCAACTAATCTCAAACACACCACAGATGATGAACTCTGTGGGTTGGAGCCCACCTCCCTTGCTGACAAGAATATTTCTGTGCTGTCCACCTATGAAGTATTCGACATGATGAATAAGTCTCGGCATAGCAGCATAGAATCCTCCAGGAGAATTCTGCACTTTTTGAAGTACAGGTGCAGGGGTACTAGTAGTGGACGACGGCTTACATTTGGGATACATGGCTGGTGCAACTGGTGCATGATGCTGATGCAAGTCTTATTGAGAAACAAAAATCATGTTCCATGGTCAAGTGACTCACAGCAGCGATGGCAGCATGGAAGGAGTAGTGTAAGTATATTGGACCCATTTTGCTTGAAGCTCAGAATTTTTGACAGTCACAATTGTGGGGGCAGCAGTGCAATGTGTGTCGTCCTAGTGGTCATGGGATCTGACATGTGTGAAATTATCGGCAATTGAATAGTATACAATAGTTGTGCTCATGTTTGAAAAATTTCAAACTTTGAATATATTCTGCTGCACCCACATTCCAGAAAGCTTGGCTGCTGAAATCCCTGTGCCCATGTGATGAGGTGGCATCTGAATTAAGTCAAGTCTGAGTCCCTGCTTCCATAATGGATCTAAACAGACTTTAGTCAAGGGTAGTCATAAGTGCTGTCACAGCTCCAAAGTACTTCTTTGGCTGCCAAATGTTGAGATGAACATTGTAAATACGTACAAACTAGTATCCTCATGTTCAGCAGGAACTTGGTTGCAAAATTTCTGGTAACCAAGAGATCAGCACATTGGAATGTAGGGTCCTGTTTCAGACCAGGGTCATTTTTGTGTCAGTTTGAAATGTAGAGTGACTTGAATTTAAATACTGTCACTCAACTTGAAGGAGGAACTAGCAAATATGTCTGACACAGAATCCAAAAGCATTGACTCCTGGCCCTCTGACCTTAATGATGGGCCCAACACAATCTTGATCAATGTACCCTTCAGAGCTCATAGAGCAGGCGAGGGCATCCATTGCTCAAGGAGCTCCACTCCACAAAGCCACAAGGACTCCTGCCCTGGTCCAGGTCAGGCGCACAGGCAACATGGTCCAGTGTATTCCTGTGGGTGTTATGCTTATGGTAAGATTTTTGACTTTGGATCAGTCATCCACAGACCTAGAGCATCTCACAGATCAGTTTCTGGACCTCAAGGACATTGATAGGCTGCAGCCGCATCTAAAGTGAAAGAGGTCACAGTATGAGTTAAATGATGTGAGTATTCCTAGCTTTATCTTTCAAGTTATGCACTTACCATCATGTGGAGGCTCTGCACAACTTTGGCCAGGGGAGTACCAATGGGAAGAAAGTATCACAGAAACATGACAGACTCAAAAGGAAATTTGAGGACCTAATTGACAAAATTGCAGGTGCATTAGAAGCTGTGAGTAGAATTGAAGTGGCCATCAGTAAGCAAAGTGGAATCCTTACTGAGGTTTGTAATGTGGTTGAAAACCATGGCATGTGATGTTGCATTATACTTTATGTCAAAGATAAGCAGTGCACGCACCTAGCTAAATACGAGAACCTGTGCTTGAATGGCAAATTCCATAGCTGATTTGCTTACATGGAGGATCAGACATGCTTGAATAAATTTGTTATATCTCATGATATATATGGTACAGAATTTGGTGTACAGGAATGTGGAAATAGTGTTACTCAATGGTACATGGGATGAGAAGACTGCGAACATGTGCATGGGCAAGTTGGTGGAGATAGCATCATGCAATGGCGAGTGCCAACTGGTAGGCAGGATGAGAAGACTTGTGTGGGCAAGTTGATGCCTGCAAGGATGCAGAACAGATGCAGAACATGCTGAAAAGAATGTCAGATTGATCACTTGACTACTGGAAGATGTTTGACTTACCTGGGATCTACCTTGTGAACTACCTCCCTTTCTTGTTCCTCATCCATGCTCAATGTACCTCTTGTGCCTCATGGGCAAGCTCGATTTCTTCTTCACATATGGTGGTCCAGAACTCCACAGCCTGCAGTGCGAATTGTTCATCAGAATGCTTAAGTGAGATATCTGGGAAGAGACATGCTAGCAGTGCTCATAGATGCTGCTGAGGGTGGAATGACGCACAAGGCATCCAGGATAGAGTTCAGTTGATTTGATCTATGTAGGATATATGTAGTTGTATTAGGGTTAGGGTTAGAACAGCGTACCTTCAATATGTTTGGCCAGTGGCATGCTAGATGATCCAAGAAATAAATGAGTTTGGGTGTAAACATATCCAATGAGGTATCTATGAGCTGAGAAGCAGTCAATTCATTCTGTGGAATGGTAAGGTGCAAAGCGACGCACCAACAGGAATCAAATACAGAAGAATCACAACAGCTGGCCTGATCAAAGGATCAAAGGGAATATGAGAGAAAATGCTGATCCACGAATGAAATGATAAAAGATGTTGTTTATCAACCGGCAGATGAAGGCCCAAAGGTTAAGGAATTTACCGTAAATGCAGTGTAGCATAGTCTTGAGAAAGTCAAAGAGCTTGAGGAGATTTAGTACAAAGGGTTGATCAATGTATCATTTAGTGAGATTGGTGTTGAAATCTGGGCTCTTGACAAACTGGAGGAAAAATTCATAGACAATCTGAAGATGAGGCCAGGTGAGTTCCAAGACAGGCTCATCTTCTTCAGGGTCAAAAGCATCACCAGTGGGGTTGACAGGTGGGGGTATCGATCGGAAGAGGTTGACAGCAAACTACTCTAAGAGGTGAGTGGAAGATGTTGAGCGACACAGAATGAAACACAAACCATGTTGACAACCTTGGGGTATATGTTTTCAGTGATTACGTTCCTCTGAGTGTCAAACAGGAGTGGAGGAGAAGTAATGGGTGAAGACGCTTCAGGAGATGTAATGTCCAATACTGATGAGCACCAACTGCCAAAGGACAACCAGAAGTTTGACTGAGACATGAAAACTGAAGATGACATTGGGGGTATCAAGTCAGTTGAAGGCCTATGATAAATAAAAACTCATGTCAGTGCTAGATACAGGTATATGTGAGCTAAATTGTGAAAGCCAACAGCATCAGTGCTCAGGTTCACCTCCAAGAGGCATGCCCTCGCAGCTTGATGGCCTCTGGTCCAATTTGCCTCCAAGAGGCATGTTGGACCAGGAATAGAAGTGAAAAAATGCGAAAAATGTAAATAAAATGAAAAACTTACTGGGAGTCAGCTGATTTCCAGTGTTTTGTCATTGTGACAGAGATGGGACTGGAGGAACCCCCAGACTTGCAAGCACAGGAAGATGGTAGATGCAGGTGGAGGGATATGATAAGGGCTAGTTGATTGACAAGCAGGTCTGCGAGTTGTTCTGGGGACAAGTTGAGTTTGGAAAATTGTAACCTTGATCACTGGTGCCAGCGCGCCAACTTACAGCACAACTGCCACCTCACAAAGTAGTAATATAAGCTAGAATAAATGTAAAGTTAGTAATTTGAAAAATTGAGGGTTCCCAGGGCGCTCTGGTGCTCAGGGACCAAGCCGCACAAGTTAACAGTGCACAGTTGTGGATTAGGGCCTAAGCACCTAAAAGTGTCCTGATGATGGGGAGCCACATGTAAGGCATGTATCAGCAACTGGTGTGGGCGAGCTCCCAGTGGTACTAACTGAAGAACAAAAACACTAAGTTCAAAAACTTAGTTCAACAAGATCATGTGACATTTCAAAGTCTGCCAGCTTAATCTGTACATGCTATCATTGCTGATCTCAATCTCTCTTAACCATTATGGCACATCATAAGTGTCCTCCAAGTCCAGTAGGATTGTTGAGCTCCTCTTCAAGTGACTCAGCAGTTTCTCTTGGGTACAAGATTATACATATACCACAGTAAATCCTGAATCATATCTGTGCTTTCTCACTCTCCCAAATAGTGTCCTTTGGAAAATGTGCAGCTATCACTCATCAGCTCACAGCTTGTCTCATTGACTTCTTCCTCAATGAAGGCATAAAACAGGCGCAGCAGCTGGATGAGTACTTCCAGAAAGAAGGCAAGGTCATTGGTCCACTCCATGGATTGCCCATTTCAATCAAAGTAAGTGTAGAGTGACCAAATCACAATCATCTACCTCAGATGAATGCCATCAGGGCATGCTCCCAGTCAAGGGGACAGTTGGGTCTGCAGGCTTCCTCATGAACATCGAGACTGCGACTGAAGACTGTGATATGACAAGAATTCTGTGTTCACTAGGGACAGGTAAGTAATTCACACCTGGAACTACATTCTATCGGTCAAGTGTATTTGTAGTCTTCTATGTCAAGACAAATCAGCCACAGACTCTGATGCACCTTGAGTTCAAGTCTACCTACAGTCGAGTCATAAGCCATCTCTCAAGTGACAAATGTGTATTTGTGACTAAAGTCTCAATAGTTGAACCTCCATAATATGGATCTTACTATGGGAGGATCTTCTGGTGGTAAATCAGCCCTTGTTGCCATGAAGGGTTCTTGCATAGGTGTGGGCACATAAGTCTGTGTTCCTCCATGTCACACCAGAAGTTGACGCATTGCCAATTAAGTGATGGCAGAGGATCCATTCGAGCCCCATCCACCCATTGTGGTATATATGGGTTCTGTCCATCCTGTCAGACACCGCCTCTTCATGGCATTTTGTGGTAGTAAGTATGCAAAGCTCTGCTGAGAAGTTGTGTTGATATCACCCCAGTCAACCTGGCCAGGACGGATTCTTTAGTTCCATAGGTCCAATGTGTCACTCTGCATGAGACATGCAACTTTTCCTTGAAGCTGTCATTGGAGCCAATCCTGCACTCCTGGACCCAGATGCATTGCCAGTGCCACTGAAAGTGCCAGACCTGACCCAGAAGAAACTGTGTGTAGGAATCATGATGCATGATGGGATTGTGATGCCCCATCCCCCAACCATTCAAGCACTCAAGTGGGCGAAGGAAAAGCTGGAAGCCTCATCAGAGGTTGAGGTGGTGGGCTACACCCCATATGACCACAATCGTGGATACAGCATAGTTGTGAGTGTGGTGGTCTGTAGGGCAATGATGTCACTCACCTGTTCTAGCATGAGCTCTACTTTGAGGAAGGAGGAGCCACAGTTTGACACCTTCTGAAGGAGGGTGGAGAAGAGATGCTTCCCTTGACAGAATGGGTCATTAGTCCACCACACGTGAGAGATCATGATGCCACACAAGTTTGGAAGGTAAGCCAACATCATGTTGCTCATCAACGCTTGCTCTGACCTTGATCAGCTGCATGATGAACATGGTAATTACAGGAGGGAATACTCTGATCACTGGTGGTCCCAAAACCCAGGTACAGCCAGCCATCATGATGTGACAATCATACCAGCGCTAGGCGTGTATGAGTGTCATAGGCATATTTTGTCTTGTCCAGAGGAAAAGAGTAAGGCACTAGTCACCAGCACTATTCAGCTTCCAAGCTATCCACTTTGGAACCACTTTGCTCCCATAGTGTGCTACCTGGTCCAATGCCTAGGTATTCTGTCCTCCCATGTCCTGCCTATGTCCACCTACCTCTGCTGGTGCGTTATTTTTCCTTAAATGTTGCTACTCATCAGTCACAGGTCTTATTACATGTGTCCTTGTGTTCCGCAGTGCTGTATGTTTTATTACCTGTCACTATATCATGCCCTTGCCAGTGTCGCTACTATACTCACCTATGCAATCCCGAACCCCTATGCAGTATGATAAAATGACCTGTCCTACATACAGTACAGTACTTCCCTTCCCTGGACCTTTGCAGGTGTCGGGTCACTTTAGTCGCTATATCCTAGTTTTAGTGCAATCAATTCCACTCTTGCCAATCTCTTTGATCGCGTGTCACTTGACTTGCTTTAAGTGCACATTGCTAAAAAGTTCCCTCTGAAGTTTGACCTTTGCAACGTCAGGATTGCTATCGGTAGTCGAGCTATAATCTAGTCGCTATTGGGCATTCCACTTGCACTGTCTTACCTTACTCCTCACTTTCACTCCCTTTGATTTCTTCTTGCTGTTGCTAGTCAGATGTCAAATAGCGCTATCGCATAAAACAACTTGCATAGCGCCACTCACTTATATGCACGTTTCTCTTGTCAGAACTTGCTTGTTGCTAGTCACTGATCGCTATAGTGCTACTCATCGGGTTTTTGGTCTTAGGTTACTATAGGTTATTAGTCCTTCACACTAACACTCCCCTTGCATATTAGTAGGGAGTTGCTTCATTAGCAGTCCTCTTGGGTCAAATACTACACTCGCGCCTATTTGGATAAGTAGCGCTAGTTTCTAACCAGCCTAGTCACTATTCCTCCTTCACAACAACACTGCAAAATACTGGGGGTGTGTAATGGTATCTTGCTTGACATCAGACATCTAATAGCTCATTAGCTACATGGCTATCTGGAATTTGCTGGACTACCCAGGGATGGCTTTCCCATCAGGGTTTGTCGCTGATCCAGGTCTCTATTCTATGTGACATGTGCAGTTGACCTGATGTGCCTCTCAGTCTTTCTTTGATTGATGATTCATCAATGCTGGATTTTGCCCCTTGTCAATGACACACTTTGAAGGAATTTGTGGTATGTGGGTTTCAATTTAATCATCCAGAATCTGTTAACACAAGCTCTAGGCTGTTGTGATGCGTGAAATGGAATTATGGCATGATGAAGTGAGTTGGGTCAGCTATTGAACTTCCACCATGAATTAACTATCCATCATCCTACTCCAACCTGGATCCAACCCAGATCCAACTGCACATATGTGACACGTCCCTTTATTCCAATGCACATACAGTATGCACTCAGTATGTCTTTTTCTATCTTGATGCTCTTCTAGTCCATTAATTATGTTCGCTAGCTGTTCCTATTTTCAGTATCAACAAAAGGCCGTTTGCCTTGGTTTGTGCATACAATGCCACTGATACATCACAATGATTTTGTAAAGATTCAGCTAATCCAGTGAGACACTAGCACCAGTAATGTCTCTCTGGTAGCCTTTGTAATTTGTCACAAAGCTTGGTCATAATGAGGAGAATCCCTCAGCTACTTCCAAGTTGGATCTTGCATGTGCCACCTTGCATTCAATTGTGGTAGCAATGCTTTTGACTGTCACTTACTAGTTTTACTCATACCTATTGTCAGTTGTTTAGTCATTACATGATGGCTAAATATATTCATGTTCACATGAACATGGTCATGGTCACCATGTATGACTCCTGCAAGTCATGGCGCCAAAGCTGAATTGTTCACCAAATATGCCCTTGGTGACAGACTGAGAGGGAACCATGAGAGTTAATCTCATTCCCAATCATTTTGTTTTACTTCTGACTATACTACTATTTCTTGAGATTTCAATGAGCAGTTATTTCAAATGCCATGAGAAGTGTGGTCGGTCATTTTCAGCATCAGGAGGCCTGACTCATCATTGCAAAAGCTGCTCCCACTGGCAGCAACAGCTGATGCAACAGTCACTGCATTTCAAATGAGCCTCCAAAAATGCACAAGGAGCACCTGCAGCTAAGAAGATCAAGCTTGGTACTGCTCAAGTGAGTACTAGTATTACTACCGTATGCCTGCTTCACAGCCTGATCTTTATTTGATTAGACCACTGGTGAGGATGCAACAATGTCACAGTCAGATGTGCCCACTCAGACATCTTCACCTGGGGTCACATCTGCTGCTAGTGGCAGCAGCAGTTACACACTCCTGGGCCTATCCTCCAGCAGAGACTCTCAAACTCCTCAACCTCTACCAGTGCCTCAACCATCAACAGAGCTTCAAGCACATAGCCTTTTTGATGAGCAGGCTGAACCAACCATAGCAACTCCTATTCCTGAAGACACCTGCCTGAAGAATCACCCTACTCACTCTCGCAGGCTGCCCATGCAATTTCATGATGAGCCTCCTGTGCCACCACTCCCAATACCTCAGGCTCCTCCATCTACCCTTCCCTGAGTCATCCTCCATGTATTTGACTCCTTCTAGACATCCCTAAATCAATTCAGCATTGGACGAGAATATCGCCATCAACCAATGCATGATCCCAATGCGTTCATCTCTGCAGATCAGCTGTCCAGCTTTTATCCCGACTCAGGTTTAAATACTGAACTTGAGGCAACATCTTCCTCAAAGGCTCCTCCCTGGCCATGGCGAAATATGAGTGTCTGGCGCCTCATGACTTGGATGTTGAGCAGAAGCAATCAATTGTCTGAAGCTCAAGTAACTTGACTTGTCAGAGAAGTCATATCAGCAGAAGACTTCAAAATTGAGGACATAAAGAACTTCAATGCCCATACCAAAATGGGACATTTGGATTCCTCAGAAGCTGGACTGGGTGACAATGATATATTCCAAAGGGATGGGTGGAAAGAGGTGGCAGCAGAGATTCTCATACTGACACAGGAGAAGAACCCAAATGGCAATGGGCAGGTTTTTACAATCCCTGGATTCCATTACCAGCCGCTCACAGTGGTGATCCATGCTGCTTTCTCAGAGGCAATATCAAAATGGTTTCATTTCACTCCTTTCAAGCACTTTTGGAAGTCTCCTGTGACTAATCAAGAACAGCGCCTTCATGATGAACTTTATATGTCAAATGCATGGATTCAGGCTCATGATAACCTGCAGAAGCAAAGGAGAGATGACAGCTGTAAGCTCAAGAAATCAGTCCAAGTACACTTGTGCCTGCCCTACTTCTGGTGTGTGCCACCCTGTGGGATTTATTCCTACTGTAGGTGTATCTATACTTTGCATTCTAGTATTGCCATGCTGATGGTCATCAGCTTGTCCTTGGCAGCTTCTAGAATCTATCAAACAATTTATTATGACAATTACTTCAGTTAAAAGGAAGAGCTACCACGACATTCTTGCCCACTGCAAGCACGAGATGTTTCATGCTATCTGGCATATTTTAATAGATGATGACTTTCTTGATGCATACAGCAATGGCATTGTAATCAAGTATCATGATGGGGTATACTGCTGAGTTTTTCCTAGGATATTTACCTACTCAGTGGATTACCCTGAAAAGTGTGTAGAACGAATACTTCTCACACCATTTCTGCTAATGAGACCTTGAAGAGTTCTTATTGCAGCAATTCATGACAAGGGTGTGTGTCCTTGTCCTCGATGTCTGCTCCCAAAATCGCATTTTGGTCACATTGGACTTCAGTCTGATATGTTGGGAAGAGTTGCAAGACTGTATAAATCTATCAAAGATGCCATTATTGCTGCACACAACACCATCTACAAATTAGGCACCCTGATCAAGGGTGCCACTGTTGAGTGTCTTCTAAAAGAGTTCCCACTTGTGCCTACCCTCATAAGCATATCTCATTTTTATCCAACTTAACCTTTATTGTACCTCGCCTACAGAACGCCTTTGTGGACCATTTGGGTCCTCTTGGCTTTGATTGCTTTCCAATGCTTGTTGTCGACCTTTTACATGAATTTGAGCTGGGTGTACTCAAATCTGTTTTAAACACCTCATCAGGCTACTCTACACTATAAACTCTGAGTGGATAGTTGTTCTGAACAAATGGTGAGACATCTGACTGCTGCAGAGGCTGCAAGTTCCATCTCTAATGTGGACACCTCTTAACATAGATTTCGCTCAATTCCTTCCTTTGGCAAGGGCACTATTCAGCACTTTCCAACCAATGTATCTGATGTCTGGCAAAATGCTGCAAGGCACTTCGAAGATGTTTTACAGGTTAGTTTGACAGTCCATGCTGTTTCTGACACTGACCTGCTTCTTCTTTTTGAACAGTGCACAATCCCTGCCTTTGAAGGGTTGTTCCCTGAAGAGCATGATGATGTTATTCAGCTTCTTCTCTTTTGACTGGCAGAATGGCATGCCCTCACCAAACTTAGGCTTCACACCGACAATTCCCTAGATAAACTTGATCAAGCACTGAATGCCTTAGGGAAGCAACTTTGGCAGTTTCAGCAGTTTATGTGTTTGGCCTTTCAAACTATGGAGCTTCCACATGAAGTTGCTGCACATCAGAGGAGGCAAGACACCAATCCACAGTCCACCAATCAAGAAGCAAAGGTTTCCAGCACCTGAATTAAAACCTTCAATCTTCTAACTTATAAATTGCATGCATGTCATATGCCATTCCGGACTCTCAACTCTAAATCTGCTTCTCCGGATATTTGGATCCGAGATCCAAATCTCAAATGATCTGATCTATCTTTATCTCCCTTCTGGAATCCAAACCCTATATCAGTGCCCAACCCCATTTAGACTGCCCCTGTCTCCGGACTCCAGTTAACCATGTTTCCCTTTTGATTATTGATCTGTTACATACATTTCATTTCCAGTGTTCATTATTTGTGATCCATCCTACTTACTAATAGACTCTGCATATGCTTCATACATAGCCTTTATGTTTGCTGACTGATTCCTATATGATACCTACAGTATATAAACCTCCTGTAACTCTCAGAAATACTCCAGTTCAAATATCATCTTAGTTCCTGCTCATTCCTGTGTCCTCTGGACTCAAGATAAGTCTCTTGTCATATTCCAAGTCTTAGGATTGCATCCTAGACTACATTTCCGACTCTACCTTAAGGTAGTCCGGACTTCATCCAGATTAGTCCTATCTGCTTGCCCAGGTAACATCCGGACATCCATCAGATTTATCTCATGTTTCAGATCCGGATGTCCATTATCTGCCCTAGTCAAATCCCAGAAACTCCAGACAACTGTTCTAGCCCCCGGAAATTAAGGGCACATACTCAGGAAAGGGGCACAGTGTACGAGCTGAGGCCAAGCCCTTGTGATCCGACCCCCTTGAGCATGCAACCTTAACAATGTGCTTGGTGATTACACAGCTTCAATCAGGTTGTTTGGTACAACAGATTCATATACCACCCAAATTGTACATCTTTCATATCCAGCTACATTATCTGTATTGACATTCTGTAATTTACAGGGCAAGCTAGCTCATCGCTTCATCAAAATGCTGTATCGAAGTACAAACAAGCAAGATACTTCAAAGCAGCTGGCTAGACAGGAATGACAGTGCACTTGCATCCGACAGCAACAGTCGTCAATAGCCCTTCAGGACATACACACCAGTGAGATGTGACCTGAAGCGCATCATTTTCTATTGGGCAATAGGTGCAACAACCTGAATTTGGCCTCTTACCTTGGTGAACACAGGGACGATCCAGCTGTCAAAGTAAGATACATCAGCTGACTTATTGTTTCACTGCTAACAGCACTCAAGGACTTCGTTCCGAAACTGAAGGATCACCTCTTCTTGCAACTCCTAGGCTTGGACTATGATGGCGATGAGCGAGAATTCAGTAATGCCCAATGAGGTAACATACTGTTCATTAACAACCTCAGCAGAGTCTCCCAGGCCAAGCACTTTCAAATCAATTACACAACATATGATATTCGCCACAACCAAGACACTTTGACACCAGGATGCGGCTGCACTGTAATGATGTTGTCAAGGGAACAAGGCACAAACCCTCATCCATTCTGGTATGCACAAGTTTTGGGTGCCTTTTGCATACAGATACTCCACATTGGCCCAGAGGCTCGTGATTGCTCTCTGCAATTGATGGAGTTCTTGTGGGTCTGGTGGCTTGGTGTAGTTCCGCATTATCGGTGGGGTTTCAAGGAAGGTCAGCTCCTGAAAGTCAGGTTCATACCAGATTCACCTGGTTCATTCAGTTTCCTCAACCCTTCTCTTGTCCTCAGAGCTTGCCATCTTATACCAGCCTTTGCTGATGGTTGCACAGATGAACTCCTGCGACATGGCCCCACAGTTGCACAACCATTTGGAGAGCTAACCAACTGGGCTGCATTCTATGTTAATATGTGAGTCCATTGACTCAGATGCAGTTTAAAACCTTCATAGTTGATGATTCAAACACAGTTTTGCTGATCATGATATGTTTGCTCGCTTTGCACACATTGGTGTCAGTCATCAAATTCAGTATGTTTTACCAAATGCGACCGATGATGAAGTTTTTCTCAGGGGCCTGAGCAATGATGATGAACCTTTGGATGAGGGTAATCTGGGACCTACGACAAGCAACACTGTTGAGTCCCATGTTAATGACCAGCAGAATCAAGCTCAAGGGGAAATAACGGATGATGAAGAAGATGGTGGATCTGATGATGAAGGTTGTAATTCAGAAGACCATGGAGAATCCGAAGGTGGGGGGCCAGCCTTCAAATTTTAGGATGAACTTTTGTATTTTATGTACTTACATCGATGTTAATTACCATCTTGTCATAGAAGTTTTAATGCCTATAAAATCATCCTGCATCTATGGTGTGTGCAGACCTCATCATTTGTTGTTTTTGGTCAGTCAGTTCAGAAGTGTTTGCTCACAGCCCCCAATACCATCATGCTACTCCACCACTGCCAGTGGACTCATATATATTGGCTTGTGATACCTCTGGCTAAAAGATGATGAGCTATAACATTCATAGTTCATGATCTCAATGTCTCCAAAGTCATTGTCAAACTACAGTCACATTAGATTGCTATATAAAATCCTACTTTATCATACAATTTTGATGGAAAACTGCAGAAGTTGGAACACTAGCTTGGAACCCAATATGGGATTCTATTGGTTTATCGGAAGAAAGCTGAAATAAAGAAGAGACTATAGATCAGTAATGTGATGGGCAATTTGGACAGTGGAGTGTAAAAATACATCAGTAAATTCACACATTCCTTAGCACAGCTTATTTTGAAAATTAAAACTTATTTTTAACTTATCTATAATTATTCACTTTGCTTTGAGTTTGACAAGTCAAGTAAGGAAGCACATGGAATTTAAGTGCTGAAAAGCAGTGCAAGGCAAGATCAATTACCAATGCCAAAACAAGTGCTGCAAGTTGCAATACATCATTATCAATCTACTACTACTCATGATTCAAACCCTATACTCATCTGAACAAAGATCTCAAGCGTGACCTGGTATGTCCTCAGGCTTCGGCTCATTGTTTGTTTGTTGATGATGCTGGAACAACAGATAAACCAAGATCGATGGACTCCAATGTGCATTGCAGGCAGGAGCGAAAATGCCGGTGGACAGAGGTGAATGAGGATGTGGGATGGCAGGTGGACTTGGAGGTCCCACTGGGGTTGTGGGAGAGACTGAAGAGGGTCTTGGGGCGCAAGGGTTGAAACTGAATGTGAGTGCAGCATGACTGCAGGTTAAGGTGAGCAGAAATATTACAGCAGATGAGCTGTGAACTTACCAATCTTGAAGTTGATATTATCGTCTTGGCGATTTGGCATCTGGGAGCTGCAGGATGGACCTGTAAACTAGCATTTTGGTCGATGTTAGTAGTTTAGAGTAAAATGCAAGGGCACATTCAGCTGCATCAAGGGTGAACAACTTACAGTCCATAGAGGACATGACCTCCTTGAATGACACTGTGCATTGCTGATGCATAAGCCACCTGGACTTCATCCTCGAGAACTGACAGCCTTAGAAAGGGTCTCTGGGCACCAAGACTGCGAGATGAGCTGAGGCAGTGGGGTCATAATGAATGCTAAGCAACTCCTGCACCTGCTGTTATTCAAGTGCATGCATTCGATCCTCGAACATTTTCCATTGCAATAACCTTTGGCGCTTGTGCTCTAAGCGCTTCAGCTTGACGCACTTTGGGAAGGAAGGTCAATTAGAAGGAAGATCAGAGAAGTTTTAGCGGTACAAGGTAAGCACTCACCGAGAACGAATGCAACAGCATGACCTTCCCATAAGCCAAGGGCCATGATGGCATGATGGACACACCTGAGGAAAGATCCAGCTTTGTGGTGGTGATGGTGAGACTCAGCTTCATGATGGTGATAGACCCGCAAGACAGACCCATCAGGAAGAAGCTCCTTGACATCACCTGAATTTTCCTTCTCAGAGGAGCTGGCCTGGACAGTTGATGTAACGGGTTGCACGAACAAGGGATTAGGAAGGATATGAAGTTCTCCAGAAACAGGACCAGGGGTACTGCGTCAGCATCTGTGCAAGTTTTGACTGGGTGTTCTTCATGCAATGTCCCAGGACCTGACCATTAGCAATGGACCAAGAATTGGATTGAGAACCCACCTATGTAATCCAGTCAGGACACTATCTCGAATGCATGGTGGTCAGCATATTTGTTGACATAAAATGAGCCGAAAGTGTCAAGAGAATGATAAAACTTGAGGGAGTGAGGAATGTACTCTGAACCATAGATAGCTATCAAGTGTGCTGCACAGAAGACCATCTCGATGTGAATGACAGCAAGGTTCCTTGAGCCATCCTCATGAAAACTTGGAGTGACCATCCACATGCCAGTATCTTCATCAGGGCAGTCACCAATCTTCTCAAACCACTGTATGAGAGCACAAGGATATACTTCCCAGTTGTGCTTGAATGAAAAGAAGCATATGACTCTCGCAACTTTGAGTCCTTGCATCCCTTCAGCATCTGAATCAGTGTTAATGAACACGCAATCATTGCGTGGGTACTCATTTCGCCAGAGTGGACATGCACAGATATGTTTGCGTTGCATGCCACCAATGTCACTCAGATCACTGGGAGCATAAAACGTTGCAGCAGCAGAATTGAAGACCTGAAGCTTGCCTTCATGTCGAGGCAAGCTAGCAGCTGGGATATCTTCGGGGTTGTGGGCATCATCCAGGTTGAGCTGAGAGAATAGAAAGTACTGAATGAGGCGTCATAGATCTGGAACAGCAACTTCATGTGCCAATGCTGCTACTGTCTGTGCACATTTTCGTTCTGTGAGATACAGTGGTGAGCATTGAGATTGGACATTGCATGAGATTACTTACGAGGAGTTTTGGTGAGTGCCACATAAGCAAGCACCATTGGACCGTCAACTATTTCAGCATCATCAGTATCATCTGCTTGTTGCAGTTCAATGATGGGGGCATCTGGTTGTGGTGCAATAGCAGGGGCGTCTGGTTCGTTTTCATCTGCCGTTGTATATGACTGTTGAGTATGCAAGAAATTTGAGAAAGAAACCTTAAACAGACTTACCAAGAGCAGCTAAAGTACTTGATAAAATTGTGCCAGTGAGCATCCCTCGCACATCAAAGTCTGCATGGGACGCTGCGAGCTTATCAAGGCGCTGATTGGTCACAAGCATCTGACCAAGAGCATTGTGCCTGTTTGACCACCGCCAAGGCTCCTTTATGGCCTTGATGTGCTTTGATTCTGTGATCGATGAGCACAGTCCGTTAGGGGCACCGAAGAGTCTGATCATGTCGACATAATGAACCATCGAGTGCTGATGGGGGAGTGAGAAGGTGGGAACGACATTTTCAAATATCGTGCAATATCAATGAAAATGACCAAGTGCGTCTTGAATCTGAATCAGTGTATCTTCAGTAATGACATTGTGCCGGACAAGATAACAGAATTCTAACAATGCGCAAAATGCACATACCATGTCTTGAGGTATGTGACCTTCAATAGCTGGAAGAAACACTTTCATGAGCGCTTTGGAATCATTGCCAGTCCACTGTTTAAAATCGTGGCCTTGAGGGAAACATCATAGACCAGAGAATGATGGTACAGCAGCAACTCTGACTTATTGTTAGATAATATCGTTGAGTAAATGAGTAAGTTGACATACCTGCAATCTATGTTGCTCATGATCTCCTCTGACCATTTGGTCCTGTGCATGGCCTTGAGGTACTTTGCTACCCAATCAATGAGATGGTCTTTGAAAGCCCCTTTAATTAGCTGGTGGAGGAGGTCAAACAACAGCAACTCATGAATGTCAGCTCGGGGGAAGTCATTAGTGAATGGCTACACAAAATAGATTAGTCTGGTATTGGAGAGCGGCTTGTTTGACTCACGATGAGATCACCAATGAGACCAAATTCATCCCACAATACATCTGCATGTAGCTCATTGATTAAGAAATCAGTAAACTTGTGGGTGTGGTAGGTGGCATCACCATCAAGGTTTGTGTGAACTGCAATGCATCTACATGAATTGTTAGTGTGAATGGATACTGACTGCAAGTGCCAATACTCACTTTGGGCACCAATGTTTGACAATACAGGATAGCACTAGTTGTTCTTCGTAATCCGCAATGTATGGTCCTAGACTATATATGACGCACCAAAAGTGTCTGTCTCCACAGCGCACGACCTCATACTCAGTCATAACAGGTTTTAGACTGGAGAGAATCGCAGACAACAAGCTGTGGAACAGCTGGTGGCAAAATATCCAAAATAAGTCATCTTTCGAATGCATCTTGTCAGCTGTAAGACAGGTCAGATGAGGCATAATGAAATTTAAATATGAACATACATACTTTTGGGTATGGCGAGGAAACCGATGATGACAAGAGCATCACGGTGCGTGCATCATACATTGTTGTGTACATTACCAATCGAGGCATAGAGGGGGTAATACTCATTATTACCAGTGCCCACAGAGACAGTAGTCTTGTCACTACTGAGAATGATTGGGATCAAAGCAGATCCATGTGTTTCTGGATCTTGCAATATGGTGTCCTTGATGGAATATTAGCTATATTATGAGCAATACCAGAAAGAGATGGAGGATGTACTGCCTGTTGCCATGCCCAGTCTCCGGACATGAAGTCTTTCCATCAGTGTGTCTCATCTGATGCATCATATTCACAAAATGGCACATAGTCAATTTTGTCCTTGTAGGTAGGGTTAGCAAGTATATTGTGTGCCATTGCATGAGGGTCCCTATACCAGACCTCAAATTCTTTGTCCATCCAAGGTGGGACAACCTCAGGTCATTCTCCTGTGTATTGTGCAGAGAAACACTGCCAAGGGACATCACCAAGCTGCGTCGCATCTATGACATTGTGCAGATCTTTGTGATCAGCAAATGGAGGGGTGTCGTGGTGTTTCACAAGTGTTGTGGCCATCAAGTCACATAGGAAATCTAAATTCCTCACCGACATGTGGCATCTTTTGAATGTGAACTCTGCCACCTCGAATTCAATTCTATTGCGGTATGGGCTCCAATCATCGGGAGCCTTTGGTGGCGCAGGAGTCGGAGGGGTACCATGCAGCAGAAATGTCCCACCAGCCATGCATGGTCGTCCTAAGCATATATTTGAGTCAAAAACAGAGTATTCAAACTTGAACAAAACTTACCATTTAACTTTGAATGGAACGTGCGATAGCAACGCTCGCTCACATCAGTGAATTCTGCATCAGTGTTTGAATCCTCATGAGTTGGATCAGGGAGTATGGGAGATGATGGCTGGGGTGGGGGTGAAAAATCTGGAGGGGGCAGCAAGAAATCTCGAGGGGGCAGTGACAAATCTCAAGGGGGTGGTGACAAATCTCGAGGGGGTGGTGACAAGTCTCGAGGGAGGGAGGGTGAATGAGATGGCCGGGGATGATCCTGAGGGGACAGTCCTGAAACAGGTAAAGTTGGGTGAAGCGAGTGCCTGTGTTGTGTGAGACCTGACTGGTTTTGAAACCAGCACAAGCATCCTGGAACTGGGCATGGAAGCTGAAGCAGGTGGTGAGCACAACAGGAAGGCATATGTGCTGTGCTGGGATGTTGACAATTGAAGAAGATGTCAAAGGTGGACACATTCTAGGTTTGGGGTGCAACCGCCCGTAATTATCGGCACCAATGTGACAAACCAGTTTGATAATAAAAGCCAGATTTGGGGCCCAGACATGAGCAAACTGTACTGAACAGGCTTTGGTGAACATTGATTTTAGTGCTACACTGGAAATGCAGTGGTTAACCTCAGTCTCACTGCATCAACAAATGAAAACTAGTACTCACAGTGCAGAAAGGGTTGGTAGACTATCTCCTCGTCAGAAAGGTGTAGGTGAACCATGACATTGATGTCTTGCAGGCAAAGCATTGGATCAGAGTGCCTGAAAAATGCTGGAGACTCCCAATATTAACAGCGACAGCAAAATATTGCGCTAGTATATTAGTAGGTATGTCAGAGCAAAGTAGGGTCATATGTATTTATTCAGAGTCAGCTTAGGCAACATTTTTTGGAGAGTTGTGATGAAACTCACCCTGTCGTCAGCCACCACTAGTCAAATTTTCTCTTTCTTCAGCCTCCCAAACCCTCTGTCGATACCATGTCTCAGCCTGCCAGCACAGTTTCGAAACATGTGACAACCCAAGCTAAAAACGCAACTCAGCATCCAGGTTATATCCTGACCGGGGGCGAAGGCCACGTAAAGAGACGTACCAAAGCTCAAAAGGCCACTGACAATCAGCACGAAGAAGAGGAAAAGAGGGCAAGTGAAATGGCTGAACTTGAAGCACATAACCGGATTGCTGCTTTTCAGAAACAAATGGAGACAGATCAAGCCGCTAAATGAGCTGATGCACCAAAGCCTACTCGTCCCTGCCCACGCCCTGTTAAAAAGGCTGTAAAAGCCACGGAGACCTCCAACTTGACTATGGCTGAGGATAAGGCCGTTAGTGCTGATGGCAAGGGTGGTAGAGCGGAGGTAAATTAGCAACTGGTGCTAATGTCAAACATCCTGAGAGTGATGCTGAGGAAGAGGTGCGAGTACCAGGGTCACACAAGAAGAAGGAGAAGAGGAAAGTGTTACCAGTGAAGATGCCAGTGAGAGATGCAATCCAAGCTGTGGGCCTTATTGATGAATCAACGATGGCATGTGATGACCATAAGAAGCTTGATGATGTGTAAGACATTTGCTTCTCAACTATGTTGCACCATCTCACTGAAACGGCTCTTTTCTTTTTCAATCTAATGGTCCATGATGATAGCTCTACTAAAGATTATGGTATTGCTGCTGAGCGCATCTCGGGTTGGAGGACTGATATTCCTCCTGCTGGTTCAAAGCCATCCTCCTGGCTTGAGGAAAAAATTATCTACAATGCCTTCCAACTTCTCTAGTACTGCTCCCTCCTCTAAACTAACTATGGGGAGTACTATTAGTAGCGGTGGTGCCCCACTCACACCCATTGACACAATTGCCAATGCTGGGGCTGACAACGTGGCAGATCATTTTACGACCCTATTTGCAGACAATGATTTGGATGAATCAGTCAAGCGCTCTCAAGCCCTTGCCCATATGTCTAAACCAAGGGCTGCTCAGGTGAGTTCAATTACCCAGTTCTTTTTATTGTGTTAACTGCATTACCAGGGCAGTCAAGATTTCTTCTAAGGTTCCTGATACTTCAGTACAAACCATTCACGCCTATCAAAACACCAATCTGACTCCTTGACAGCTCAACACAATTCAGTCTAACGTTGTTGCTGATGATGAAATGAATGTTGAGGCGGCTCCCCCAGTAGTAGCTTCCCTCGTTAACTATGGATCCTGACACCGATATGGAATCTGACCTTGAGCCTCCTCCTTCTATGCAGGTCCCCAGAGGATATTATGATGCTGATATCTGTCAAGCTGCAGCTCTCGCTCGAACTCAAACATCCCACTCTACCATGACAAGTGTCAAGCGCAAACTCATAGATATCCTGACCTGATGATGACGAGATCAAGGATGCCCTGCTAGAGGACGACCTGATTGAGGACAACTTCATGGTCAATGATAACTTCACAGATAATCATGCCTTTGCAATCGAGGAAGATGCACCTTCATCTGATATTGAATTTGTGAATCACATCAAGCCTGTGGTGGTCAAGACCAAATCTGAACCAGTATCCTTGCGGGTCACTTCTGCAGTAGTAAGCTTCGGTTATTATTTTTAAATCATACTAACTACAAATTATGTAGACTAATGTTGGCATCAAACACAGAGCTCCTGTGGCAAAGCGGACAAAGTCTTCTATCACACACACTCATAGTCTTTCCAGCATCTCGAGTGCTACTTCTGGTGCCATGCTGAAATCTGTAGAGGTGGAGATCCTCCCCTGTTCTGCTTACAGGATCAAAAACCTTCTGGAGGTTCTCGGGCAGTCGCTAGGTGGAGCTCAGTCTTCATTCCTACCCTCATTTCCACCATTGGGGATCAAGACGAAGTTTGGGGCTGACTCAAGTTGGAGATGATGCTTTGCACTATTATGCAAGACACTTGGAATGCGGTCTACAAGGATATACCTCACATGGTCACCATTGATGGGCTAGTTATGGCTTTAGTAAGTCATTTTTGATGCATTTCATATCTGATTGTGTTTTATTTTTTTATTAGGCTACCCAGCGGCTATCAGAGTGGCGCAACAGTGTTGGCACTACTGCCATCACAGTACTTACACACTTCATGTTGTCACATGATGATGTGGAGACTGATGAGGATTGCAAAAATTTTGCAAAAAACTTACATCTCAAGTTAGCTTTCTTGTATGGGACCATCACTAAGGATGGCAAATTCAAGCAGCCTTTTCAATCTGAACTCCTCATTCAAGTTCTCATACAGCATAGGTGCACTACTTGGGGCAGCTGTTGACAACTGCAGGATGGTCACACATGCAAAGGGCGCCCTTAGTCTTGCCACTGCAGCAGCATGTATATTCATTCTCTCGTCATAGCACATACTAACTCATTTCTCATGTTTCAGATGGAATGTGCCCTCGATATTTTCAGCAGGGACATGCGCGTCAGTGAACTGAAAGTCAACAGCAAAGGAAAGGCCATCAAGGTCCCACACACCATGAACAAAGCCTTAGGCAAGCCCAGTAGTGCTCTCAAGGCATTTTCAGACACAAACTACGGTGAGGTGACCAGGGGATACATGAAGTCTATCAACCACCTCCTGAGAGTTGGTCATCTGGGACGTCTGGGAGTGCACCAAGGACATTGCCACGAAGAGGCTGTGGTGCGCCCACCACTCTTGACAGCGAGGATTCCGACAATGAGTGTGCACTCATCTATGACAACTGGTAGTACTGTTTCATTGTTCACTACTATTCCCTAACTGACTGATTTTGTAGAGTCATTCACTACTACTAGGTGCTACATAGTATATTGAATCTCTTGCGCTTGTTCTTGCTTGATGTCTATATTTCGCTACTTACTAGTACTTGCATGCTCTTTCCCTCACTTAATTTACAAAATGCCAGTGTTTTTGTGGTTATTTTTATATTAAAAGTGTGAAATAAGTGAATAAGCATACATAAGTGAAAGAATCAACAATTTGCGCAATGCAACAGAGAAATAAGTGCTACTGTTAAAAATAATTGCCCAAAAAGCTAGAAAAGATTGAAATAAGTCACGGCCAAGAGGAGGCACCTGCTTTTTCGACTTAAAATTGCCTTGTGGCAAGTTTACAGCAAGTTGGTGTCACCATTCTTGCGAGGGACTTATCTGCAGCCTTTTTGGGAAATTAGCCGGTGGCAAGTTGCAAAAAAGGAAGCTAAGCAATGTGTGAATTTACTGATGCTATGAATACTAGCTAGAGAGCTTATATGGGCTAATATGGGTTCATCGAAGGACAAAGCATAAGACAAAATAGATCACAGATTAGGCACCTGATGTGCGTCTTACAAGCCACCACATAGACATATATTGGGAAATCTGATTCGCTCAACCTTATAAGGTAAATATGGTCATATCACATTGGTTGGTTTTCAGTGATGTAGTGCCCAGAAGTAAAGTAAGGATCGAGAGAGATGTTAGCAATTTGTGTGAACAAGGCCTGGGGGATTGCACGAGTTACAACGTTGAACGTTGAACGCTCTATAATTACGGAATCTGGTAAATGTTCTCGAAGTCATCAGATGAAAGAAACATAGTATAACCTCAGATGGCGTCGCTAATCGAATCCCCCAGCTTGCTTCCTTGGACATTATGTGGAGAGCGAGGGGTTTTCTTGGTCAATGATGCCTGATAGTCTTGAACAGATCCATTTCTTGCTATCCCTCGAGTAGAAACTTTGCGAAATGTTGCCTTGTACATGTATAAAGATTGCAGATGTTACTATCAAGTACCTGTCTCATCTATTGCTTCCATCGATGTACCGGCAACTTGCAAGTCATGAACGCTTTCCACACCGACGTCTCTAAGTACCGCTCCGATCTTCTCTTGCTCTAATACCTGGCGTTCGGACTCGCTTTTCACCATCAGCATGCCAGCAAAACCAAGTGAGTTGATGCTCAACGTCGCTCCCGACTCTCTTAGGGTATGGGTTTCCCAGCGTCGCGGGATCAAGTGCATGCGTTCCAAGGTTAGAATCACATTATAGGAAGGGGTACCAGGCGGGTAGTCCGGGACATGTCGTACGGTCGAAATAACAAAATCCAAGAGGGATAGGAATGGAAGGAACAATACTTGTTCGAGCTGCTCCGGTGATGCACCATTCGACAGAGTCGGGAGTCGATATACATGGTTGGCGTATGGCACAAATGACAGCGAAAAGAGTTTGCTTGAGGATTAGTGAGAAAATATGATTTTTCCTTCCTATCACATCTTGATATTCATTCATGGGCAGTTCGTCGGAGATTCATCTCAACTTCCTCTTGGCGAAAGTGGCTGGTAACCACAACAGAATCGAAACCTGTTTCTCTTGGACTGTGTAGGGCCGAAACCCGCCGACAACTTTTTTTCGGAACACACCTTGACATTCACTCACGGGCAGTTCCTGGAGATCACTTCGCCTTCTGCCCGACGAAAGTGGTTACCGCAACAGAATCGAAATCTGTTGCTCCTGGACTGCGCAGGTTCAAAACCTGTCCACAAATGATTTTTGCTTCTTATCACATCTTGACATTCATTCACGGACAGTCCGTCGGAGACTCATCTCAACTGCCTCTTGGCGAAAGTGGCTAGTAGCCACAACAGAATTGAAATCTGTTTCTCCTGAACTGTACGGGTTCGAAACCTGCCGATAGACGATTTTGTTCTACTAGAACACGCCTTGAGGGTTCACTCATGGATGAATTCCTCGGAGGTCCATCGGGATCTTGACTGGTCTTAGCCAGGTGGTTGCTAGAACAGAGTTAAAATCTGTTCCTCTTCAAGTTGGATTGGACAGGTTCGAAACCTACCGACGCCAAGGTTGTTTTTACTCCAAAGCACAAGTTTCAGGAACGTAGAGAGGATATGTGGATTTTTGTCTTCTTGCACCATACCATGAGTGCTTCATGGGGCGGCATGGTGCAGAACAGTGAGTACTGTGTCTTGCCAGACAACAACGAAAAGGTGGTTGGAACATGTCAGGTTTGAAAATGAAAATGCGGATGACGGGGATTGGAACACCTTGACATTGACTCATGAATGGTTTACTCACGAGTCCCTCTCAATCGCCCCAACCAAGTGGCAACCACAATCGAAATCTGTTTCTCTTGGATTGCGCAGGGTCGAAACCTGCCGACACCTTTTTTTTTTTTTTGGGAACACGCCTTGACATCCACTTATGGATGGTTTCGTCGGTAGTTCATCTTAACTGGTCTCAGCCAAGTGGTTACCACAACAGACTCGAAATCTGACCGTGCAGGTTCGAAACCTGCCGAGGACAAGCTTTTTTTTATATCAGAACACTGTACACCTTAACATTTATTCATGGATGGTTTCCTTGGAGGTACATCTCAACTTCGTCATAGCCAAAATTGTTACCACAACGGAATCTAAATCCGTCTCTTGGACTGTGCCAGTGTCCTGCCGACGACAAGGTATTTCTTCTATCGGACCATATTTTGAAAATTCACTAATGGATGGTTTCCTTGGAGGTCCATCTTAACTGGTCTTAACCAGATCCAATGGGCGCAGCCGGGTTACCGCAACAGAATCAAAATCTGTCAAACCTGCCGACAACCAGTTTTTTTCCCCTATCGGAACGCACCTTGACATTCACCCATGGATAGTTTCGTCGGATGTTCATCTCAACACCTTGACATTCACTTATGGACGACCCGTCGGAAGTTTACCTCACTGGCATTAGCTAAGTGGTTAGTTTACACAACAGAATCAAAATCTGTTTCACTTGGAGTTGGTTCGAAACCTGCTGACGGCATTTTTGCGGTGTATAGATCCACACCTTGACTAGTCCCAGCCATTGCGCCGAAAACTCCTTTTTATGTGATAGTCTGTCCATAACAAGAAGAATGCGCACAAGTTAAGGACAGAGTGAGTCTGACAGTCAGGAAAATGATGTAACCTCCCAGCCGCGCTGAAACCTCCAACACTCCTTCGGTTGTTGGCCCTTCCAACATGACCGATCAATCTGCTGTCTGCCCGAGGCTTTCCAAATCGAGATATGCTTTCGTTTCCACCCACCTGCCATATATGTCTTCACGACCAGCATTTGATTGCGCCCACGTAGGTTCACGTGTGACCATGTGTAGTGTCTGAAACCCGATGCTTGATATCGTACATACAACACGGAGCAAATGATATCGAAAAGGGAAACGGAAACTGGTGCACCGTAGTCACAGACTGACAGTATACACTTTAAGAAAATTGGGAATTGCACGTGTAAACGTACACGTTATGCCTCACCCACTCGGCCTTTGTTCTTTATTGCCTCCTCCATTTTCTCTCTCAATGCTAATGCACGGATATAGAACATTGCAGCAATTAATGACCACAATGCCGCATTTGTACCCTATTGTGCTGCATGAGAAAGCTGGTAATACAATATGTATGGAAACTCACCTGGTAGAATAATACCGTTCCGGCTGCTTGCATTATCAGTAACACCACTCTAAGAGCGATGCTCCTTTGTATGGCAGTTCCCTTGAGTATGGGAATGGGATATTCCAGTGCGATCATGACAAAGCCGAGGGCCATTGAGGCTATTTGCACAATAGGGAATTTGACAATAACGGTGATGAATATAGCAAACTTGGGTGACGGTCTACGCAAGAGAACATGAACATAAATTATTACACAAAGTCTTCCAACACTCACTGTAGACCACCAGGAGAGCGCAAGATGCCACCAATGAAGTCCCAAAAGAACTTGCGGAAGAAGAACCCCCAGAAACTAGCCCATACTGCATCTGTTAACGTCAGGTAAGATGATTTCCGCCAGATAAAGGAAGGCGACGTACAAACACTCGCCGTGAGGGAGATGTAGCGACTTAATTCGTGCCAGATGAGCTTTCCCATTGGTTGAAGAGGTCGGTGGTCGACAAAGGGGTGGATAGCCGAAGAAGTGAATGTATCGAGCGCTGCTCGGAGTCGGCTCAAAAGACAATTGTTGGTGTGTCGAAAGCAAGCGAATGAAAAGTGCGATAGTGCACAAGGAAGAGACCAGCTCAACCAATGGAATGAAAGAAAGTTGGTGGAAAGATAACTTGAACTCGGAAGCTAGTGATACAAGGATGAGGGCTTTATAGGACACAAATACACTCGAGAGAACGGCGCAATTTGGCACTGCTACGTACCCACTGCATATGGGTCTCTAAGGTAATCTCCGGCTAGGGACTATTTTTACAAGGGGCGTGCATTGTTTGGGTATTACATAAAGCAAAAATGGAAACTCAACATTTCTTCAGACGAGGCGATTCATTGTATTATGAAATTTAATTATGTAACAGCGCAGGGACAACATCGACGGCCAACGAGCTCAAACTCATCAAGTACCACAAAAGTGTCTTTGCCTAACGAAGTGAATGAAAAATTCCGGTTGTCAAAGGTATGTCAATCACGCCGTGAATTTTCTGTGTTCCAGAGATATTGTGATCTACACACACTATCTCACCACCTGTGACAACCGGTACGCGGCGGCCTGATACACTGCACTACATTGCCAAAGTTCCGTTCTTCCAGTCGCGCGCATGCACACTGCCGGATGTCAGATAACGTGCAATTGCCGTGTTGAGCGGCCAGAGGCAGTATCCAGGGTCAAACTATCTTTAGGATGACTTCAACCCGGTCACGGTAGGTACTTACCTGAAGGCGGTTATAGAGCTAGAGTGCCCTAGTTGTCATGAGACAAACATGGAAAACACAGATCAACGATATAAACAAAGTTCTATTGGTGCACGGCGCCCGCCACCATCATGATCACTTACCTATTCGTGACGATAGGCTTTAGCTGTGCTTCTTGAATGAATCCGTGAGAGTCAAGTATTTTGGACCGTGAGCAAGAGGATACCGTCCCCGAAGATCATTATCAGGAGGTTTGTCGCCGACGATTGCTTGAATACTAGTACTGGTGTTTACTGTACTAGTACATGGGCTGTTAATGCGAGTAGAGCCACTTCAACGTCGCGCTACTGTCAACAAAGACAAAGCAGGGATTCTCACGATCTAGCAGAGCGCCCTTAGCACCTATCGTCCATGGCGTCCAAGAAAAAACCTGCGAAAGTGCCACCTGTTCTTTCTACCTCAAGAGACCTCGTGCCAGTAGGGCCACAACATGTCCAAGCCTCAAAACATGGAGGCAAACGAGATGAAAATGGTCTCAAACCTACCACTTCTCGAGCCCTGGTCTTACGAAATGGTAAATTTGGAGCAAGAGGCACCGGGGAGGTTATGCTTTCAAGTAAGATGAGCGGTAGGGAAAAACTTGATTTGCTTGCAGGCAAGTCGTCCATCTTGTCGATTAGCACCCGATCGGCTCATTCGAGGTACGATGGCAGAGGACCTTGTCAATGAGCATGCACGAACTGCTGTAATGTCACCTCTGAAACTGGCAAAATGTATCAAGATCGCAGACTCTCAGTTCAATTGTACGTGATCGCATGCACAAGCCATACCTTCGTCTCATGTGGTCTAGCATACTTGGATGATATCACTAATCTACAAGACCCGGAATCTTTCCACCGTAAGATCACCGAGGAACTCAACGCTCGTACACCATATGGAACGACGAAGAATGGCAGGGAGGTGCGATCAGATCCCTCCTATGTGGCGTCCATCATCGCAATCAGGTACGTCGTTCAATGCTCCATTTTTAAACGGCTTGATCATCATATGTCGGCTATGTAGGATTCACAATACGTACATGGTCGCTTCAGCATGGAAGATAGTCCTCAGCTCTTTGCGAGCGCTTGAGAAGTCAGGCCTCGATGACGCAACGGCTCACATCCAGCTGCAAAAGGATCAGGGTTTATTATCGCGTTATCTTATTGTTTGTGATTTGGTCTCTAACCTAGTTGATCTTGGTCAAAAGAAATTCTCTGTGCTTGCCACCACTACGCGTACGGCAATATCTTGTCAAGTTTGTGCATCACACCCTCTAACTATGCGACAGCACATTATGCTCGTTACTTCAAGGCGGTTGAGAACACCGATCCAGGTGAACCCGAGATAGCCTTTGACTGGGCTGGTCTCAAGGATGCATGCAAGTCATTCTTAGACTCTATCATCATTGAGCTATGCTTCCCTAAGCAACCCTATCCAAAGAGGATTCTATACCACATCCTGCACGATGCAGTTGATGAGTCCCCAAGAGAAGCGAAACGTTTTCCCCAGACCATGTGGGATGCCGTCGGCGAATTATCTGTATGTCGTAGAGCTGCAGGTCTTCCATGAGGTCTCCCTAGCTGACCATCGGCATCCGTAGGTTGTGTTAGAACTCCAGGAGCTTCTTGATAGTCCTTTGTTAGGACCGCAGGGTGAAAAGATGAAGCAGACACCTCGCAAGATGCCCGAGCAGTATGAGCAATGGCTTGATGCGCAGATATTTTCCCAGCAAGCATCGAATAACTACGCCAATTTCAAGGACCTCGTTTTCCCGCTCAGCCGCACTGAAGACCGGGCAGTCCTCAAAGACATGTGGAAACACGTCGATGTGGTACGTTTTGCAGTAAATTTCTCATCAATCCCGTTGCCCTGACATTATAAAATTCAGAATTACAACAGCGTTTCCAACATGTCCATAGATACTCTTTGGCAGCTCGACGAAGCTCTCCGCCGTACACCTCAATGGAGTGCATTCTATGTCCCTCACCTTGCAGGTCACGATTCAGATTCAGACGATGGGGGTAATTTGGGTTTGATCCCAGTCAAGAGCAAAGGCGGAAAGAAAGGCGGTGGACACAAACGACCATCGAAGAAGATGCTTGCCATTACCGACGGTCGTGGAGACGACGAGAGTGATGGCTCCATGCCTGAGCTCCAGTCCGTCTCCGACTCTTCTGACGAAAGTGACGACGATATGATCGACTCTGACCAGAACTTTGGGGATGATGACGACGACAGCGATGAGTACGGGACAGAATCTGAATACGATTCCGACGAAGACGAGCAATATCGCAATATGTTGCGAGAGGCTATGGACACGGCGATGGCCATCCCCGAATTTTTCGATGCGAAGACTGAAGTGCCCGAGTTCGAAGCGATAGCTGAGGAGAGGAAGGGCAATCCGTTCTTAAAGCTCCTTGGTTCATTAAGAGGTCGAGTTAACAGCTCTTATGGTTATCATCCACTTACAATGGTTGCGGAACACAGGACGTATGTTCTCATCGAGCGCGAAGCTCAGTTCTGAGAAGCGCGGTGAACCTCGCAAGGGCATTTTCACTGCCAAGGCTGCCCCAAAGCCCAAGCCAGCTCCAGCCCTTAAGATCGATTTGTCCGGTATTCCAGAGGATGAGCTACCTCCACTGCGACCCCTTCCGACTCCTCGGAAGAAACGAGTGCCCAAGGCCCTCGGGGCCAATCCGCCACATGCTACTGGTTTGTGTTCGTCAATAATTTCCCGTTCATCCAGACCTGATTTAGTCCTATGCAGGAACCTCTTCTGCACAGCCTAAAGATACTCGCACAACGGTCGAAGAAGTCGACGATGAGGACGACGCCGACAATGCCTCTGCTAGCAAGAAGAAAAAGAAAAAGAAGCCAAAGAAGAAGAAGACCGACACGGATCTGCCTGTCCTCCCCGAAGATGCCCCGCGTCTCCTGTGACATCTGCGGCGCGCGTCGCGTCTCCCCCCTCTAGCCCCTCAAAGGCAAACCCTGTTAGGAGGGCCAGCTTGAACAGCTCGGCGACAACCCTTCTCAACAACATGTCGACTGCTTCATTGCCGCTGACAGAACAGACCACGGCTCATTCTGGCCATTCTTTCCTGCAGGAGATCCCTCAGAAAGAGAAGATCAAATCTCGTCCTGATCATGCATCCATGTTCAACCGCGGGTTTTTGACCAAGGGCAAAGACAAAGCCAAGGATAAAGAGGAAAACAAGGATACTGCGAACAACAAACATACGTGGTTTTCGAAATTGGGTAAGAAGACGACTGGGTACATGCATCAGCTGCTTCGCGCTGGAGACGACGAGAGACGGGGAGCAATGAAGTGGGAGAACTTTCTCAAGGTGCTTCATTTTTAATATTGGTATCGACTGAGGGGATGTTCATGCATGTCTACAGGTTATGCGTGACATGGGCTTTTCTTATGATCCCAGTACCGCTGGGTCGTCTGTGCGATTCGATCCGCCTAACGATGAAGATCGGGTATGTTGTTCAGTATATCAGGAATTCTACCATGATGCTGAACTTTCTACACAGTCCATCACGTTCCACAAGCGTATGTACAACCTCGCTGATTTAACACCCTTTCTGATCTTCGTTTTTATAGCTCACCCGGATCCTACTCTGTATCCTGTGAAGATCAAGGAATTCGGTAAGAAGTTGAAGGAATACTATGGATGGGATGAGGAAGATTTCCTGAAGCGAGCCGCTGCTGCTGCATAACTGCTTTTTGATTGTTTTGCTCAAATCATCTTTGGGCTTTGCCTATTCTTCTGATAGCGATATGTTCCTTTATGATACATGATGTAATGTATGAGAATGTCCGTAGGAGTGTGGTATTCGAAATGAACTGCTCATCTCACCCGTCATGAGCAGCTGTGTGGTATGATTAATTCATGTGGGAGGTGGTCCTATGACCTTGATAGCGGCTCTATCTAGATGAGCCTTGGATGCTCGGGCTGGAACACAGTAAGAACCAGTCAAGCGCAAGGTTCTTACACTCACGGCGGCCGGTTTCGATTGCATCAATCATGCCTTGTTGCCAGTTCTCAGCAAGTGCCTTGGACATAGCAGGGTCACGGTTCCGCAAGGATGCACCACCATCTCGGAGAGAGAACCACAAGAATCGAATTAAATCTTCACAGAGGATGATGATTTGAGCGGTGTCGGTGCCTCGGCGCTCATTGACACATGCAACGGTCTCCTCGCTGGCCTCGTTTATTTCTTCCAAGCGTGCAATGAAACTTGCTCGAGTTTCGACACCTCCTCCATGCATCTGTGGGATTTCAGACGTACTGAGGACATCGACGGAGAGTACTCACTCGGAAAAACTGCGAAGCGCTCGGAGAATTCGGTCGACGCTCAATTTCGATCACAAAGCTGTGACGCTGCATTTAGCTGCTTGTACAGGGTCACATATGATCAACTGACCAATGCGTAGCAAGTCGGTCCGGTGGACTGTTTGCAAGATCCATTGCCCATATCGCCCAGTTATGCAGTTCGTCCCTCCAGTTATTGATCCACCTGGAAAGGGCTGTATTTAGGGCGTTGCTGGCAGGGTCACTTGCAAGGCTCTCGCGTAAATTTGGGTTGCAACGTAGTTTGTGGGTTTTCCACGATGCGACCTGACATTTCTTCGAGCAGTAACGTACCAGTCTGCAATGGCCAGAATTAGCTAATAATATTAATATTGTAGGCAGTGAGGATCGGCTCCTCCGCGAGTTCTACTTACCGGCAGCGACCGCATGTCTTGACTTTATCACGACCGACGTCGGTGTTGCAGTACATACACCGTCCTTTGAAATCTTTATCTTCTGAAGACATTGCGACTGCAGAAGAAAAGAGCAGAGCGCTGGCGGCAGCTGCCAAGTACCGCGTAGTGAATTTATTAGCACATGCGTTGATTACCTAATCCACTTAAATGTAATACCTGTTTAACCACGAATGGGTAGATAATAGCTTGGCTCGCCGTTGAACGATGGCGGCGAAGCCTCCGCCTACACGACCACACGTTGGCCTGCACTCATCATTCAATGCAAGATCTAACGCAGACTGGGGAGAAGACGATGTTTGGGATAGTGGATCAGACTCTGAATCACCCCGCCAGTCCACAATCTCGAATTCGTGGCGGCTACCTCCTTCTCCATCATATAGACGCCAGTCATCTCCGATAACAGCACCAAAACCAGTCCCTAGGGCCTCTAGCAACTCTTCTTCATCCAATGTCTCATTCTCCTACACTCATCTCAGTGCACCAAGTCCAGGCTCCTACCCTTCGAATACCGATACCGCTCAACCTGCGAAGGGTGGATGGACAATGGTTAGAAAATCTGGTACTTCACAGGACGCTTTAGGTTCCAAGTTACCCAAAGATATTGACCCAAATGGCGATGCAGACGTCGATAGTGACATGGTCGTAGGGGATTTAGAGCCAGAAATGGAGCAGACTACTGGCACTGGCACCAAAGTTAAACTAGACCAAGGCTCCATCAAATCTGATGCTATCGAGCTCATGAAGGGTATTGACTTCTATTAAGTTCCTTTCCACATCTAATAAGACATCTAGATCCATTTTACAGGTTCCTCCATTCTCCTCAACCACCACCAGAACCAAGATTTAATCATAGAATGGGTTATTCCCCACGGTCGAGTGATGCTGAGAAGCTCCTACGGGAGAGCTCAATCCGCACAAACCGACGAATTAAGTTCATCGATTGTCTTAGCAAAGATGATGTCAATATTAGTGCGCGCTCTTGTGGGCTTTCACTGATTATGCACCTGAGGTTTCATAACTAGGCGAACTCCGTAAATTAGCTTGGGCGGGTACTCCAAACGACCTGAGAGCTGTTGTATGGCCGATTCTTCTCGTGAGTCATATTTCCCGTATCTCATTACCTTCTAATGTCGATGCTTAGGGCTACCTTCCCTTGCCATCAAATCTTCGAGCTTCCACTCTTGCACGAAAGAGAGGAGAATACTCATCACTGGTCGAACTCGCGTTCGCTCGGGATCGCCAAGGGCTTGACCAGCAAATATGGCATCAGATCGAGATCGACGTACCACGGACGAGACCTGGTGTACGTTTATGGATGCAGGCATCCACTCAACGTGTAAGCCGTTACGATGTTATTCCAGCAGATGTTAATATATCTGCCGCAAGTAGAGTCTCGAAAGAATTCTCTATGTCTGGGCAATACGACACCCAGCAAGTGGATATGTTCAAGGCATCAATGACCTCGTTACCCCATTCTTCCAGGTTTTTCTCTCCGTCTACATTGGTATGACAATATTATTTCACGGCTACGTGTAACGTTAAGACTACTTGCAGATTCGGACCCCGAAGAATTTGATACCTCTTTGCTACCAACGGCTGTCCTCAGTGCTGTCGAGGCAGACTCGTTTTGGTGCTTGTCACGTTTGTTAGACGGCATTCAAGATAACTACATTTCAGCACAACCTGGCATTCAGCGTAGTGTCAAGCGCATGGCTGAGCTTGTTGCACGTATTGATGGTAAGTTCCTTTCTACATGCACGCAATGCCTGCTGATGATCGAGCAGCCCCCTGTATACACACCTCGAGTCCCAAAATGTTGAATTCATGCAGTTCGCTTTCCGCTGGATGAACTGTCTTCTGATGCGAGAAATTAGTGTGAAAAACACGATCCGTATGTGGGACACGTATCTGGTGAGTTGGCCACACCTTCGTGGGATATCCGTTATTAATCGTATACTCCCAGGCTGAAGGAGCGGATGCATTCTCTCAATTCCACCTTTATGTATGTTCTGCATTTCTCGTCAAGTGGAGCGAAAAGCTCCGGCAAATGGACTTCCAGGTACATCCACCTTTGCCCTCTTAGGATTGCATATCTTACGTGTGCTAGGGTATCATCATGTTCCTGCAATCCCTCCCGACGCAGGACTGGGGAGACCACGAGATTGAGATGCTTCTTAGCGAAGCTTTCGTGCTCAATTCCATATGGCACAACGCTCAGAGTCATTTTAATGCTAAATAGCTATCTTATCCATACTCCAACGGCGCAGCGTACGTGTAAGATATGGTCTGAAGTACGATCTATGATGCAAAGAGCAAAGCTCCCCGGGTCTTCAACAACTCGGAGAGCCCTTCTCAGAAATGCAACTATGCTGGATGATGCTATGAGCAAAGAATACGGAAATGTGCAGTGTATAGGCGGAGGTATAGGAGGCAGTATGTAAAATTAGACATGAGCAACATGAGAGACATGAAAGTACCAACCCCTCAACTCGACTCCTTGACAGCTGCTACCTCGCGATCCAAAGCATTCTTGAGCTCCTGAGCTTGCTCAGGTGTTTTCACACGAATTCGGAACGATGCAGGAGCACCTTCATCGTGTCCGACAAAGGATATCATCGTCTTCATCAGTGTTGGAGTTAGTGACACGAACAACCTGAAGTTCTAACGGCACGTATAGGTATTAAGCAAGTGGAGTTGAATACGAAATGGTGGAGACTGACAATGATAATCCTCCCGGTGGCACTGTTTCGCATCAGTGCGCGTCGTGCGCCTGTCTCTTTATGTTTTTTCAAACGGAACATACCTATCAAAAGTCAGCAAGACCGTAGATGATACCAAAATAAAGAATACTGACCAACACCCTAGGTCCTTCCACTCGGACTTGTCAGGAGTCTTCGAAAGCTTGAAGACTTTAGCCTTCACAGTATACGTCGTCTCTTCATCTTCTTCACCCTCGCCTTCATCATCGTGATTGCTAGTCGGCAGCAACTTTGCATCGTCTTGCGTGCCCTCGTCGCCGGCAACAGGTTGCGACCCTGATCGACTGGCGGTGTCCATTGACGGAGAGACAGATTTGGTCGGTGGAGCACCAAAACTGAATTCCGTGGGGGCGCTCGATGAAGACGTAGAAGCCCCATCTGCAAGCTTCGCAACTCCGAATCCAAACCCTACTGGATTGCCAATACTCCCTCCTCCCGCCTTCCCAAACGTAAATCCATTTCCTTTCGGTGGCGAGCCTCCGCCAAAAGTACCGAAAGCACTGGTGGGTTTGTCGGTAGCAGCAGATGCGAAAGCGTTGGTAGGCGGTGTGAAGGAGGAGCTGCCAAATAGACCAGTGGTGCTTCCGGTTTTGATTTCTTCGTTTCCTGTATCGGTTTTAGCAGATACTTTGTTGAATAGATCTGAGGACCCTGGGGTGAAGAAGGAGGGCGTCTTTGAGTCAGTACTGTTACCAAATAATGACGTCGTAGTGTTGAATGCTGATGTCGGCTTTAAGTCGGAGAACGTGGATGATGCTGCCTTAGATGACGCGAAGAAGTTGGGAACGCCTGAGCCAAATGCGGATGAGGAGGATTTTGAATCGTCTTTGTCTTTGCTGGGTGCAGGTGCGGCTGGCGGAGCGAATGAAAACGGACTCGGACTTGACGAGCTGGGATCATCGGATTTAGTCCCAAATGAAAAAGCCGATTTCGGAGCTTCCGAAGTGCCAAAGGGAGATGGTGCTGTAGGAGTATCTTCACTCATTTTGGCACCCAGACTAAAAGTTGGAGTCGCGTTTGTGCTGGAAGATGATGTAGAGAAGGGGAAGGCACTTTTGGGTGCCGAGCTCTGATCTGTTCCATTCGTGGATGAAGTATGTAATGATGGGGAGCCAAAGCTACCAAATCCAGAGAAGCCTTTTGGTACGGGAAATCCAGTCGTTGAAGGTGCAGCCTTCTCAGGCACAGGAGGGCCAGAAGCTGGTGCCTTCTGGCTAGTGGCTTTGGATGAGTTATCATGATCTGTTTGGACGGTAGTCCGCAGATTCTTATAACTCTCAAGAAGGCCTGCAATGTCAATAAAGGGATCCTGGTCTACAGCTTTTTGGATCGCTGTCAAAAAGGAGGCGTTAAGACCACGAATAGACTTGTAATAGTTCAGTTCTGCGTTGTAATCTTCATTTGAAGTACTCGGGGATGCATTGACAATAGTTGGGGATGCATTGGCAGTACTAGCGGCTTGTATAACCGATGCAAAGCCCTTCGTAGCAGCAGACGCAGAGGGCGCAACGTTTGAGGTTGTGAATGTAGTGACAGCTGGAGGGGCGAATGAGAAAGGACTCGGTCCAGCTCCTGAGCCAAACCCTGAGAAACCACCGAATTTTGGAGAAGCGGGGGGTTCCTGAATGGACTTTTATTGGAAAGATTTGCAAGGCATTGACTAAGTACTCACCGAATCCGCGGGTGAAAGAGGTGCACTGGGAAGTCCGGCGAAAGACAAAGCTTTATTTGAAGCCATGGTTCGCTTAGGCAAACCACGTATTCTGGGTATTACAGAATAAGCGTCGCTCGCTACAGCTACTGGACACTCACTGTCGCTTTGCGAGGACAGACTCGTCTGCCTTTTGTAAACCCTTGCCAGGGTCTTCCACTTCCTACTCGAGTCAATGACGAGTTAAGACAACGGAAAAATTATCATCATACCTCTATGTCGTCGCCGTCGTCCTTGCTGATTTGTCTCTCTGCGCCTCTCTTCATAGTGGACAAAGCACGAACAGACTGACCCAAGGCCCTTCAGATTAATTATTACTGTTCAAAGTGAAATATTAGGTAATCAGATTGTCGGAGTTGTTGGGGTCATAGTGCTTAACTCAAAGATACGCTATCCCTTTCTATCAACCATACTGCGACTGCTCCGTGAACACGCTTTTCGCTCGTCAGTGATGTCGACGACAACTGGAATGGCCATGGACTCTCGCTCTTCATCACCAACAACACCTGAATCTTCTGACGGTCATCATCCTGTTACCCTACACCATGACCATAACCTATCAGCCTGGTATAACTCAATTCGTCCAAGGAAGACCTTTTCCGAAATTGGCGTTTGGGACAATGAGTCTATGCGTGGCATCATGAACAAACCTGACAGCGAGAGGATGTTCCAACTTGATGACCTAATAGATGAGCATGCCTATGAAGAGTATGTCTTGAAAAGGTTCTCTTGTCCGATCGCTGTCGTTGACGTGTCATATACCCTGGTTTAGCTCGGCCTGTTCTGCACCAGAATCTTCCCCTGTTCTGCCTCAAGTCATTCCAGATTGTTTGAAACCGGATGCAGTCCACCCGACAGGCGACAGCTGTGTATCTACTGCGCAAGCTCCTTTACCTGAGTCCGACTATCTTGTTCCCTCCCATATGCAGATGCATTGTTCACCTGTAATCCCTCCCCCTGCTGTGTGTTCACCCAAAAGGGATCCATCTATCGCTCAGCATCGAGTCGTTTTTCCTCCACGAGAATCTTGCTACAAGTGCGTCTGTCTTTTGTTCGAGTATCCAGTTTTTCATATTTTAATCTGTGAAGCCTTCCTATCCTGACCCCTAATATCCCTGAACACGGCACAAAGTCTCGTGTAGAGACTCAAGTGCGCGTCACGTTGGACTTGGCGCATGCTAGCTCATCGTCAGGGGAACCGTACTTATACGATAGGGTTGGTTCGTGGAAATGGCTAAAACTTCCACCAGGGACTTTCACCAAGAAGCGCACCCGTCGGGAAGGAAAAATAGGTACTGAGGATACTTTTCTGTCCTTTGCACAAACTCACCATAATCAGACCCTTCTCCCTTGGATATGTTACACCTCACCACGACTGTGACGTGCGCTACATCACCACACAATCGCGTGCTAAGCTGCGGAAGCTGTAGAAACCGAGAGGTCGGTACCTCCCTATCATCAGAGTTCCATGCTAACTTTGTTTTCCCTTTTAGGCAAAGCGCGTGGCTAGGAAAATCGCAGCTCGTGTCAGACCTGCCAGGTCTGGCTCAGATACCCCAGAGGACGGTAATGCACGACCGAGAGGCAACAAGGAAGACACAACTAGTATCATTCAGTTCAACTGCCCCGAAGTCCTTGACTTCGAAACAGGGTCGGTTGTGCTACCCGTCCGCATTACATGCTACTGCAGACATCACCGCGAAAAGGTCGGGTTTCATATCCATTTCACGATGATGGATCATACTGGACGCATCGTCGGTTCGGGAACGACTCCTCCGATTATGATTACGGATGACCATAAGTCGACGACCAAGTCGAATTCCGTGTTCAATCCCCTCACTGAAACCGAAGTCGATCTGTCCCAGATCATACCGAGCGGGGAATTGGCAGGCAAGCGTGCACCCTCGAAACGCAAGGCAGTGAACGTGAAAGGCCAGCCAAAGAAGCGAGCAAAACCATATGACGCTACTAGTAGAAATGGCCCAGTGAAATTTGTGAGAGAGGCCAGCTTCACGTCTCAGCCTTCAACAGTGCCTAGTTCCCGGTCTCCTACACCCTCTCGCCTTCTAGTGCCCACGCCATCTTGCTCATTATCTCAAATTGAAAATGGCACCATTCCTTCCGCAGCTATGTTTGGTATCAATGGGCTTCAACAGCCAGAAGACGCACATGCTAATTCATTCGTCTCAAATGCAGTAATATCGCCAGTATCAAGCTCCATATCATCGCCTCTCATTTCTCCTGTATCGCAGCCCATCCCACAACTTGTTCCACAACCGACGCCATTCCTTTTCTTCAACCCTGGATCACCTCCCCTCGTTGCCTCACTTACTCTCCCTAAAATTCACCGTCTTATACCCGCTTCTGGTCCTACGCATGGCGGGATTGAAGTGACTGTCCTTGGTGAGAATTTCCACCATGTTCTTCAACTCAATTGCGTCTTTGGAGACGTCCCCGCAAGCTCTACGCAGCGTTGGAGCGACAACACCTTGGTCTGTGTCCTACCCCCTCGAGCCTCCCCAGGTATTGTCGCTGTGTGGTTCGAGGGCTTTGAGAAGACGAACGATCCCTCGCTCCCTTCTCTATTCACATACACTGATGAGTCAGACAGGGCCCTGTACGTCTCACCGATAGCATTTTACCTTTTTTTCGCTTAAGTATTTCATTTCCAGGATGGAGCTGGCTCTACAGGTCGTAGGACTCAAAATGACAGGCAAGATCGAAGACGCGAAGAACGTCGCCCGCCGTATCGTCGGAAATGCAGGAAACGAAGACTCTTCAACATCCTCAGACGCCAACGACATGATGCACGTCGTTGCATCCTCGTCTTATCGCGACATACGACCACTGCTCTTCGTCCGGTCGGACGAAGGAGAAAATTTCGAGACCACGATCGTCAAGTTCCTTTCTATGATAGATGTATCCGTTGACAACCAATCCACTGTCACCATGAGTTCCGCAGTTTCACACTCTACGTCTGATGGGCAGACACTTTTGCACCTCGCGTCGTTATTGGGCTTTGCGGAGCTCACGAAATTCCTGATCGCACACGATATCGATCTGGACGCACGTGATAGGAATGGTTATACAGCTCTTCACTTTGCTGTGTTGTCTCTATCCAAACCTTGTTTGGAGTTGCTGGTAGCGGCTGGAGCGGACTTGGAGATTGTGAACGGACTTGGGAAAATCCCAGAGGATATTGCACCTGAAGGCTTCTTTGATGACGTCACCCCGCGGCGCTCGCCTAGTGTCGAAACAGAAAGCCAAGACGACGATGATGGTGAGAGTCAGTGGGGTGACGTAGAGAGTGACGAGGGAGAAGTCGTCACCATTAAACGCCGACCGGTGCATATTTTCCGTCGGCGCACACAAGATACGACGGAGCAAACAAGTCCTGAATCCCACGCGGAGCAAACCCCGGAATTGCCCAGCAAAGACACAGATACCAAGATACCTGCTAATGCAACGGACGAGAAACAGACAGCGTCTTTTGTGGATATGATTCAGCGAACGCTTGCGCAGCTGCAACCTCAAGGTATCATACCAAACATACCTCAGCTTCCTCTTCCACATCTTCCCGGGATGCCTGCTGTCCTTTGGGGCGCTCTTCCGCAGATCCCCATGGTGTTCCCCATCTTCGTCCCGATAACGGGGTGGCCGTTCCTCGGTGACAAGCGGGAGGAACATCAAGTCGATGGGGAAGTGAGGGATGTTGCTCATCCAGCAGCACGAGCGGCGCAGGAACTGAAGGCGACTTGGGAGAAATGGATGACACTCGCTATTGCCACTGCGACGCTCCGTCCGGTGCCTGTTGAAGAAGCGCCTCCGATGTATACGCCACGAGAGATGCATGAGGAGCAGCTGCAGGAGCCTGTAGCTAGTACGTCGCGTGCTGAGGAGTCCCCTGCGCGTCTTGCAGGCCCAAGCAGGCGCGTTGGTTATGCTACAGCTTCTGTGCCAGCTCAAGAAGTGGAGTCGTATGGTTATAGGCCAGTGAATGATGCACAGAAAGCGCAGCACGGGCGTAAGTGTTGCCCCGGTATTCTAAATGACAATGAGTCTGATTGCTGCCCCTTTTCAGGCGACCGGATGCTCGTCCTGTTCTGGCTTCCTATTTTGCTGAGTATGCCCATCTCAATCGCTATGGGATGTGCGACTGATCTTTTTCCTTACAGTTTCTCTTCTGTGGGCTCTGCACCACAGTGTTCGTTTCGTTCTTCACGCTTTCAAGACCACGATTTCTCTCAAAACCGGCCTCCGTGCATGAATATCCTAGAAATGACATGTGCACACTCTTACTTTGCGAGAAAAAGTATCTGACTGAGATTGTCGAGGACCAAGTCTTATACAGTACACAACTCGGTCTGACTACTTGATGTAGGATTGCTGTTAAATGACGTATGTATGCACATCCAGTATATTAATGCGTATCGAGGACAGCGAGTTTAAATAGTGTTTTTATTTCCCCCTGTGCTCCTTGAAAGATGCCTGGATGCCCTTGCCAGCTTTAATATCAGCCATACATTTAGCATCGATCTCTTTTCCCTTCTTAGCAAGCTCCACGACCTTGTCTACCATATCCACTGGCACGCAAACGACACCGTCTTCGTCTGCAACGATCCAGTCCCCTGGTGTCACTGTGACAGGGGCAAATGCATCTGGGCCGTCGCCCGCGTCTTTAGGATGAATGGTGAGGGCGACGTTTACACCGGACGGGCGTACGAAAGGGGACTGTCCGACTGTCGAATGACCACGCGCAAAGACCGGGAAATCCGCTGCACGATGTTCAGCGAGGTCTCTGCAACGTCCAGAGATAATAACGCCGACAGCTCCCCGAGCTTGAGCGCCTGCAGTCATCAGACCACCCCAAACGGCATTCTTGCTTCTGCGCGATAGACATGAGTGTGAAAGCTCGGACATAGAACGGGGAGTAGAACAAACTGAACGAGGTGGGGCGTCGACGATGACTACAGAACCTGGGGTTGCGGTGTCTACGAAATGGGAGGAGAGCTTTGGGGCTGATTTGTCTGATGCGAGTACCATTTGGACAGTGTATGCTGGTGCGCAGATCTTGACTTGGGATCTTGGGGAGAGCATATGAACGTCTGGGATGTGTCCTCCGTTTGGAGATCCGAGCTTTATGAGGGCATCTGAGATTTCACAAGCGGAAAATTGTGATAGTGGGCATGTGGAGGAGCGCGTCGACGTCGACATTGCACAGCTGATGGCGAGCAGACGGGTCCTTGCAATCATGAATCAAGCAGAGCAGTAGGTCTAGGTGCCTGGCTAGCATATTTTATAGACCAGTTAGTATACGTACATATAAGGATTGTAACTTCACAGTGACCTTGATATCGGAGAGGATCGTATAATGTCGGAACAACTTGCAACAACACACAACAATGTAAAAAGACGGGGCAGTCTATTTGATGCGCATCGAATGAGGACGATGGGCTCTGACCAACCAGTGTTTACGCTCGAAGTCCACATATAAAAGCCTACTACAATAGCTCCTATAGAGATACGTGTACATCCAAGCTGTCATTCCCCTCGGATTCCTTTATCCCCACTTCTCCCGGCGAGCATCTTCGCGTCCCTGAGAGGCCATGTATTCGTGTTAAAGTTCACTAGCACCTTCAATGTTCTATCATGTTGTTCGGATAGCTCCGACTCAGCGTGAAACAGTCCTTGATAATCGGTAATTCCTCCAGCTGAGCGTTTTGCAGCAATTCAGCCTGCGAGACACTGTGCGAGGACCTCCCATACGATGCCGAGTCTCGTGGAAACCAGATATAAGACATCCTCTCAACGGCAAACGCACTGATAGGTGCCGGAGAGAGTGGCCTCCCCTGGTATTATTTAATGAGTCCGATATGATCAAGCGTATCCCCTGAAGCGTTCCCCGTAAATACTGCAGTGATCACTCTGCCAAAAATGTTGGCAACAAGGAAGACGACAAGCGTAGGCACACAATATGTCTAGCAGGAGTATTACTGAATCTTCCTTGTTACAAAGATTTAGCGAGTATACTTTAGGGTATTTGAATTCTACCCCCTTGCACAGTTACGGTTCTAGTTGTGACTCTTGTTGTGCCTCCCACCGCAAGTTGCGCGACCTGGCAGTACTCCCAAATTTGACGAGGGCTTGGAGAGCCGTCTCCGACGCTGTTTCTTTCTGCCGAGAAAGAAGACCTTGTAGCTGTCTCTTAACATCGGGATATTCATGTAAGAATGGAAAGGTGGTGTCGCTCATTCCAGAAGCGTAAATCCGCAGGCACCGGCCTGTTTCGGAGTGGCTTGGGTTCCTCTCTGGAAATGAGACTTTAAGCTGCGGATCCAGGACCACATTGAGGTCGAGAAGGAGAGCGATATAGGGAAGAACAGATTGGCAATCGATCGTCTCATGCCCGCGTGTGATGTGACTTAATTCTTGTACATGGCGACGCTTCCCCGCTTTGTCGGAAATGAAAATTTGTGATACGCGTTTCTCATCATCGGGGCCCAGGGCGGGATCGTCAAAATATATAGGAATCATTTTGTCGACGAGCGGCTGCAGATGGCAGCATTGCACCGCGCTTGTGCGATGCCAATGTCGCAAAGTCCACTCTTGAGCATCGCATCTAACTTTAATCTTAGAAATAATATTGCTTGACAACGTTTAAAAGCTTACTTTGACTCCTTGGCCGTGTGTTCGAGATCACATGCAGGCGAGATAAATTCTGTCATAGGCACCCAATGCGAAAAATTGATGTACGCATGCCGAAACGCTGCCTTGGCCTCCTCTCCCGCCTTCGACCAGAATGTTGTGCCAAAAAGGTATACCAGGAACTCGATGACAGATACCTTCTGGCAGTCTAGCAGTTCGGCATCCTCACTTCTGTTATAGCGTAGATCTTGGATCGCATCTTCGGAGGGGTTCTGGCGGATAAAGAGATCCTTAGCAAGAAGCAGCAAAAGTCTGCTGGTCAGCTCTCCGCTCTGTCCGATTTCGACCATCCCACTATCAACCTTCTCCCTCAAAACCAGTAACGCTTGCAGTAAACAGTTGGGAGTTTCATGCAGCAAAATCGCTGCAACACAGGACAGAAAGGGCTCCGATGGATAACCGGTAAAACTCCAGATCCTATCTTCAGTCGTCGAGAAGCATACGCGCAAGTGACTAGCCACTCCCGCTTCGATATGAGAAACGGCATCGGGGTGACCAAAGCAGATATCGAGACCGAATCGCTGCGACAGGACTGCGAGAGCCTGGTTGGTAACTCTAGGATCAAATGATTTGGACTTGCACAACTTCTGCGCAGCCAACTCCATAACCCCATTGACAACCTTATCTTGCACGTGTAATTTCCACCTAGTATTCATGTGGTCAACAAAACTGAACCAGGATAAAAACAAAAGACAAACAGCGGACGACCGAATCCGACAATATGGTGAAACTTTGCAACATCATTAGCTGATATGCGACGCAGAGGGATTGCGAGCTGATCCCAACCAAGGTCGGTATACGGCGGATATAAAAGCTGTCCAGCTACTGCTACCCGCTGGGAATCATCTGCAATATTGTGTGAGGGGTAGAAACTGGGGACGTAAAGCAAGTACTTACGAATCTCTTGAGGAGCTGAAAAGTGGGCTACCTGTGAGGTCGTAGATGCGAAAACAACCCAGACAGGTGCATCATTGTTGCGAGAATAGGAGTTAATCACCCTGCCCAGAATATGTGATGGACGAAAACCCTTGCTGCTCATCTTGCTGAGAGGGTGTGCCTCGTCAAATGCGATCACGAGTTTTGGCTCATTATCGGAATCCCCCTCCCCCGCCTTCCCCTTCCCTCCCGCCTTCAATACGGTAAATATACGTGGCATAGTAGCCACCATTTCTTGGAAAGCATCGATCAGGAATGATTCCCCTTCCAATTTTGGAACCTCGACCTTCTCATCTGTTCGGTGTGAGCCAAGGTGATCGCTATGTGCAAAGCATAACATCTACCTGTCAAAGTCTTCTCCGATGTTGGTGTAACATTGGTGGTCTCTTTGTGCGGTTTCGACTTGCTACCTTTCAAAGACAGATTGCCCAGTTGTGAGATGGTCTTCTCCAATGCTACTTTGGACGGTTTCAGCTTGCTAGACGACTATAATGGAATTCAGCCTCGTTCTGTCTGTCGAGCAATTATCATCGCACCGAAGACTCTTTTTTTGCAGCGGCGACATCAGTGCTCTCTTTCGGTATTTTGATCTGGTCAAGAGTCTGTATTAAGCTTCAGCATCGTTCCGCTTGTCTAGCGATCATGATTAGCCGTGCTCACTGCCTGATATCGAGATTTCACTATCTCAAAGAACTCAGTACGAGCTGCCGAGCGCATGTCGCACATTTTGTCGTTCCATTCCTTTACCACAGCATCAGTACTGCTAGAGCGCAGTGAAGGTAGCTTGCTGCTCAGATCCTGCTGGAGCGCCTGGAATATGGCCGCGAAGAAGGCGCAACAACGAGCGGTATATTCGGCTTGAGTGCAGTCCGTTGTATAATCTACCAATATACGCGCAGGCACTAGGTCTCGCTTAGGGAAGCCTGTATGATCACTTGATTCACGCAGGTTCATGTACAAAACAAGAACGCCTTTGTTCCGGAGCTAATTGGATACTTTTAGCCATCTGAGACATGTATGCACTTTAAAATGCCAACCTCAGTCATTAATCTCGATTTCCCTGTGCCAGAGCTCTGCACAATGGAACAGAATTTAGCGTAATAAGGCCTCCTGAGGCCACTTCCCTTGAACTTCTTGTCGTTTTTTTTTAGGTACTCATAAAAGCCGTCTACCGCCTCCCCAATGTAAGGTCTGACGAATGAATTGTAAAGGAATTCAAACTCGTCTTTGCCTAGAATACCGTTGACATGAGATAAAATTGTGAATGCAACAGTATAGAAGCCTCTGACCTTGAGCCAACTCGGGCCGCGTAGGGGAGCTAGTGTCGGACATTTGCATTATTTCTACATTGCCAGTGACCATCAGCAGAGGGGGATGTATATGGCTGGCTCAAACACTTACTTAGGTCAAGAATGCGGGAGTAAAGGCCTGTCCGGCAGGCGTCGTGGATCACCTTGCTTAGTTGAGGATGTTGTTCTAAAGACGCGGGCATGAACTTTGTGTGGTCAAGCACATTTTCCAACTTGTGGCGATTGAAGAAATTGATGGTATGGACATAAGTGGTAGCGAGAAACGTAGAGAACACTCGATCCAAGCCCGTGTCTGCGGCCTCAGAGTCTTGCATTATGCGCAGATCATCAGGGTGAATTGCGCCGAGTATAACTTGATCAAATTCATCACGTTGTGTCTGTGTGAGCGGTAGGGGTGCCACAGAAAGATCCTGTGACCTTGATTGTCCTGGCTGCCACGACATGGGGCCAGGCGTGTCGAGGTATACTCTAGTGGTAGGATTCAGACTCGTAGGAGGATGTCTCTGAAATGGCCGACAAGTCTGAGTACAGGTGGCGGTGCTTTGACGGAGTTTGAAGTCGCCGACACCCCAAGCCGTATGGCTGACCATCACACACCCGTCAGTCACATCACACCTTCACCCCCGCTGCGAGGCGCTGTATACCAACGCATGAGCCATGGACATCACGTCCCTCCTTGCTACCATGCAGCAACACGATCAGCTTGCAGAAGTCACAGCACCTAATCTAGGATTCCAGCTGCAATGCCCTCCGTGAAGTCTCAAGCCGTCAGATCAGATTTTTCGATGGCGTAAGGTAACACCTTCTCGTCCGAAACAAGACGGTCCTGTCACCTTTACTATACTGAGTGATCAAAAGTGGGAGTAGTTAGAAGGATACCTAATCCTGCTCCTGCTAAATGGATGACTTGTCGTAGGCTCAAAATATTCTGATTAGAATATCATATAGGTCGTGCAGCCTGGTAGTGGAAAGGAATTAGCCTCACGGCAGAAGTCGGCAAAATGTACTGTGAGCGCTCTTGGTTCAAAATAACTTTGATCACTACATTACATAATATTGAGGCTGATGTCAAAAGTGCATCGACATTCCACCCTGACACACCGGCAGTTTCGGAGTTTTCCCTTAGGCAAGATTCGAATCGAAATGTGACCAATAAATTAGCGATTCTCACTTCCAATTTTGACACCGGAAGATTGTCATATTTTGACGTGTGATACAATGACAAAGCGAAATAACACATTTTGATACAGATTTTGAGCCTCATAAAATGTATAAAATACTTGAAATTTTTTCGATACGAACAATGATGGAACAAATATGACGTTTTGTAATCCAATTTTGTCCAATAGTAAATGCAACATTTTGCCTGCTGAAAAATCTTCTGCAAAATATTATGTAATGACAACCATTTTCTCACCTCAGGGAAATTCAAATTTTGCCTATGGCGAAATGTGAATAGAAAATATTGAATTTTAGCAAGCATAAAATAATATGGGTGCTGGTTGGGCATTCAGCAGGTATTCACTGGGCAATGGGACAGATTTACTAGTTTCTCACAGTGTGCAAGCCTGGCGCAGAATAATCTAGGGTTAGGAATACACTGATCAAGCTCAAGGGCAAAGTTTTGCAGTAATGACATCTGCAATGGCAAGTCCCTGACCATCATAATTGTGCATCAACTGCAATATGTACTAGGGTCTTTGGAACTATGCATATCAAACTGTGCAAGACAAGCTAGAGCATAGTATGCCCCCCCCATTAATGTTGCATCATGACAAATGCCTCCTTGCTCTAATGGTGGCAGATAATTGTGAGGTACTGGTCCAGCTATGGCAGGAGCTGAATGACATCAAGCACCTCCTAGATTTAGAGCATATCTGAAACACAGCATCTGCTTGTATTAACTATATTCAAGGTTTTTCACAGGCTTACCCGAGACTGGACGATGACAATATGATGCAATGTTATGGACAGAGTGCCACCTCGCTGTGATGGTGCTAGTGTTGATGCTGAGATGGGGGTGTTCACTGGGCATTGCTATAAGTCAGTCATGATGCACTCGCAGTACCAAATCATGCAAATTCACAAGCCATGGATGATTAAGGTACACCAAGAATGATTGATTTGAAAAGTGAGCACAAAGCAAATATAGGGGTAGACTGCAGGCAATGACAAACCTAGAGTAAGGAACATCTGGTGAGGCTTGCATCTCATCCCTGTTACCAGGCATGTCCTCCTGATGCCAAAAATAATGAGTTATAGCACCTGGCATGTACATAGCCAGATGTGAGGGAGAAGTCTTGAGACCAGAGTAGCGAACACTGGTTGTTGGGTTCGAATATTTATGTCAGTTCTCAGTGTCATTATCTGAGATGGACGTACCTAGTTAGATGCCTCCATATCAAGCAGCATGACACTTTGCATGTGTTCCTCAATAGATAAAACTAAAGGTCATGTCAAAGTAGTTAGTACATGGAAGTAATGATGGTTGGCACTTACAGGATGAATTGCACTTTGGATGTAGATGGCAGGACCAAACCAAACCTAATCAAGGGCATGCTTACTGAAGTGCCATTGCGCTGCAGGCACACAACAGTACCTCTTGATTGAATGAGCAGAAGCTCATTCAAGATGCTGCTATGCAGGTCAACTTGTGATATGAAAGGCATGATTAAGACCACCACCAGTACTATCACAAATGAGACATAGGTGTGCTTAGTCAAGGTAGTGTTGCAGATGAGTGATGAAACTCACCTGAAAAGTGGACTGGCATCACCCATATCCTTGAATTCGCATCCTCTATCATTGGTAACTTCCGCTTTGCCTGGATCGAATCTGACACACTCCAGAGAAGGTCTTCTGTGGTGCGCATTGGGCATTCAGCATAGGGGTATGGTATTACACAGGCATGTGTGAGGGTATGATATTACACAGTCATGCATGACTGTTCTACAAGACAAATCTGATCAAAGTGCAAATTCAGAAATGCTGATGGAGTAATGGTGATATCCACCGTGTTCTTCTTGATGGAACACTTAGCTACATTGAATATAGAACCACGATGACTTCCGTCTAGAACAATACATTGTTGATTTCTGCTTTGTGGGGGGGCTGGGCTAAGATCCATAGCAGGTATATGATAGTGTTGAATCGCAGCGCCTGCAGTATTCAATGAGCAGAATACAGCAACACAACCCTCAGGGGCTGTTCTGTTCAGACCAAAGAAGGGATCGGGACAAGCCATTGACACAAATTGATTGTGCAGCCTGCCTCCCATGAAGGAGGGCAAGACTTTCAATATCATGTGATGAGTAGTGAATTTGGAACAAAATTACTTGTTCATCAACCATGCTAGTGGGCCTAGAACAAAATAAGTGGAAATGTTATGAGGGTTCTATTAAAAGACTCACTTTCTTTCAGTATTTCCATTTCAGCCTCAAGCATATCGACAGCCCAGGGGTCGAGTTGAGCAGTATTATTAAGGGTGGACGCAGGGTTACTGGCTGTGTCAAGATCCTCAGAGCTAGCGCTCCAGGTAGTCCATGTGAATTGTGAAACTGTCAGATTTGCGATGGAAGCTGATGAACTCGAGGCAACCTTCTCAGGAGGGGGGGTAACACTTTGGGGTTGCAGGGCCAAGTACGATCTTCTCTGCATCTCGCAGAACGATAACATGTCAGGTCCTTCGAGCATGGCACCATTCAACCTCATTCTGTGCCTAAATACCCATTAGATCAGTTCACACATATGTATCTGTGTCAATTACCTGGTAGCAACGTTCTTGAGTTGAATCTTGGTGCGCTGCTGCCTGTGCAGAGCAACAGTGCAATCCATAGAGCTTAAGCTGTACAGCATGGCTTGGTAACCCTTATGGTTACCTCCAATAATATAAACTTCTTGCCCTATGTCTTTCTTGAAAGAATCCAGGCTGGCGTCGCTTACTTTGATAACAAATCTGATGGGAACATCAACCTGTCGAGAGTCAGATATGCACAAGTCTGAGAAGAATCAGTACTGACTAGTGAGTGGTCAGTCTCAGCGAGTAGGGTCAAGCGAGCATTTGGAAAGTCAATGCTTTGCACAACTCCTTTTGTGGAGTACTCTGGCCCATGGGCAACCTTCACAACATCTCCAGCCTTAACATTGTAACCCCTGTCTTGTGTAAATTGCAATGTCTGGAGGTTGGGGATCCACTGAACGGTTTTGATAGGAACTGGGATATTCAACAATCCATGCTGGAACCATAGATAATTCCCTCCCTTAGAGAGCCAGCACATGATGCCAGATTTCCCCATGTGTTCCCCAACAAGGACATCTATGGAATCTCCAATCTGAATGGATTCACACTAGGGGGAGGCTTGAAAAGTTGCTGAGTGAGCAGTCGTGCTTGCAGGGTGTGGCTCAGAGGGTGACCATGTTAAGGTTGCATGCTCAAGGGGGTCGGATCACAAGGGCTTGGCCTCAGCTTGTACACTGTGCCCCTTTCCCAAGTATGTGCCCTTAATTTCCAGGGGCTAGAATAGTCATCCGGAGTTTCCAGGATTTGACTAGGGCGGACAATGGATGTCTGGATGTTACCTGGCAAGCGGATGAGACTAATCTGGACAAAGTCTGGACTAGAAACTAACAGAGGATAGACTACCTTAAGGTAGAGTCGGAAATGTAGTCTAGGATGCAATCCTAAGACTCAGAATATGACAAGAGACTTATCTCAAGTCTGGAGGACACAGGAATGAGCAGGAACTAAGATGATATTTGAACTGGAGTATTTCCGAGAGTTACAGGAGGTTTATATACTGTAGGTATCATATAGGAATCAGTCAGCAAACATAAAGGCTATGTATGAAGCATATGCAAAGTCTATTAGTAAGTAGGATGGATCACAAATAATGAACACCAGAAATGAAATGTATGTAATGGATCAATAATCAAAAGGGAAACATGGTTAACTGGAGTCCGGAGACAGGGGCAGTCTAAATGGGGTTGGGCGCTGATATAGGGTTTGGATTCTGGAAGGGAGATAAAGATAGATCAGATCATTTGAGATCCGGATCTCGGATCTCGGATCTGGATATCCGGAGAAGTGGATTTAGGGTTGAGAGTCTGGAATGGCATATGACAGACCATCTATGTAGTACCTAGAAACTTCCAACTATGCCTTATATTAGATTCTGTTTCTTCCAAAAAAAATGAGACATTTACCTCTTCCTTTGAAACGTCCTGACAAAGACAGATTATATCATTCACCATTTGAATGATGTACCCTTCAACACCTAAGTATGGACCTGCCACCACCCGAACTGAGTCGCCAACTTGGAAAATGTGTTCTATGTCTTCTAATCGGATGTCTACTTCCTTTCAGAAACCACTGAATTTCAATGCCAAGGTGACAGAGCCAGCCAGATGGTTGGTTGAGACAACTTGTCCGATTTCTGAGTGAAGGTCTCCCTTGACAATTCTAGCCCAATCGCCCACATGCAGGAACTGCATGGCAAATGCATGCACGGTTGTTTTGAGGAAGGTTCGGTTCCACCCAGATTGTAGGTGGAGTTGAATGTTGTCAGCATGAGGGCAGACAATGGGTTCTAAGCGATCACAATGGACATTTTTAAGCAAGAGACCCATGTAATACCTTTCTCCCTTGTACTTGCATCCTATTACTTCCTCACCGATACTGATGTTGGATATGGCATCCCCATTCAGAAGGCGGGATCAGTCCAGCAATGACCAAGATCTGTGAGGCATGGAATAGGGGAAATCCTGTGGAGGAACTAATACCACAATGAAATTGTTTGGTAAGTCAGAATCAAAGACTTGGGCTATATTGCCCTTATATTTTTCATGCTTGATCCTTACCCAGGCTGGGTTAGGAATTTTTCTGTGGGACTGCTCAACCACTTCATGTTCTTCATCCGATATATGGACATATTGTTTCACAGTGAGGTAAAGTGAAAAAGGAAGAGAGTCAGAGATGGTTTTAGGGCCATCTGCCAGCACGTAAAGCTGGCCAGCTATCCAAGCTGACACTATGACACAAAGTTCCTTCTTCTGAAGGTGTTTGGCAACATAGTCTGTAATATTTCCTGTGATTGATAATTGAAAAATGATAAATAAAGTGATAAATAATAATTTCAATGGGAGGGCTTATGGTGAACATGAAGAAGATACATCCTCCCATCCTGCGATTGAGACAAAGCCAAAACGACCAAGCCAGGTATTGAAGAGGGAGAAACCTGGCAACCTAGCGACAAGTTGCATGGTGTATCCTCAAATCTACTTGCAAGGTGATTGATGATGGCAGTGAACCTAGCAGCTGATGACAATCCTGGCAAGTGCATAACCTTCCACACGTGGTTGTTGTCTTCCTTCCCCTCATCGTTAAAGTCCTCTTCAACCTCCTCCTCATCATCATCTTCCCCTGCATCTTCCTTCCCCTCATCATTAAAGCCCTCTTCAACCTCCTCCTTGTCATCATCTTCCCCTGCATACAGATCAAGATAGGGATTTTTTAGCTGCAGATGCTATTCAGTAGATATAGATATAGATAAAGGTATATTGTACTTACTTTGGTTGGTTTACACAAAGGTTGAACACATGCCCGAGACAATTGCCTGTCCATAGTTGAACAAACTTTATGTACACAGGGGGTCTGAGGCATGTGCTTCGCCTTGACAACATGAAGGTTTTCCAAGGCAACATCATCATCACCATCACCAGAGAATAATGCATGTTGAGCTTCCTTCCATTCGTCTTCAGAATATCAAACACCCAGGTATGATTGAAAAGCTTCCTCCATCTGAGGATATGTCATACTGGTGGTGAGGTAGTCCTCCAATATTCTCCATGCACCCTCATCCGCCAGCGGTGCTGTCTGACTTCCTGTGACATGCACCAATGATGAGATGGACAATATTATCAATACTGACCTTCATCAATTCTGAGGTGCTTCGCTGTAGGCATGTCATCATTTGATGCAATGTGTTTGGACATTCTGTAGTTCTACATGACTAGTTTCAGCATCATCGCATAGCAAACTTAAAATGACATACAATATATTTAATATGTCTATGTCTGCGAAGAATCTACACTAAGTTCAAAAATGTGTTTTGTCAAGATGGTAGCGGAAAGAAAACCACCTAAGTGTGACTCATCAGTATTTGTAGAGAATGACTTACATAAATGTGGAAATGTTTACCATTGCAGGTAGTGAATATGGAAATTTTGCGAATTTGTAGATGTCAGACAATTGTCAATTCTATTGTATGAACTTGCCATAGCGCTTTTGTTTTCAAAGCTGAAGCCCGCCCATTAATATTAGAGGCCTCCAAAAACATGCCCGCATGCACATATTTGAAGAACAATTGATGACCACCCACTACATAATCATAAGTTCTATTCTATGTATTTTTTTACTTTGTAGTACTAGTAGAAGTAGGGTAGGAAAAGAAAGGAACAACTCCAGTAGGAGAACAGCTATGATATAGAGAATGACAACAAAATTGAAACCCAGCTGGCTGATGTAAACAGACCACTGAGTGGGTGCTTTGGTAATGTCCAGTGGAGTTTGATTTACATAGTCATTCCCTATATAATGGCATCTGTCATACGTAGTTAGCTCTTTTTGAACTACTGCCTTACAGTAGTGCAGTCCTTATGACAGTATCACAAATAAGCTGCTGCAACAACATATGTTGAGAAGATGTATTTGACTTGAAATTTTTCAGTGTACACTCATATGAAAGATCTTAAAGAGAGAAGCTTGTTCAGCACCCATCGGCATGTTGGTGCCCGCTCATTGTAAGTATATCCTTGAATCGCAATATAAAGTTCATGCCCCAACTAAGTCAGCCCATCCAGGACACATTCAAATCATAACAATTCTACTAATTTGCAAGAATAATCATAGCATGCATCTCCTTGTCATGCAGTTTGTCACTGTTCAGTTTCGCTTGTGCAGTACATTTCCTATTCTCCACCAAGCTTGGCTCTATCTCAAGGTCATCACCCATCCTTTGATCCTTTATGTATTACTCCACCCTTTGATCCTCAATGTATGTCTCCACCAAGACATGGATGTCATCATTCATTAGCTCATGCACTTGAGCCGCAGGTTTTCACCAGAATTCTCTGAGTGACTCCAAGGAGATCCCAGATGTAATATGTTGTCCCATGAACTGCATCTTGGTAAGTCAGCATGTTGTGTGCAGCTTAATGTAACATATGACTGTGCTAATATATGCCATCAGAGCCATTGCGACGGCTAGCTGGAATATTCCATGGATGAAGTTCTTGAATGCTGATCCCAGCAGATAGTTGCTTGTCGGCATTGTGACACTTTTCTGTTGTCGACTCCAGATGGAAATGTTTGGTTCAGCATCATTCACAAATGTTGCCCCAAAAATTATGCCATGGTGAGTACCGTTGTATGTCTTGCTTGCAATCTGTCAGGCAGTCATGTTGATTGATTCTTGGAAGTGAGTGCACTGCTACCATTTGTACTCACACCTTGTCTGTGTGTTGTAACTCTTGCTTGAGAGTTCCTTCATTCTTGTCGAACACATAAATAATCCCTGCATTGCTACCACCAATGACAAGGGTAGCCTTCTTGCCAAAAATGACTTGCTTTGGAAATGTCTTAACTGGGTCAGTATTGTAGGTCCAGATACATGCTCCATCATCTAGTTGGTGCAGGCTGAATCTGTTACAATCATACTTGCCCCTATTCATTTTCTCAAACTCACATCTGTATTATGTCATGACTGCGCACACTGCGCCATCACTAGACTTACTTCTATATTTGTACTACATCACGATTGCTCATTATAGCCATCGTTAGGTGACCCTTATCTCTGACTCGCCAGGTACCTACCCTAGACTCATCTTATCTCTGACTCAAAGCACTTGTAGTTCACTATAAATAGTCCTCTTGTATGCTTTAGTTTGACACTTTAATCTACTAGGTTTTACCTGGAACATCTTTTGCTTAAGACCTCCAATCTTAAGTTGTCTAAGACTGATATTTGAGTCAGAGACACTCTCTTTGACTTGTCTTACGACCCTTGCATTTGCAAGGTCTTGATCGTGACTTCAGCTGTCGCTCTTATTGAGCTGCTGTTGTTACAACTATCCTAGTTCATAACAGGGGATTAAAGTCTCCACTCCGACCCTCTCCATCTGGGAGGTCCCAGAAACCAGAAACCAGAAACAGACAGAAACAGACGTATCATCCCCTGTACAGAGACATCACTAGACCAGAAAGATCAGGATGTCAGCACCCACCAACACCCCAGAACTTAAAGCTGGAGCACCAACATCTTATGACGGAACTCCCCAGCAAGCTTTAAGATGGTTGTACTCGATTAAGGTGTACTTCGCCCTTAATGCTACAATTACAACACTGATGAAAAGAAAGTCATCACTGCACTCACATACATGACAGAAGATAGTGCCATGGGTTGGGCACTCACCTTTTACACCGAAGTTGACAACTCCATCTCCAAGTCTTATGGAACTTTCGCAAATTTCAAGACGAAATTCAAAGAAGCCTTCATGCCAACTGATGCCATTGGCACAGCCATGAATAAGCTCCATACTCTGAAGCAGACAGGTGATCTCACCTCCTACATCGCCAGTTTCAAGACCCTTGCTGCACAGGCCTCTGTGAAGCAAGATGCCGTCTTGATTACATTCTTCAATGATGGGCTCAAGAAGGGAATCAGTAACACCATCTACCAAATGGAAACCATCCCTGTAGACTTTGACAAGTACATCACTGCAGCCATTAGGCTGGACAGCAATTGGCAGAGAGGTGCCATGTTCTGCCAGGACACCCGCACCACTACCAAGCCAACTAGACAGCAATACATACCTAGACCTTCCATTGATTGGCATGATCCAAATGCCATGGAAGTAGATTGGCTTACCAAAGCTGAAAGAAGTGAACACATGAAGAAAGGACTATGTTTCACGTGTCACCAGAAGGGACATATGACTAGAGCCTGTCCCCAGAAGAAGAACAGAAAGACCCCAGTCCGTCGTGAAGAAATTGAAGATAGCGACAAAGAAGATGAAGAAACAACGATCCGTCGCCTTGCTGAGGATTTTTGATGTGGAAGACTGAATTGACGTCAGTATCTTCCGATATAGCTATCAGACTTGTACAGAGTATTGGAATCAGAAAGGAACTTCGAGTTCCCATTTCACTTATCTCCAGAACTCATCTGAAAACCATCAAAACAACAGCTGTTGTCAATTCCGGTGCAGCTGGAACATTTATCTCCAAGGACTTTGTCAAAACCCATGGAATAAGGACGCATAAACTCACGAAACCATTCCGAGTCACTACTGCGGATGGAAGTTATGCAAAAGGAGGTGCCATCACCTGCTATTGCATCCTCATTGTGAAAATAGATAAATGATCCATGATTGGAAAGTTTAACATCACACAGCTTGGCCGTCATGATCAGATTCTACTCAGGATTCCTTGGCTGCATGCTATGGACCCAGTAATCAGGTAGAAAGCAGAAAAGCTGGAACTCCCCCAGAATGAAAAGAGCGATTTGATTGAAGAAGATGTCGATAATGATAGAAGAAAGAACAGTCTCCCACCTCTCTTCCAGAAAGCCAGTCAGAAATCTGAGCTGACTCCAGTTGTAATGCTGCCAAAGGCGCCTCCTGCGAAACCAGTCATGAAACCAGCCACCATTGAGGAGATCCCAGATGAAGAAGCACCCTCGGGGTTGCCCAATCTTGACCCCATCCCTGACGATGATGATGACTCTTTCGACACCAAAGAGGATGTATGGACTTCGAACTATGCTCCACCTGTGTGAGAACTCGCCATGTATCATCTTGATGATGACAAATTTTTGGTTGAGTATCCCGCCAATGCTGCTGAGCTCCAGGTTATCACCAATGTCTCCCTTGATACCCCGTTAACCAAAGATGGTACTAGCATCGCAGAACAGAAGCCCACAGTTACACCCCTGTCATGACCAGTGGAATATGTCAAAACCAGTAATAAAGCACAACAATTTGCGCTAGTGGCTGGACTTGAGCAAAAGAAGAAGTCTTTTGAAGAACTCATCCCCTCCTATCTTCATGACTTTGCTGACATCTTTGCAAAAGATGGCCTCAACCAACTGCCACCTGAACGGCCTGGTATAGATCATCATATCGAAACCAAACCCGGTTTTATCCCCAAGACATCCAAGGTGTACCCGTTATTGGAAGCAGAACATACTGCGGTCAAAGCTTTTATTGATGAAAATATAAAGAAGGGCTTTATCTCTGAATCAAAATCGCCACAAGCAAGCAGTTTTTTCTTCGTGGGAAAGAAAAGTGGGGACCTTCGTCCTTGTCAGGATTACCGATACATCAATGACTGGATGGTTAAGAACACTTACCCTCTCCTGCCACCGCTTTCATTAGTTGCTCAGTTACATGGTGCCAAATACTTCATGAAGATGGACGTCCATTCTGGTTACAACAATATTCACATCCACCCAGATGATAGATGGAAAGCCACTTTCACTACAGAATATGGTCTCTTCAAGCCAAACATCATGTTTTTTGGCCTTTGCAACTCCCCCGCCACCTTTCAAGCGTATATGAATCAGATGTTCCAGCAAGAGATTAATGAAGGATGGCTTGTCATATACATGTATGATATCTTGATCTTCTCCAATGACCTCGCTTCTCATCACGAATGAACCCAGCGTGTCCTTGACAGAATCCACCAAGAAAGACTGTTCTTAAAACCGGAGAAATGCACATTTGACACACAAGAAGTGGAATATCTTGGAATGATCATTCGTCCTGGATGTGTTGCAATGGATGTTGCCAAAACCGATGGTATTCACGACTGGCCTACCCCCACAGTGGTGAAAGAAGTTCGGTCATTTTTGGGATTCTGCAACTTCTATTGAAACTTCATTCCCCATTATTCTGACATTGCTAGACCTCTAATCGACCTCACCAAGAAAGATGTCAAGTTTCAATGGTCTGACCAATGCACATCAGCATTCTCTACTTTGAAAGAATGCTTCCTAAAGCAACCGGTCCTTCAAAACCCAGACCCAAGTAGGCAATTTGCAGTAGCAATGAACACATCGCTTGTTGCAACTGGTGCAGTATTGCTCCAAACTGATGAAAACGGAGTTTACCACCCATGTGGATACTTGTCACAGATGTTGAACCCAGCAGAACATAACTACCAGATCTTCGACCACAAACTCCTTGCTGTTATTCGCACTCTTACAGAATGGCATCACTATTTAGAAGGCAATCCCCATCCTGTCCTCGTCTTCACTGACCACAAGAACCTACTGTACTTTCGAACCACCCAGAAATTAACTTGGCAACAAGCCCAATGGCAGCTAATTTTATCCTGCTATGATATTGAACTTCATCATGTTGCTGGAACCAAGCTCGCCGCCCCTGATGCGCTCTCCTGCTGTCCCAACCATGGGGCGGATTCCTCTGAAGATAACACTAATGAAACCCTTCTTCCCGACTCCATGTTCATCCACCTTCTCGATGTAGAACTCATGACCTCCCTCACCAACCCTGACCCCGCTGACCCTGATCCCATCTTCAAAGCCACCTCTGATGCCTTAGATGGTCTTTCCCTTCCCCCCATGAAATCTGCTCTTGCAGGTTGGACAATAAAGGATGATATCCTTTATTATAAGGATTGCGCTTATGTCCACCCTGCTGGACGTCACCTTATTTTGGAACCTTGTCATGATCATGCTACCACTGGCCACCCCAGGTGTTTTAAGACTGAAGAATTGGTCAAGCAGGACTTTTGGTGGCCCTCTATGGGAACCTATATTTGTAAATACATTGAGGGTTGCGCCCTCTGCCAGCAGATGAAATCTGATACCCATCCGACGACCCCGCCCCTCATCCCTATCCCTTCTGTCACTGCCACTCCATTCACCCAGGTCTCTGTCAACCTTGTCACAGATCTCCCCCCCTGTGCCGGTTTTGATTCTATTATGGTCATGGTAGACCATGGGCTTATGAAGGGGGTAATCCTTGTCCCTTGCACTAAAACCATCACTTCTGAAGGAGTCGCCAAGAAATTTTTCAAATACGTCTATCACTGATTTGGCCTGCATGAGAAAGTCATCTCCGACTGGGGACCACAATTTGTATCCAAATTCTCAAAAGCCCTTGCTAAACTCCTAAAATACGACATAGCCGCATCAACCACTTACCATCCCCAGACTGATGGCCAGACCAAATGACTTAATCAGGAACTTGAAACCTACCTTCAAATCTATTGCTGAAATCACCCCAAAGATTGGGTAGAGCACCTTCCTATGGCAGAATTCGTGCACAATCATCAAAAACACGATTCCCGTCATGCCTCACCATTTTTCCTGATGATGGGATACGAACCACGAGCCCTCCCTCATGTACTCCCTGATTCCACCGTCCCTGCAGCAGAAGACAGACTTCGCTCACTTCAGAAATCAAGAGAAGAAGCACTCTCTTGCCATAACCTCGCTATGCAGCAAATGGCAGAACAAACTCACGGGCAGAAATATCACCCATGGAAGATAGGAGATAAGGTTTGGTTGTCAGGAAAGAACCTGATCACACAGTTACCATTGCAGAAGCTCGCACCAAAGCGATATGGCCCCTTCCCAATCACCGCTGTTCTCTCCCCTATCACATTCACTCTCCAATTACCACCGCAATGGAAAGTTCACCCCACGTTCCATGCTTTGGAACTATCATCCTATCATGAGACAGAAGTCCATGGTCCAAACTTCCATGACCCACCCCCAGACGTCATCAATAACAAAGAAGAATACAAAGTCGATGCAATCTTATTGCATAAAGGCACAGGTAAATGAAGACACTATCTCTTATCTTGGAAAGGCTACTCTTCTGCCAGTAACAAATGGGTCCCAGAAGAGAACCTTAGCAACGCCACCAATATCCTTGCCATGTATAAAAAGGCCCACAAACTGTAGAACTCAGAACAATGTCTCTTGAATGCCTATGCCTTTGCATACAATGCATCGAAGAACTCACTGCTGCTATGAACACTGTAACTGCAAACATCAACAATCCACTGTCCCTTCTTGATTACCAGACCGCCACTGCTACCAATCTTGCCAACAATGCATCCTCCCCAGTTGTTTCCCCACCCTCATCTGACTCTACTCTCACCAATGACTCTATCCTCACTGATTACTTCTCAATCATTGACCAAGTTGAAACCAGTGCCTTATTTGAATCGGCTATCACATCCCAGCAGTACGCCATAGAGATAGATCGTCTTCTAGGAGAGAGAGGAGTGATATCTAGCAGGCTTATCATCTGAATCATCAGAGACACTAGCCTCATCGAGTGCACCGCTAATCTTCTTGACAATGAGTGTCACAAAACCATTTTCTGTCACCTTCATATACGCATTTGTAATACTGCAATCCGTCTGTTGCCTGATGATACTAGGGAAGCTATCAGAGAAGCTATCCACATCATCACCGAACGAATCACTCTTGACCCAATCGCGCATCCTCCCTCTCCGCATGTCACTATTCCAGTCCCACCACTGGTCTCTCCAACAATTACCATTGAGCATCAGGATAATAATATCCCTCCTATTGCTGTACTTGATGTACCAGCTTCTCTGTTGCCTACCCCCATCACACCCACCACACATCAATACCCTATCAGACAACGATCCACCCGCATTGCCGCCAAATGTGCTACATCAGTTTCTCCACACAAATCTCATAAACAATCAAGATCCCCCTCTCCCCCAGACCAGTCAAACACCATCACCACAGTGAAAATGCCAACTGTTGATAATGTTGTATGCCATAACTGTCATACCGCCAGACATTATCACAAGAATTGCCTGGCATACTACTGTCGGGTTTGCAAAGAATATGCACCCAGACATCTATCGGTTTTCTGTAGAGAGTTGAAAGGAGAAGCGGTCATCCCGCTAGTTTGGACTGATCCAGGTTTTTATGAAGCTCTCACCCATTGGGAGATTGAGCAGGACGCCATCTATCATGCTGTGGAATTAGCTGATAGGTTGCTCCCTATCACGAGAGAGCAAGATGAGTTGTTGGACTCAAACTATGATGCTGACCCCATCTATTGGGCCAACCAGGATGACTGAAGTTGGTGACTTTGTCCCTAACCAGGGGGTAATGTTACAATCATACTTGCCCCTATTCATTTTCTCAAACTCACATCTGTATTATGTCATGACTGCGCACACTGCGCCATCACTAGACTTACTTCTATATTTGTATTACATCGTGATCACTCATTATAGCTGTTGTTAGGTGACCCTTATCTCTGACTCATCTCTTATCTCTGACTCGCCAGGTACCTATCCTAGACTCATCTTATCTCTGACTCAAAGCACTTGTAGTTCACTATAAATAGTCCTCTTGTATGCTTTAGTTTGACACTTTAATCTACAAGGTTTTACCTGGAACATCTTTTGCTTAAGACCTCCAATCTTAAGTTGTCTAAGACTGATATTTGAGTCAGAGACACTCTCTTTGACTTGTCTTACAACCCTTGCATTTGCAAGGTCTTGATCATGACTTCAGCCGTCGCTCTTATCGAGCTGCTGTTGTTACAACTATCCTAGTTCATAACAGAATCCATTCATCACATTGTCAATTAGGAACAACATGTGAGAGGCATCCACAGCAGTGTGCCCGCTTTGGTGAAATACTAAGCAAATGTTTGACTTTGTGATGACAAGCACTCACATCATTGGCCCAGCATTGTATGTGGCGATAATAACACCATTGGTGCCCCAAAGCATATGTCTAGAAGGGAATTAGCAACCTAATGACAGTAGGTGTATGTACCTACACCTCGCCATCATACATCCCAAAGACTAATAGATTTCTACTTGCAGAGTGTTTAAAGTTTACTGTGTGGGGGATTGTGGTAGAGAGTTTGACACTGAAGATGGGAATCAATAGTCCTTTGAAGTTAAACAACCAGACTTGAACACATCTGTTGCATGTCCCGCTAGCAATCTGAGTGTTGTCCCCGGCATGGTCATACATAAGGCACATGATTTCTTTACCATTGCCAATTCTTCTTGACACTTTTGTGTCAAAGTTCTCCAAGCCTTTGCCCTGCTGCTGCCAAATACCTAGAAAACCCAGTCCTGTGCCAAAACACAGTGTCTCGCATGTTGCTTCTTGGTGGGTAATCCAGCATGCACAAGTCACTGGATCGACTGGATTTCGAATGGCTGGGGATTGATGTGGAGTTGGAAGCTGAAGTTGCTTTTTGAGGCCCCAGATCCTCATGCCATCCGAGCCTGGTTCCTAGTGAGTCTAACTATTTGTTATTGTATTACTTGGAGCTCACCCCTGCTTGCCAACAGAGAGCCATTGCAAGAGACTGCTAAGCAATTGATAGCATTCCTGTGTCCGAGAAGACAGCCTTCTAGGTGGTATTCCTTGCAATCATTGTTGGATAGGAAAAACATTGGTAATGTAATACCATCACTGATGTTTTGAAGGACTTTAATATTGACTTGACAATAAGGTTTCAACAACATGAACAAAATGGCATATGACAATAACAAGAATCCATAATGACATCCTGCCTGGCAACTTTGTTCTCGTGCCTGTTACCCAATTAGCCCTGCATTATCATCTTCCAAACCATCTTACATAAAGCAACTTCACTAGCTCTCCAGGATGTCAATCATGCTTCATACCTCTACACCTGTCTCTGCTTTCTGTGAGCTTGATGGCCCTCAGCAGTCCCTCCCATTATTGACACATCAAACAGAGATGTTTTGTCCATCATTATCATTCATCTTGATCACTCTGCAAGAAGAGATGTCATTTTCTTCTCCTAAACTGATGGGACACACTCCTTCCTGCATCTTCAATGTATCATCTCGCTCAACCACACCCATCACCTCTCATCAACCTACACCCAAGGTTGCAAAGTCAGTCTCCTTTTCTGCAAAGCAGATCACATGGAGCCTCAAATCAGTGACAATGTTGGCATACTCCTCCCTCTCATCCATTGGTTCCAGTGAATCCAAGATCCCAAAACCAGAGGGTGAGGTGGGGCAACTTGGCTGTGGCGGTTACTCATTGGAAACTGCACTTAGCTGGGATGCCAAGCGCTTCAAGAAGTTGAAGGTGAGAATGCTGAGTTCCTGATGAGATGGCTCACTCATATTCATGACATTAGGATTGTCTTCAAAAGTCAATCGAGAAGCACTGTGACATTAGCAAGAGCAAGAAACACCAAGATTCTGCTGCACCGGATATTGTTAAGAATGAGGTACATTTGCAGTATTTACACTTAATTGTTACCAACTTCCTTTGAGACCCTCACTTGCTTTTCGGAACTACAAGACTACGAAGGCTGTTGGCCAGTTGGAGATATTATTCAGATGCAACTGAAGAACACATCCACCAAGGAGTGACAGAAAAAATAATAATAGTTACAAGTAGCAGCAGCAGTAACAGTTGTCCTATTGAACTGCACTGCAACAAACTGCAACAAAATGTACAATACATTTTCATCCATTTGATCGAATGAGCTCGAGCTGTGAGTCAACTGCTGGGCAATGACATAATTGCTAATGAATCACCTAGATGAATTACCTAAGGGCCCCATAACGCCATGCTGTTATGAGTTGGGCTTGGTGAACTTGTGCTACTGGATATTGGTTTGCTATTATTGTACCCCATAATGGTGCTATTATCCTTGGTCCATTTCATTCATATGGACGTTGCAACATTGTTTTTTGCTCTGATTGACATGAGGTGAGTTGTTTTTCACATAAATTGCATAATGCTCAAGAGGTTGTGTCACAAGATGTCTCACTTGGTGTCTTTTCTCTTATTGAATACTGCAGATGACGATTTAGCCACTTGAGATATGGAGTCCTACCCACTCCATGAGTTTCATACATTAGGAACGACACACATATACCCGCCATCATCCCATGATGCTTCCTCAGCCTTAGAAGAAAACCAAGTATCTCGTCTGTCAGCAGTAGCTCACATGTATCCCCTGCAGACTGCTATTGCAATGGACAAGTCCATGGATACATATAATCCTTGGAATACTACTCATAGGATGAGAGATGACGGAGACCAGCATGTGCGGGCATTCAATATCAGCGTCCTCATCTTAGCTGACGAACATTTAGCCTAATAAAGTCTTTTTGAAAGAAGTTGATCACTCTGCAAGGCTGTGTGATGACATGTGCAAGTTGCAGTTCAGCAATAATGAGCTGTTGACCCAAAAGTGCCACCTGAAGGTATGCCTAATTTGAAATCTGTCATGTTCATCGTTGAATCACTCTTAGGCAATTACCCAATCATGTGAATTGGACATGCAATCAGCCATCACACTTTGTTGACGAGAGAACAAATCCATTCAGCATGATAAAGCTGAAACCCTTGCCTCCTTGGACCAACACCACCAAAAAGAACTTGCTGATTTGCAGGTAGGATTCTTGCCTTGTTATATAACAAATCTGACTTTGAGTGGTAGAACCAGATGGTGCTTGGTCTTCAAGATGCACAGCGTGAGGCTCAGATTGAACAAGATGCTGCAGTGGCTGAGAGAGAGGCTCTGTTTCAACAAGAGGCCAATCTCGCAAGAGAAAAGTTGTTGGCTGAGAAAGAAGCTGAGTTAAGCTGTTTGACTGCTGAGTATAGATCCAAAGTAGCTTTGTTGGATGTAAGTATTAAGATGTTAGTCAGTGTGGAGAGTTTTTAACATTGCATTTACAGAGCCAAATCTGACCAGGAAACATGGCCTCCCCCCCTTTGTGGCATCATATCACAGGGAAACAAGTCACTACATGTATGAACATCATTGGGTTTTCACCAGTACATCCATATATTTCATATTTATATCTAACTTTATGCCACCTATATTCCAGGCTCCTGATACAAACTCTGAGTCTGAATCAGACAAGGAGTCTCAGACTGGCATCCAGGGCAATGCCGAATCTCCCCTTAGTGCTATCTTAGGCAATGTTCCAATTCAGAATTCCACCATTGGCATGCTGGCAGAGGCACTCACAAAAGTGCTTCAGACTCCAGAGGTAGTGTCCCACCGGGCAGCCCGATTGACATGGGAAAAAAAGAAACCTTTTATCAAAAAATTCACTGATCTCCAACACCGAGACAACAAGGTACGTGATTTTATGAAAAAGCTAACATTACTAATGAAATGTTAGGCAAACATCTGAGAGTTATTCAAAGGGACATTCCACATCACCAAAGATGATGATTTCATGACTCATATCACTGCATCACTGGATGCCATTCTATCTTTTCAATATGGAACAGGACCAGGGCCTGACCCTCTTGAACTGCATTGGCATATGGAAACTACACACACCTCTGAGTGGAACAAAAAAGTTGACAATCTTCTCTGCTCACAGTATATCATCTTGCAACAGAAGAACCAATGGACCATAAGATCCCAGGAGTTGATCAAAGAAGACATCAAACAGAAATTCACTCAATGCCGCAAGTGCTGCACCATGGCCCAGCCTTGTATTCTTAGCAATGGCATGCATGAGCTTCCTTGACATGTGGAAGCACAACTGGTGGATCATACTAATGAGCAATTGTGGCTCACTAGGGTCCTCACTCGTAGAGTGACAGTTGGTCTTTTGTCTGCCCTTCCTTTCAGAGTGGACAGATGTTGATTTACTTCCTAGAAGTTTGAAACTTGGAGAAAAGTCATGTCAACCCTACTCAGTGACAGGAAGGCAACAGGAAAGGAAGATGAACCTGTGTGCGCATATCTACAATCCATCATTGAGACTCTGGGCAAAGATGGCATGAGCTCTGATGAGAGCAAGAACAAAGTTGGTGAGGTGCAGGTCTTTCATCTAAAGACACTGCCATGGAGGACAGATTTCCATCATGAGATGAAGATCATTGATGAACAGCATTTGGTTGGTGCCACCAACTTTACTCCCCAGGGCAGCAAGCCTGCGAAGCATTTTCACAATGCTATTAATGAGTCTTCTCGCTCAGCTGTTGCAGATCTACCAAAAGCATTCTACAACCCATCATGGTTGAATGAACAATGTCCACCATTCACTGTGTCTAAGAAGAAGTTCCAGAGGATGGAGATCGTCGTTGCTGTCAAGTGACATCTCTGCATATGATATTTATGATGTCCATGATTCTTGCCTTTGTATGATATACATGTAATATCCCCTTGTACTGTTTCATCGTCCTGCTCTCTGCATATGATATTTATGATGTCCTCTTGCCTTTGTACGATATACATGTAATATCCCCTTGTCCTGTCCTTCATATTCTGCACACTGTATGTACCAAAATATGTTGCATGTGTTTCAAATAATTTAAATAAGAGGTCACCCATGTGTGCGCTCAGTGCCCTGCTCGAAACCGTAATCTGCGAAGTGCAGTTATTTTTTGTGTAAGTGCTTCCCTCTATTAATTATTGCTACTAAGTAGTGCATTGTACTTTAGTTGTCTTGCTTGTCAGCACTGGCAACTTCATTTCTCGATTGCATTGTATAATATAACAAGTTTGGTATGTTTTATTTGCAGTGGTTCAATGTGATCAGTGTCTCACACTCTTGTATGCAGTTGGATATCCTCCTGGCATTCCTGGAGATCCTAGTGTGTTTATCAGACATTACATTGCATCAAGGTTTGTCAATGCACCTGGACTATAAGAGACCTCCAATGGTTCTGATTTGGTGCTTAGAACTGTTCCGAGGGAAAATAGTGTGTGTTTCATCTGGTCAACAATGTATTGTCCCACAGGTATGATGATATCATTGTTGGTTGTCTGAAGCTTATATTGAATCTTGTCAATGGACATCACTTTGAAACCAAATCACAGCCTTACATCTTGTCCGTCATTGTTTGTTTTGGGCTTCCTGGTCACAATGTCATCCATGTCTATACCCATCAATGCATCCACCAGCACTGCATTAATACACTCACATAGGAGGTCAGTAGTAGGATGCCCTCATTTGCAATGATGGTTAATCTGCTTGCCTACTACTTTCTGTAGGCTGCGCATAAGTTTCACTTTCTTTGGAGATAGGTACCCCACAGCTGCACTGTTGCCAATGTGATTGGCAACACTGGCCACTGAGTTTCACCTCAGAATGAGGGTGATGTTATTAGTCTTTGAGCACTGTAAGTCTAAGAGTGAGCCAATGTAACAATGTTACTAACATTGTCACCCACTGATTCAACGCTCAGAATTGAAACATCTTGCACACTTCCCAGTGTCCTGCTGGGTAAAGTGGGTTTGTCGATCAACATCACAGACCCCATCCAAACCTGCTGATCACAAGCATGCCCTCTCCACTTACAATATCCTGTTCCAGCTGAACCTTGTAATCGTTGAAATGCAAAGTGAACCTCCTCGTCAGAGGTGCTGTGCATGGTGTAATACTTGCATTGGCGTCTTGTGAAGTCCAACTGTAGGGATTGTACCATCAGCTATGGACTGCAGTATTTTTGCTGCAATGTGATGGTGATCCAGATGCCATGAGTGAGTCATATGATTCTACTATGAGTTTGTGAAACATTTTAATCAGCCATTAAGGGTTTAGTGCATCTAGGATTCCATTCAGTGGTGCTTGTCTTCAATTGTCTTCCTTGTTCATTTTCGTGCATGAAGTGCCGCCAGGCAATGATCACTGACTGTTACAATAGTGGTTACCCCCTATCTCTTTTTCCACTTTCACATGTATTACGTCGTGACCGCACTAGGACGTGCCATCATTAGACTAACAATTGCCATATCTGTATTACAGCACGACCGCCGCATGCCATCGCTAGCTGACTCATCCCTTATCTCTGACTCGTTTCGATGACGTCATTTCTCTTATCTCTGACTCGTCTTGATGACGTGTACGTACCGGCCCTAAAGCAGGCCTTACCTATATAAGCAGGCCTTGTACTTAGATAGTCTTCACTTTAATCTACTAGGTTTTACCCAGAACATCCTTCGCTTAAGACCCCCAATCTTAAGTGTCTGATATCGATATTCGAGTCGGAGACACTCTCTCTAACTTGTCTTAAGAAGCCTTACATTTGTGAGGTTACGATCCGACTTTAGACGTTACTCTTATCGAGTATCTATTGTCGCGCCTATCCTAGTCGACCTACGGTTCACCGTAACAAAAGATTAAAGTCCCCCATCAACCCTCTCCACCCGAGAGGTAACCAGACAGAAAGAACTCAGCAAGAGAACGAGAACGTTCCCCTGAACAGAAACATCACTTGACCAGACGCTCAGGATGTCCACCATCGCCAACACCCCAGAATTGAAAGCCGGAGCTCCGTCCACCTATGACGGGAGCCCTCAGCAGGCGCTACGATGGTTGTATGCAATAAAAGCGTACTTTGCGCTTAATGCTATGATCTACAATACCGACGAGAAGAAGGTTATTACCGCTCTCGCGTATATGACAGAAGACAGCGCCATGGGTTGGGCACTCACCTTCTACACAGAAGTCGACAACTCCGCCTCCAAGTCTTATGGGACCTTCGCGAATTTCGAAACCAAATTCAAAGAAGCCTTCGTACCTGCCGACGCTGTCGGTACCGCCATGAACAAGCTTAGGACGTTGAAACAGACGGGCGATATTACATCTTACATCGCCAGCTTCAAGACCCTCGCCGTGCAAGCCGGTGTCAAGCAAGATGCCATCCTAATCACGTTTCTCAATGACGGATTGAAGAAGGGAATCGTTAACTCCGTCTACCAAATGGAAACCATCCCTACAGACTTTGACAAGTACATCGCTGCAGTTGTCAGGCTTGATAGCAACTACCAGAGGGGTGTCGCATTCAGATCCAACCATCGGGTCACCACCAAACCCTCTGGGCAGCGCTATGTACCCAGACCTTCCATTGACCGACACGACCCAAACGCCATGGA